CCATTGGAGAACCGTCCGTCTTGGACATGCCACCAGTACTAACGTAGTTGTCGGATTCGGGATGTGGACCGCACGGAATGGTCCACTACCATCAGCAAATGATTTCTACTGAGCCGAGAAGCGAAGGCGAGTCACGCAATGTCTAGGATGATAGAGTGGCGTGCCGTGTACGCTGCCTGCTTTGAACCAACTGAAATTCAAAGCGTTTCGGTGCCCTTTGCAAATGAGTCTAGTCGTTACGGAACACTGCATTCTCCGGGGTCCGGGGTCGATGGTGCATCGGTGGAGGAGTCGGACGTGGCTACAACAGGATTCAGGAACGAGAGGTACCTGATTGTCGGGTCTTCCAAGAAGTTCTAACGAGTCGCATATAGCCCCAACAGTGGCTTGGACCCGCGATCTCTGTTCGCGCCAATGGCTGATTTGCCGCTTTCCGAGACTCTCATGGAGGGAGAAGGTAAGTGGTCGTCTAGGAGACGCTAAAAGGAACTGGTGGCGCACATGAGATTAACTAGCCTTCGCGGGTCGTGCGTATCGCATTGCTGGTTATCGGAGGTGACATGCTTGCGCGACGGCATTGCTGTGATGTGTAAGATGGGCGAAGATTTTGGTGTTGCTTTCATCTGATACCCCTCTAGTTCGTTAGTTGCTTTTCCGAGTGAGTGGATTGGGAAGGTCACTTTTGTCGATCATCATCTGCGTCTGCTATCGATGGGGACACTTCGCTTGCTTCGGCGCTATGTCGGCAGCAACCGGGTATCCCTTGTCTCTCAGGCCTCCAACCACGACTGACTTACGGCACCCAACGCTGAGCTATTATCATCAGACTAGACACACTAGCCGGCTCAGTTGGCGAGATTGAGAGTCGTTCCCGTGTATGAGCTGGCCTAAAATGTGGTACGTGTTGCGACACATTCAGAGAGATGAGGTATTATCGAGTGAAGATCCCCCGTTTGGAGGTATTGTAGCTCCGTATTGAAATCGTAGACATGTTTCCAACCTTTGATGTCCCTCCCCAACATGCGGAGACAGTAGGAGCCCGCAAGGCAAGGAGAGCAAAGGAAGACGACACTACCAGACGATCCTTCTCAGCAACCTCACAGTCCTCCGGCAGCACACACAGCAGCAAACGTCAAGATGTAACGAGTTCGTCAGACTCCAGATCTGGAGGGAAGAGGGGCCTTGGCGGATGGTTTGGCAAGAGCAGTAAAAAGGGCATCCAGGAGATCGCACCATTGTCGACATGTAAAGAAACACAGCACCCAGGGGAGCTGGTAATTGAACCAGAGTCCGAACCAGAACTTGATCAAGGACCAGCACCACCGACTGCTCCCTTAGATACACAGCAGCAAGCACCTCAAAGACCACCTTCGCAGCGTTCCGAGCAGGTATCTCGACCCCTCCGCCCACAACATTTTCTGCCACCGCTGCCAACTCCTCCCCCCTCTACCGGGCTGCCGCCGACACCCATCTCTAGGAATGTATCTGCAGGACTGCTTAGCCCCGTCAGTATGCCAGGTACGTGTATATACTTCCGCAATACGCAGACGGCACGATTGTCGCTGCCGCAACTGCACCCAATGGCTCGTTTGAGCATGGATCGATGATGGTATTGCACAAGTATCATGCTTACACGCACTGCAGACAGGAAGTCACAGCACTCTACGATTTCCCGCGCATCATCCTTTCAATCTAGCATCACTCAGTCCAACAATAGTGTCTTTTCAGGTGCTTCGGGCTATGAGACTGCCTTCTCAGAAGATGCTTACGATGAGCCTCGCTCTTCCAAAACTCCCTTCAGACCTCAGCCGGCCTCTCACGCACCTTATTTCGAGCTGGTCGAGCGCGGTTCGCGGACTGGTAGCAGACAGAGTAATGAACGTGATCAAAGCGTCAAAGCCTCTCAAACACCCTTTACCCGTGCGTTAGCTAAGATGGAGAGTGCCGGTACTCGCATCATGTCTGCACGATTGAGTGAGGAGTGGGATGGTTTGGACGACGATGAGAGTTTCCAGGAGATCATGTTCGAGAAGCGGTTGTGGGCACTGACCGCCTATCAACGCTTAACACAGAACAAACCCTTACAGTCACCTGCCCACGAGTTACTCAGTAACAGTCGCCCAGTGGACCAGAAGAGAGTTCTCCAAGTACATGGTTCTCTAGGTGCGTTCACCTTCTCGCTCCGTATAATCTCACAAGGCTTCAATGCTAATTGCTGCAGCGGATGGATGGATGCTTGCAAACAGGTACCCTTCGGTAACAGTTTATACGCTGTCTTCCATAAAAGCGCATCCAGCTTCGACATATCCTGCTCCCTTGAATCATCATTCACTATATACCCCTTCACTTGCGTCTCCAGCGCCCTTCCCCGATGACTATTTCGATGCCGTTATCTCGCGTTCGGCAGCGACTGTTCTTCGAAACGACGATTGGGCTCGATCGTTCTTTGACTGCATGCGTGTGCTCAAGCCAGGAGGACAACTCGAGATGCTCTCAGTGGATGCGCACATGAGCTGCGAGGGACCCAAGCTATCGTCATGGGTTGATGAACATCTCTCTTGCAGATTAGAGGCCCATGGTGTGAGCAAACAGGCTTCAGACACTGTTCTTGATACGATGGAGATAGTGGGGCTCGAGAACATTCGTCGTGCTCGTATCGCGCTGCCAGCACAGCCGCCCAAAGCAGTAGCAAAGGGGGCACCATCTGCTTCACATACTTTTGGCGCTACCATTCCACCTCCTACGCCACAAGACACTTTAGACACTACGAAGATGATGGCTTTCCTCGGCCGCCATTTCTATCAAGACCTATACAGCAGGTTCATGAATATGGAGCAGGGAGACGAGTGGTTCTGGTCACATAAGGATATTCGGGATGAGATCGATCGATATAAGACAAAGATTGTACTTACCATTTCTATTGCGCATAAACCCGACAACATGTGTAATAGGGAAAGTTATTTGGATGATTAGACAATCTACTGAATCAAGGCACGGTTATGTTGTATCGAACATAGTATCCGCTTTTAGTACGTGAGAAGGCACTTAGGAAGGCTGAGAGTGTTGTGGGACCTTAGTCCTCACTCAGCGACGCTATCCGTCGTGGGTCTTTACTTATAACGTTCCAAGGCTCAGATCCACGAGTGACTATCAAGTGAACTTGATGAATACTAGTTGGAGAATAGCGCAGAAGAAGCGAGCTAAGACCATAACATATCAGCTTGCACCTGCTATGGTTCCGCTTTCAGGACTCACTTTTTCCAGAGCACGAACACACTCACCTCTACAGCCTATATTGATCCTTCCTCCACCTACTCATACCAGCGATAAATATCAACTGAGCCTAACCTCCTAGCAATCCCTCCCATTACACACCTCTCAACCGTCACGAACATCAATTTATACCTTACAATGGCTGCTTCCCAAATCGGTCACGGCCAGATCGGCAAGATTATCGAGGGTATGTGGAAACGGTCCACGAAGTGCGGATGACATATATACTGACATCGTATAGACATGGAAGAACTTCTACCTTCGCAATCCATTGACAGGGCAGACTATCGAGCATGTCGCACGACCTACGGCCTTCTATCCACGACCTACAAGCGCGCAAACGACTCCAATACACCAGAGAAGGATTACAAGGAGTTACAGACGCTTGAAAAGTCTCTTCGTCACCGTCTCTCCAGCCTCGATGCTAAAAGAGGTCTTCCACACAAATTCCAGGGTCCGCTCGACGATCTCAAAGCAGGAGTTGATGGAGCACTCGAGAAGGGCGCATCGATCGATTTCCTAATTCAAGGTCTAAAGGATGCATTGAATGAGAAGCCAGGTACTACACCTGCGCCAAAGCCTGAGCCACCGAAAATGGTATCCGAGAAGCGCTTCAAGACGGTGTTGGAAGAACTTTGTAGAGAGAAGGAAAAGAACCGAAAGCTCAACGAAGAGAACAACCGTATGATCCTGGAACTCAAACAGTACAAGATGAGTGAGCAAACGAGTGCCAGTGAGCCCCCCCTCAAGAAACGACGCGTCGATTAAATTGCTGACGAATTAGCCCAAGCTGGTAGACGACCTGGCGCAGGCTTCTTTTAAGGCGCCAAAGAAACTGACTGTTTTGCGTATCTTGCCGTCAACTCTATGGACTACGCCAGCTATTGTATTGCACACGAAATGCGAACTCAAGTCGGAAGAAACTGTTGCTGGGAAGAAAGGTAAGAGAAAAGGAAAGAAGTTAAATTTTTGGACCCCGAAGGCCCTGATTGATTTACCACTGAGTACAAGGGTATCGGACTCGAGCAGTAGTGCCGGTTTTAGCAAAGCGAACGTAAATGGAAAGATCATAGATCCGGAGCCCAGCAATGCACCAATCGGAAAGTATGATCTGGGAGTGTGTAGCTTGGGATATATGTTTTTTGCCTGTGAGCATTCTAACAAGGACTTTGTGACTGTCTCAGATAGTCTGATATATAACAACTTGAGCGTCATTTATTCCAATGGGATCCTTCAGACAACACAGAATTCAGACACAGTGGGGGTTTAAGATAGTATTATCTAGGAAATGCATCAGTCATTAAGATGCGAGAAGGCTCACATGACAAGCAAAAGAATCACAAGCACTGGACGCACGTTGAAAGAAGGGGTATATAAACATTCAGGATCACCTTGTCTAGAAGGCGAACATTACATATCGATCTACGATGAATAACATCATCGATTGATAACCAGTTCAAAAGCACTTGGAAAGTGCAAGGACCATGTTCTAAATACATGCAGACATGTTTAGAAGATGCGGTTGAAGAAACGCTTCCACGCGGGCCAGGTGGCGATCTCGGCACGCTCCGCGTTGATGAGGTCCCAGTCGAGTTCACGACGGCCAGTGTCAACGTCCATCTGAGCAGTGCGGAGCCATCCCTCACGCTTCCAGAAGTATCCGGCAACCCAGAAGGCAGCAACGACGAAGACAGCGAGGTAAGCTGAGAAGAAGTCGGTAGCAGTACCAAGTCTCTTGCCAATGGGAGAAACTGCAGTGTAGAACTAATGTCAATGTTAGCACGATGCACAAGATAAGCGATTGAGGGAAAATCTTACCTGAGCGATCAGGACAATCATGATAATGAAGAGACCGATCCAGGAGCCAATGACACCACCAGCAGCCTTGAATGGGATCTCATCCAGGGTGTGTCCGTGGTAAGCCCAAGCCTTGCGGAAGCGAATGTGGGCCAAGCAGATGGAGCCCCAGGTGAAGAGAGCAGCAAGACCAGACAGAGCGACGAACCAGTTGAAGACGGTCTCACCGGTAGAGGCCAAGTTCATGTAGGCAAGAGGACCCCACATAAGAATGAAAGCAACGGAGTACAGAGGGCGTCCAGCACGGTCGACGTAGGTGAAGCACTTGGGAGCGTAACCCTGGTCTGCGAGGGCAGTAAGGGTACGGGAACCACCGTACACACCAGAGACACCGATGGAGATGACGGAGATGAGAATTACAACGTTCATGAAACTGTCGAATCCAACCAATCCAGCGTTCCTGCCAGCAATGACGAAGGGTGAGGTGTTGGCATCGGAAGAGGAGCCGATCAGACGTGGATCCTTGTGCTGAACTAGGAGTCCGACGAAGGTGAGACCGAGAATGTAGAACAAAGTGATTCGCCAAAAGACCTGGCGGATAGCACCAGGAAGGGACTTCAGAGGATTCTTGGTCTCAGCGGCAGCGAGACCAACAAGTTCGGTACCTGAGAAGGAGAAAGCGGCGGTGACGAAGACAGAGCAGAAGCCCTTGAAGCCGTTGTTAAAAGCGCCAGGATCGTACCAGGTACGGGCTCCCCAGTATTCAGAATACATGCCGTTGCTGGGACCTCCTCCGAGAACCAAGACCAAGGCGATGATCATGAAGACGATGGTGGCGCCGAGCTTGATACAAGACGACCAGAACTCTTCTTCCGCATATCCTAGGGTACCCCAGACGTTGATTAAGCAGATGAAGACCCAGAAGACCGTGATGAAGACAGCGACGTTTACGGTTTTGGCGCCCTCCCAATAATGAATCGTTAGACCAGCGACGAGAAGTTCGAGAGGTAAGACGATAGCCCATTGGAAGACGTAGTTCCAGCCCATGGCGAAACCCCAGGAAGGATCAATGAAGCGAGTAGAGTAGGTGTAGAAACCACCAGAGACGGGGTACATAACAGCGAGTTCACCAAGAGCGTAGACTACAAACGAAGTTAGTTATGTCAGGATACGCATAGATGCGTGGCGTCTACATACCGACGTTGAAGATCATTATACCCATAATTGAGAAATCAATCAGGACGGAGGCAGGACCCTGTAGAAGCTGTGAGTCGATAATCGAAAGCATTTGAGCGATATGCAACTTACACCTTTGGCCAAGGCACCACCGGAACCGACGAAGAAACCAGCACCGATGGAACCACCGATGGCGATCATGTGAAGATGGCGCGTCTTCATGGACTTGTCGAGGACGACCATGGGGCCGTCTTGGGGACGACGCTGGAAAGACTTCATGTTCAGACCGTTACGGGTCATGAAGTCCTCCTGGTCACGCCAATCAGCGACATCTTCGCTCTGGCTTTCGACGGTCGGGTGCGGGACGCTGGTCTTCTCATCAGGCGGGAGAACCTTCTCGTGGTCCATGATGGGCGGTTGGACAAGTCAGTGCTGGGAATGGGGAAAGACTGGTGAAGACGAGAGAAACCCTGGGAGCGGCTGCTCTTATGGAAGATGTAGATCAGCGGGAGGGGGAGGCAATTGACATTTACCCAGTCCACGTTGGAGATGGACTCACGGAACAAGCGACAGGGACCCCCGTCCATTGATGCACGAGGCGCACGAGCCGACAGCTTGGCATCCCTCCATTACAGTGAAGGGCCAAGCTCACAACTGATAGGATGGCGCCGTATTTGGTTGGCTGGCCGCACAGGACCAGAACAAGCGTTCACCGCAAGCAGGTAGTGCTAGCAGGGACGGTGAATTGGCGCCCCCGCGGCGGCTCTTGGGATTAGCTTGGGACCTCCCCCGCAACAGCAAATCGGCCGGTGGCGTATAGGGCTTGGTGCGAGCTTCGAGGGAGCCCTTGGTAACGTTTGGTCAGACCCGGTCGTTGGGCGGAGATTGGACCCAAAGAGGACTGATAACAAGTGCACGAGTTCCAGGCCTACGAGTAAAGACGAGGAACGAGTTTAGCAACATTCTAGCACACTTTCTAGAACGCTGATTGCAGTGCTGGGCTGCCTTGGCTGCTGCGGTTTTCTTCGGAACCAGCGCCGCTTTCCTTGCCAGCTGCCTCTATTGGCGAATCGAGGATGGTGCAGAGCAACCGTCTTATCTGCAGTCGGATGGCCGCGCCTACTTGGTGTAGTCTGGAGAAGCTCCTCACGTGCCCCGCCTCCATGTGCACCTGCCTGGCCAGGTCTAGCGCGCTCGCTTCCGTCATCTCCGCGTCGGTTAGCCCGAGACGCGATGCCTCTCCAACAATACTGTTTGTCAACCACTCCATCGGTGGCGCTGCGAGGCGCTGCAGTCCTGCCATTGCGAATACCGCGAATAGGCATGGCCAAGCGCTCGTGATTACGGCGTGTGCTGTCTTGTCGGGCGTAATGAGTACGGCAGCATTGTGTTACATTGCCCCATCTAACTTCGCATCCTGGCACGACAATCCCTCGCTCGTTTCAGTTGCCTCGATATCTGGACCCTTTTGCGCTCCACCATCCCGTTCGAGAACAACGTTATCAACGCGTGGGGGAGGATACTACCGAATCCTTTGCTTAAGAGGTGCGACGTCGCGCGTCTTTGACACTTGATTGCAAACGTACCCATCTAACCGGCAACGGCACCCAGACCCACCGTGCTGATGCCCGAAAAAACCACAATTTTTGCCCCAGGAATTGCGGCCAATTACGAGACCCCGCTCATCTGCTTCCCCAATGGCCTTAGCTCATATGTTGCCAAGTTTGCTTGGAATTTCTTCAGTGTCTTGGAACGTCCCATATCGGACCAGTCGACAGGTCAATCACAACACCATGATCCGGCAGCCTGGCGACCATACACAGGCCCGCAGGATGAAGGGTCCACCAGAATCCTCTATCGCAATATTGTCAAATTCAAATTGCAAACGCTCGGTTGTTCGCTATTAGCGCTGCTCCACTGATAACCAGCTGTCTGAGCTTCGTATGTTGGGGTGCTTCGATCCGCGTCTGGGACCACCCTAGGATCCACTGTCACCCACTGGCATCCACTTGGACCTGGATGCCAGATAACCTCATGCCACACCACGGCTACGGAGAGTGACGTTCCTCATGGTATTCGTCACCAGCCGCGAATGTCACAACGGTATAACCCGTACTTCGAGCAAAATCAGCCTACTGCGTTCTGACCACAGTGTGCCTTACGCGAGAAGTCTGACCGATTCTCTCGCCGCATAAGCGGCCGTGGTACCCAGTACGACATGCCGCTTGCACCGAGTTGGCGGTTTCTCAAGCAATATCGCCGAGGATGAGGCCTGTATGCGCATTTACACGCCTTTATCACGATGGACCCAGAATTTTGCGCATAATGATCCTGTCGCAACTAACCTGTCCAACGATGCTCATCAATCACACTACTTCTTTTGAAGATGGTTTATCGTACTAACAACTCGGTGCCAGCAGCCTATCGAGTTTGCGCTACAGCCACCAACCATAAACTCGTCCAACGGGATGGCAAGCTTATACGTCATTGATGCACCATAGGTTATCGCTATTCCATCCGTCATGACACCTCCCACAGTCTGATTTGCGCATCGGAAAGAATGACATCTTTTGAGATTCCTAGGTCGATCGTCTTCCAAGTCTGCTGTGGTTCTAACACACGCTTCGCTAGCACGACGACGTTGCGTTGCCACTATCTACCACCATTCTCTACATCCACGCCAATGAACCCTCTAGGTATACGTCATTCGAATCCTGGAAAGTTTACAGTCTACTTTTGACTTCGTATTGAACTGAGAGCTCAGCAACTATCGCCAGTCCGTCGGACCCGAGATACCGTATATTCTACACATCCATATGGCCTAACGCTCATTTTACATAACGCAATAAGCTGTCAGGCAAAGATCAGTCTCGGAAGACTTGGTCTTGAAGCCTAGATATCCCTATACGTCCTCCACCCAGTACTATATTACTCTCCCTATCGACTTGTCGGCCGTCTCTACCACCAACCAGCCGTTTCCACATTCCTCTCATTGTCCACCTATTCCTCTTTCCTTTCTTTTTCTCATCACCTGTATATTCATTCAACTCCTTCTGTCCCGTCAGGAACAACGATTGATAGAACTCTAACCTCATCATTTCCCGCGTTCTCACAATACTAGCCATGCTACCTTTCCTCTCTGCGATATCCCTTACAATGTCGTACACAGAAACCTTTCTCTTCCGTCCAGGGCAAGGAGTTGGTGTCCACGGGAACAGGAAGCTTGGAGTTGGGAGTGGAGAGGTGGTTGGAAGATGAGAAGCTGGTGAGAGAAACGTCGTCCTGGTTGGGATGGGCGTGGGCGTACGGAGAAATGTGAGTGCCGTTGGCGATATCGGACTATCAAACATGGATAGAGGGGACGCGGGTAAAAGAGGTGTTGCCTTTGGGAAAAGGTACTGTTGGTTTGTTGAGAATTCTGGCGGAGCAAGGTACGGATTTGTTGGTGAGCTCGGCGAGACTTGTGAGCGGATAGATGCGAATGGTGACGGTGTGTCTGGATCCCAGTAGGATAAGACTGGAACGGAGGAGCTTCGTCATCGGAGATGACCAACGCCGACATCAATGGGTAGGTTGCGCGCCGAGGAGTAGGGGGGCGGATGGTGCGCCATAGAGCTGTCGATGCAGTAGGTATGGTGAGTGAGGTTGGTCGAGGGCGGGCTGACGGCATAACCAGTACTTGAGTGTAGGCGGTTGACGGTGGGTAGCTGTAGAGGAACAGTGAAGGTCGAGTTTATTTACTTTCTCCTTGGCCTACTTCAACCATAATGCCACCTTGTTGATATACTTTTCGACAATCCCATGCAGGGTCAGTGTATTGGTTATTGACCAGGGACATACGCATGCTCCATGCTCGGAGACTGAGACTGAGACTGTGGGCGAGCACCCATGATGGAAACCTGAGTGTCTTGCAGGTTTATGGTGTTCTCGTGGTTCGGATTTTACGCCAAGTTCACAAGAAAGCTTCTGCAGCCGTTGACAAGACCCAAGCACAACCCCAAGCCTAGGTCAAGTTTCTCAAGCAGGTTGGGCGAGTATGAGAAATGGAACATGCATGCATTGGACAAGGATGGGCTGTGCGCTCGTAATGTTTCCGTGGCACTGAGACAAGGGTAGATATTGCATGTTAGATGAACGTGCAGTTGCAGACACGACCCATAGGATTGTCCTTGGCAAGGTTCAATAGAGCAAGTACTGAGCAACTAGACGAAGGTCTCGAAACTCCATCGTAGACACAGTGGATACATTCTTTTTCTTTGTCTCGTTGCCAGCTTCCGTATGGCTCCCTTGAAGGTTGTACTACACATCGCTTGCACTCGGTAGAAGTGATGAACATTGGAGATGCAGATCGAGTTGTTCCCATCGAGTCATTATGATGATTAAGAGATGTACAATGTAGATGTTCCACGGAAGATCATCCTGACCCAGAGGGTGGAGAACATGGCTGGACGGATGAGTCAGCAGCATCTGGGCAAGAAGAAGAAATGACGTCTCGCCAACGTTAAGCGCAGGCGCGAAATCCTCCGAATCAGGAGTTGCACTGATTGTTGTTGTTTTTGCAATACACAATCCGCAGAGCAATTTCCATCGACGACTACAGTGCAGGACGCTTCTCCGCAATCGCCAAGGCCCGCAATCTGCAGCTATTGACATCCAAACGGAAAGTTCGCGGAGCAGCCAAAGACCTTTGCGACCTCACCGACGCTGCCCCACCGTCGTCCGAGACACACCCAACATGCTCACACGAAGTGCACTGTGCCCAGCGAGGGCCTTTGCCAACCGCTTCCCGCCTGCGATACTCGCTCCCTCGTCCACGGCCGCAGCATCCTCTTTCTCCACATGCACACGACCAAACAAGCTCCAGCAACAACCGCGCAACAGCCCGACCACCACCCCTCGTACCACATTTCCCAGCAGGCTGATAGTACGACATGCATCGACTGCCCCCGCACAGCCCGTTGCCAACAACTCGCCCAGCGCACAACCCCAACTCACATGGAACGCCTTCTTCGCCCTACGCCGCACGCGCCGGAGAATCGGCCAGGCTTGCTCTGGAGTCGGCGCAGTGGGCGTGACCTATTTGGTCTCACCACCATGATTAACAATGGCTATGACGCCACGCTCTCAGCCCAACTTGGTGGTTTCGACCCATTCATGCTCATGGGACTGAGTACCTTGGGCATGATGGCTGTCGGATGGCTCATTGGACCTATTTTCGGCAACCAGGTTTTCAATCTGGCTTATAGGGGTGTGCTTGGCGAGTTCACGCGGGTAAGTTGAAATCCCATGGATTTGCATCGAGTTGACATGTCGAATACTGATACTGTTTGGTGTAGAAAGATTCGGCCTTCTTTAACCGTATCAAGCGCCACCGCGTTGATCCCACAGCGTCTTCATTGGCGAATCCACCCCCGGATTACTACGGCGAGAAGATTGGCAGCGTTGCTGGTTACAGACGTTGGTTGAAGGACCAGCGCGCATTCAACCTCAAGACGGGCAGATACCGGGCCACCAAGGCTTTGTAATTCAGTCCAAAGGGCCACGGCGTCTTGCAGACTGCATAGCTCGCATGACACAAGCCAAACATCAAGCTGGAGATTGATCTGGCGTAGCAATGTACGGACCGCATCAAAGAGCACAGGGGAAACAGGAAGGAACACCTCGGCCTCGGGATTACGTGAGCGGCAGATGTCGAAGGTGATTGAGCGAGGAGTAGATACATACTCTTCTGTTTTCATTATATGTCAATATATTTCAGCGATGATTCCATCTTCGCACCTTCTCATCTCAGCCCACTTTGTGTTTTCATTTGTTCCAAAAGAGACATGAGCAGTAAACATACATGTATACATATGTAAAAGTTTCGCTATCCTGATGAATCACATCTCCATCTCACGAATTCACATATCACATAACAGCATATAAAACACCAGATAGGCTGCATCAGAAGTCAAATTTCATCCTCACACGAACATACTACAATCTCGCCCTCCTCCTCACCTCCTCCAACACATCCACAACCCCACCCCTAACCTCTCTAACCACGTCCCCAGCTGGCATAACCTCCTTAACCAACCCCACTCCACTCCCCGCATATGCCGTCATTCTCCCCCATGCTCTCTCCACCCCTCATCACCCTTGCCCATCTCCTCCTTATACAACCTCGTATTTTCCTCCTGACTCATCCCCTTGTCCACCGCATCCACATAGCTCTGAGTAATAATCCCACGCGCATTGTGTGTCTCAGCCCAATTTGTGCCACGCAGAGAATCGTAGACTTTGGTGCGGACGGTGCTCTGTCCGCCGTCAGTGGTGCGCAGGACGGCGGAACGGTAACCCTGAGTTATATTGGCTTCTGGCGTAGCAAGGAGACGCGTCCCTAGGATACAGCCCGAGGCGCCAAGGGTGAGGGCAGCGGCGAAGGTGCGAGAATCGGATATTCCTCCTGCGGCTAGGAGCACAGGTTTTTGTCGAGTGTGGTCTTCTTTCTGCAAACACGCATCGATGGTGTCGTTGACTTCTGGTAGCAAGGTTACTATACTTGCTCCTTTTACCAGGCCGTGACCTCCTGCATCTGTTCCTTGCACGACGAGCACATCTGGTTGTACTTGTTTTACCGCTTCGACAGCTTCTTGGACACTACCCACTTGTACCCAGATCTTTGTTTCTGGAGATGCAGCTCTGCTTTTTTCTGCCCATTGTACAAGTGAGGCTGTGGAGGAAGGAGCAAAGAACCATACTGCTGCTGGCCGGTGTTGTGCGATGATGGGGATAGCCATTTCGAGATTCGCGCCCCAATTGATGAACCCAATGCCGATGGGCAAGATACCATTTTGCTTCTGCAATGTAGTACTTTTGAGTAGTTCCTTCGCGTGGCCAATATGAGACGCTAGATCCGAGACATCTGTTCCTGCGCCTATGAAACCAATTCCGCCTGTGTGAGTTTGTGAGTATGATAACGGACTAGTTACGTGTACTGGAGCGCGAGAAGAAAGAGAGAGAGGGAAAAAGCTTTGTACATGTATCTAATGTAATTCTCACCGCAAAAAGAGAGGAAGAACAGCAATGAAATAGTGCTCGTTTCTCATATGACTTACCGGCTTTGGATACTTCAACAGCCATGTCCGCCAAAGCGATTAGTCGCATCGGCGCACCCACCACTAGCGGCGTTTGAATCCATGGGTAATCTTCTTTTAATCTTTGGATGTCGTCCATATCTTCTTCCTCTCTACTTTCAATAGCCTCTACTTTTTTTGAACCCGTGTTTACGTGTACTTCGCTCTGTGTTGCACAAAATTGCGTCTTCCGATAGTGCTGGTAGAATCCCGACTTTGAAACTCTTTTCTTGTGTATTTTACTGTTACCGTAGACAATTTGATAGATCGGTAGGAAGAAGGTAATTATAGGAATGGGTATGTTGTGGTGAGCCCGACAACGCGTGTTTGAGTAATGGTCGAATGATGATGCATGTACCCCAAGTTCCGCTAGACCTACCGGAAGGTTATGACATCTCCTCGGCTATACCAACATGGAACCAAGTCGGCCTTATCCGCAATCAACTTTAACAACATGTTACACCTTTAAACGTATACGATACTATTATGTTATCTTCATTACATCTTTTCTCACATACTCTAAGGTATTAACTAAGTTACTAATCCCAAAGTCTATATCAGTATGAACAGAACCCAATACATCATGCCTGAAAAACCCCAATATCTACATCCGCCAATCATTAAGACCCCTAGTGCGTTATAAGAGGAGAAAAAGAAGAGAAGTCACTACAACTTCTACTGCCTCCTCTCCCATTCGACGATACCAGGAGCCAACGGCCTGGAGAACAAACTCGAGTAGTCGGTGCCAACAATGTCCTTGCTGCCACCCACATTCCTCAGCTTGAACTCGCGCACAAATGCTACGAGAATAGTCTGCAGTTGAAGGTAAGCAAACTGCTCACCGATGCAGCGATGCCTTCCAGCGCCGAAAGGCAGGTAAGGAGAGTTTGTTCCCTTGGAAACGACACCCCAACCATAATCAATCTTTTCTTGATCGGCATCGTCGCGCTCCTCGTCGTATTGTTGGTGCTCGGGGTCCCAGCGGTGCGGGTCCCAGACAGCGGGATTGACAAAGTGGGTATCGAGCAGAGCGGAGAAACCAGGCGAAGACATAAGAGTGTGCGAGGTGGGTACGACATAGTTGGTGCCGTCGACGACGAGGGGTTGCTTGACCTTGCGCATGATTGAGTGGATCGGGGCATGGATACGAAGGGTTTCCTTGACGACTTGAGCGTGGAGAGGTAGCTTCTGGAGGTCTTCGAAAGTAATTTCTGGGAGATCCTCACCAAGAGCAGACTTCTGCTCAGCGAGGAGTTCCTCTACCAGGTGTGAGTTCTGTGCCAAGCGGAGCAGGATCCATGAGATGGTCGATGAGGAAGAGTGTTGACCAGCCATGAGCAGCGCAATCATAATTCCGGCAATCTCGTGCTCAGGAACTGGTGTGCCGTCCTTGTACTTGCAGTCCATCAGATGCCAGATCATGTCGTGTGAGTCCTTCTTGGCCGCACCCGATCTCCTCTTGCGAACGAGTTCAGAGTATAGCTTAATCATCGTCTCTCGTGCGTTGTCGCGTGCGCGATTGTGAGGAAGCGGGGCCCAAGACAACATGAAGTTGACGGGTGAGAAGCCCATGTCGAGGTCGTGGTATAGCTCAGCGAACCTGGAATCGAACGACCTGCGGATCTCCTCGCCCTGGAGCGAACGAGAGGCGGTGTAGATGGTGAGTTCGGCCATGACCTTGGGGACGTTGAATGTACCCTTTTGTCCCTTGAAAGTCTCGTGGCGCTTCATGAAGTCTTCGCATTCTTGTGTGATGAGGGTAACGTAGGAGCGGAGAGCGTCTTGTGTGAGACCGTACTTGACGAACTGTTTTGGCGTTAGCATTTGGCAGTTAAGAGAATGAACAATGCGCACCTTCTTCTGCTCCATGAGCTTTGAGTTGGGGCAGTCATATACAACGTCCTTGCCGAAAACGGGTGTGGTGAGTGGGGAGTAGATCTCCTCGGCATTGACGTCCTTGATCTTTCCATTGAGGATGAAGTTGTTGCCAGTGGTATCCAGGCACACAGTCATCTTGCGACCGAGGAGAATGAAGGTGAAGACATTGCCATACTACTTCCAGTCAGTCATGTTCAACTGTGCAATTGCATCTCCTACACACCTTCTTCTGAGCGGCAAAGAAGAACGCATACGGGTCCATGCCATATGTGACGGTATTGCCAATCACGGGCAGCCAGTGGAAGACCAGAGGCGGCTCGTTGGGGTTCTTGAGCAACAGCTGCTTCAAGACATTGAGAACGATGGCGAGCAGGATAAAGGAGGCGAAGCCGGCGGCGGCGACGACGGGCGTGGACGAGTTGGAGGTAAAGTTGCCCACGGGGCCGGCAACATTGGCGAGGAGACCCATAATGCGCGACAAGAAGCAACAACAGAAGTGAAGGTGTTGTCGAAGGGCAACGTTGACGGGGAACGCGCCTCAATAAATTTCCCACAGGTTGAGGGCGCGCATGGGCCAGGCTATCCAATCATACGAATGAGTCCCCTTTGCCGTACAGGGCGGTATCCGACTGGATCGTCGGTATCGAGGGCTTGGCAGGGACGGCGTGCGGATCTTAGCGCACCCGCTCATAGGAGAGAATGGCACCACTGACAGACCATATGAACCAGATTGCTGTCATCGTACACTGCGTCGTGTCATTGGCCCAAGGGGCACATCACCTCATCCACAACCTAAAGCAGACATGATTATGGTGCAAGATTTACTCTTTACTACGCTATGCTGTGTAAAAAGACCCAGACCGCAGAACGTGTGCTTGCTGTTAACGCATTATTTTACACGTCCGCCTGTACTGCCGTAGAACTCCAGCCAACTAGAACGCCTCGAGTACGCCAGACGCCCCGCCTGAAACATCAAAGAAACACCACATCGTCTCCCAGTGCCATCTTAGCCAACTTGCCCTTTACTCTGTGCAGATGCAAGACTTTGGTCAGTCGCATAGCGGGAACCATCCTCCTCTTCAGAATACAGCGTCTGGTCGCCCTTACCACCCATCTCAACAAACTCCTCGGGGTGTCGCTCATCGGCAGGCCTCACCTCGGCCACGCCATGAGTCCTGCCGTTCATCTTTGTGCCCTTCTCAACTCCATTCTTCTCGTAGACCTTGACTGGATCTTGGCCTTCGGTACCCTTGATGACGCGAGAAACCTTGATGTCGTTGATGCTGCTGAGCATGGTACGCTCTCGTTGCACCTTGCGCTTGGAGAAGTCGAGCTTAGAGATGGCGCCCGTAAGACCATCTGTGCTGTCAGTGACGCTTATCTTGTCTTGCGTAGTCCACGGGTGCTCCAAGCATTGATCAATCGTTATTCGCTGCTCAACATCGACCGTGAGCATGCGGTCGATGAGATCTAGTGCAGGGTCGCCGACAGAGTCCCAGTACGGTGACGGATAATCGAAACGGCCCATCTTGATTTGCTGAGATAGCGTGTATGGATTCTCCGCGCTGTACAGCTCGTCTGAGAATGGCGGAAAGCCACACAGGCAAATGTACAGTACAACTCCTAATGACCAAACATCGACACCCTTGGTGTAACGTCGATGGTTAGAGTTTTCCAGAATCTCAGGTGCGACATCTGAAAAGCATTAGCACACCATCACGCATTGTAGCAAAGCAACATACACGATGGAGTTCCGCATAGTGTAGTCGTAAATGACTCCTCGCCAATGATTTTAGCAAGACCAAAATCGGCCAGCTTGATAGACAGTTCCTTGTCTGTGAGCAGGATGTTCTCGGGCTTGATGTCTCTGTGAACAATATTGCGCTCATGCTAGTAACCGTTAGCAAGGAACCACGCAGAAATTCGAACACTTACCAGGTACTTGACCGCTTGGAACAATTGCACAAACACCTTACGCGCCTCCACCTCAGTCAACTTCTGTTTCATGACGATCCAGTTGAACAGCTCTCCTTCAGTCGCCAACTCGAGAACAAGGTAGACGCCATCATCTTCATCAAAGGTGTCCTTGAGACAGAGCAGTGCCGGGTGGCTGACGCTCATCAACACGGCAATTTCCTGCTGTAGACCCTCGACCTTTGACTTTTCACCTGGACCAGTGCGCTTCTCAAACTTCTTCACGGCATACCGTACACCTGACGACTTTTCCGCGGCAAGGTACACTGAAGCGAAGTGTCCTTTGCCTAATTGTTCCTGCATGGTGTATTGCTGTCGGAATCGGTGGGTATTGCGCTTCAACGGGTATCTGAAGACGTAGCGGGCTTGGTCCAGAATGGCAATTTCGTCGCCTTCGCGCAATTCCCGCCGTTTGTTTCGTCCGACGAAAGTATCATTGACAAATGTGCCGTTGCCAGACAAGTCTTCGACCACGGCAACGGTATCGCCGCCCTTCTTCTCCATGAAGAACACACAGTGACGGTTTGAGACGGTCGGTGAGTTAAGAACTCGATCTGTGGCATCGTCAGGGAAGCGCTCCTACGAACAATTACGTTACCGTGACTTACCGCACTCTCTGTGACGACCGATAAGGTAACCACCGGAGGGAACACCTCGCTCCTGCTTCTCATTCTCGTAGTTTTCCTCCTGGCCTTTGTACTCGTCCTTGCTTACACGCTCCTTACCATCCGTCTTGCCAACGAGTGCGGTAGGAACGGGGCATGCCTCTCGCTTGCGCAAGACTAGGACATCCTCGGCCTGGCCTTCCATAGGCACTAGATAGCCCCAAACCTTTTCGTCCTCCTCATTTTCTACGGCGTACGTCCGGCTCTCGGGTGGGTAGACGAACTGCGAAAAGGGCTGCGTATCGGATGGGGGCGATGAAAGACCACCCTTTGCTTGGCTTGGCTTGCCAGGTGGGGGGCTCTCTGTGCCTTCTTTGTAGCCCTCCGAAGCGTCTCCGGTGGATTCCTTGTGGGTAACGGGCGAAGGCAACGGTCCCTGCTTAAGACGACCATGGGGAGGCGGCGACAAGCGCGAGTGGCGAGTCCTTTTGGGCTCAGCTTCTTCGCCCTGGGAGTACTACAGCAATTGAAGCGTCAGCGCCCATCCTATTCACACATATCGGGCTTGTACAACGGCGACATACGCGATTTCGCTTTAGCTGACTTTTCTCAGTTTGCGCCGGCATCTTGGACAACAACGGCGAGCAGTCGAGTTTCGACGGAGACGGGTCAATGCGGGCGCGTGTATTTCCAGTGTCTAGGTAGGCAGCATAGTGTTGCAAACGATGGAAACGAGTAGTAAGGGCGGAGAGTCTGGGCCGCTAAGCTCGACTGAGATTGAAAGACCGCTCAGCTGCCTCGAGATTGAGACGACCTTCCAGGCAGCCAAGCCCTGGAGCCGGGGAAGTCGCGTCCCACCCCTGCCGATTTGCGCGTGGCGAGACCGCGGCCTTGCTTGAGTGGCTCGGAGCAACCCACCGGCTGACTGTACACAGTTGCTTTGTCGCGAAGCTGTGTACCCATACATTTCACTCCAGTCATCCTATGACATTCCTGTATTCCATATTACTCAGCGTGAAGAAACATCACCGAGGAACATGATATCCGCTTTTCCTCATCTCGACGAAGCTGAGTTTGAGCGCGCCTGCGATGCCATGCAGCGGCGCTTCCAGCTCGAGGGTAGCGTGCAGGAAGGCTGGCTATCCGTGGAGAAGATCCACCGAAATGGGACCGTATATCTCAACATTACCACACATCTGCCGCGCCCTGCAGCATCACCTGCGGTGCATGATCGAGACGCTACTGAACAGGATGAGGTGGTAGAGCATGATGAGGTGGGTTGGTGCCCAAGATCTGCCGACAAGAGCTCAACCCAGGTAGGAGGCCCTTCACGACACTGTAGTACCCCAGGCGGTTGTAAACTACGATGTCGTCTTATCACACGTCTACCGTGTGCCTGTCCTGTATATCAGCATTCGTGACTCTCAACACCGGTATCCGCCGACAATGACTACGTTGTACGAGTATCTAGTCCCGCCGCAGTTCAAGGCCCAGACAGAGAACGTTGGTGTTATTGGAGCCATCACCATCACTGTGAGACGAGTGACCGCATGCATGGTACCAAACTGATCTTCCTAGGACCACCCGGCTACCAACAGACCTGTGTTTTTTATTCATCCGTGTCAGACGGCCGAGGTGATGGAGGCCTCTATTGACAGAAACATTACAGCGGATGAGTATCTGATGGTATGGATAGGAGCCATGGGAAAGGCTGCTGGCTTGCATGTACCTCTACAACTAGCAAGACCAAACGATACTTGACATTGCTACACGTGATTTACATTTCGTGATACAGTATAGTACACCTACAACCGCATCCGCACACTGGCCTTCTCCAGCTCGCCAATGTTCCCCATACCTGCCAAGCTCCACTTCTCCGTCACGAAGCCCTCGTTAACTTGGTGTCGTAACATGCCGCTTTCAGCATAGTACTCCATGATCGATCGGGCCTCTTCCTTGCTCAGCCCGCCGACGTTGATAATATCAAATTCCTTGGAGTCGCTGTGGAGGCCCTTGAGAGCCTCCATGACGCGTACGTCTACGTCCTTGTAGGGATTCCATTGTGGTAGCTTGTCTGCACCCTTTTGACGGGCTTCGGCTGCTTCGATGCAGTGATCCATCGCTGGTGAGGTGGGTGCGTTGGATCGTGATGTTGCGCCGAGCACCACACCGCCATTGGGTAGTTTCCTTTGGCCTGAAAGATGATCTACGAAATGGCGGACAAGAGTCAGGTCGTGGGCGTGAATGGGCTTCACTTCCGCAGACATGTACTCCGAGTGGCGCATGATGTGCGATAGACCGTCGACTGCAAGCAAAATAGGTGGACGACCGGGTAAAGACAGCTCATTCCATAGCGCAACAAAGACGGGCCATGATGCCTCAGGGTTGGCCATGCCAAGTGCAGCCAGCTCTTTCAGTGTAGCACCTGCAGGAAGCGGGAGAGGGAGTTCGGGCTGTGTGCTAAGTTTGGTCGCCGTGAGGAATGCTCCGTTGGACATGAGGATCTGCTGGAGAAGGTTCGCCGTGTATGTATCTTGGGTGTACTGCATCGGATCCGAGTTGGGAAGGGGTGCATAATCTGTGTGAGCGTTGACGATATCTTGGGCTGAAAGCTGTCAGTGCAATCCTTCTGTCCTAAAATCACAATCCGTACCTTCTGGGAGGTTAATCACAAACCAATCCCGCAGAAAACCCATAGTCAGACCCTGAAGCAACAATGTGCTCTTCCCGCTCATTCTTTGTCCAGACAAGATCCGTCGTAATGTCTTCTTGGAGCTCTCTGCCTCTTTGAATAGTCTCGCGAGTTCAATCGCCTCCTTCCTCATCAACACTGCCGGTCGTCTAAACAGACTCCATCCCTGGGTTGTCTTGAATGCCTCGACGGCTCGCAGCGCATCCACTACATTCTCTTGCGGTAGGCCCATGACCTTGCCCTCGTTTTGCTCGCTAAGAACATTGTCCTTGCTGAGGTCCCGGAGCGAGGAAACTTCTAATGCGTTGTCGTTGCTTAGAACGATGCGCTTGCGTTGGGCTTTCCGCTCTCCCTGTGCTGGCCGCTTGCCCGAGTCGCCTGCTGCTGCTCCCCTGCCCTTCTTCGTGTTGAGGGACTTGACACCCTTTTTGGGGCGGCGGTCATGCCCTTCTTCTTAGGTACGACAGCATAGCGGGCGGACGATGTAGAAAAGCAGGCTATCTGTGGGCGTAGCATGCGCGGGGTGACACAACTATGGGCGCCGGCATCGAGCGACAGTTGAGAGAGGCTCCGGAGGCATGTTGAAGGCGGCATGACGGGTAATCGAGGCTCTGACCCTCCGCAATGGGCGAATTGGAGATGCTAGAGACGAATTCTGTGATGGTCAGAGCCTCGGAGGTCCGCCGCTCGTGCACGGACTCGAAATTTATTCTGAACTTTTGGCAGGCGCGCAAAGTGAAATTCTACCAAAACCACTCCAACTACTCAAAATGTCAGACACAGAAATGGACGGCGGTGTCGCGCTAGGTGCAGCTTCGCCCACGCATTCCCAGCTCGTCGACGAAATCAACGGAGGCGCCATGGACGTCAATACCAACGGCGCAGCTTCCGTCGCAGACTCGACCATCTCAAGCCGACTGTACGTCGCATACTTGCTTTGTCCTCTACTTCACCTTTGCTGACTCAACAAAGACCCATCACTGTGAACAAGCCCACGCCTTTTACCTTTGACTTGGGAAACCTGCTCGCAAACGACCCGAACCCAGTCCCTGCCAGCGCCGACGAAGCCACTCTCGCTGCAACTGCCCGCGATGCCGCACAGGCCCTCATCAACCAGCTTCTCTCTACCTGCGAAATCAAGTCAAACTCAGAGGGCGTACACCTCGTACTCCCCGCGCCAACAACACCTCTACCCCGCGAAAAGCCTATTCCTGCAGCCGCAGAGAAGACTAAATGGGAGAAGTTCGCTGCTAAGAAGGGTATCAAGGACAAGAAGCGCGACGGCAAGCTTGTATACGACGAGGCTTCTGGCGAGTGGGTGCCCAAATGGGGTTACAAGGGCAAGAACAAGGAGGGTGAGAATGACTGGCTGGTCGAGGTTGACGAGAAGAAGGAAGCCAAGACAGGTACGGCTCACGACGCGAGGGCGGATAGTCGGAAAGAACGTAAAGAAAGAATCAGGCGCAATGAGAGGAAGGAACGAGCGAACAGCGTCAAGTCTCGAAAGACTGGTGCGTAAGCTCGAGCACTTGACGGTTGCGTCAGTGGGGTGAAGACTTTCAAAACGACTTGCATTGGGCGGCGTTACTATTACGACATGTATTCGATTTCATGGGCGCATCGGTTAAAAGCTTGCGAACATACACTGTTATTGACTGTTCCAGAGGCCCTAGCGTCGTCTCTCAGATACCACAAGTAACCGAGCAGTCCAATTTACCATTTTTGCAATTTCCTCACTCAAAGAACACGGCAAACCTGAGTCAATGGAAAACAACGTCAATTTAAACAACATGTCGTGTAGACGATGTAGCGAGAGAAGAAAAAAAGGTCGATTGCGACCTACCTACACTTCCCCCTTCTATGTTCTACCCAAACCTGGGCCCCTAATATCTCAAAGAGTATATAAGAAATCCGGCCTCTGATCTCCCATCTCCTCAATCTCTTTTTCACTCTTTCCCTCAATCCACACATCCCTTGCTCCTTGTCTCCTCTTCTTATTTTCCCACGCGAGCAGGAACCGCGTCACGATACTGCCACCCAACAGCCACAACGTCAAATACGCCAATACAACACCGTGGCCGAGAAAGTAGCGTGGCTTATCCCTACTGCGGTAGATGTTCGAAGAAACAACGCCGTTGATGTTGCCCCAGCCAATCACACAACCAAGGGTGACGCCGCGCTTGTACACGCCTTCGACATTGTTGGCCGCCCAGGATATCGTGTTTGCTATCGTTGCTAGATGAGGGTGTTAGACTCAAGAAGGAAGTGTGGTTGGAGAGATAAGGGAAGACTCACGATAGATGCCGATTGCTCCCAAGAAAGTACCAGCGTATTGAACGTTGGGATTTCCGGAACCAAGAAGCATAGCAAACCCCACAATACCGAAAAGCGAAACTCCCATGTTGCAGTACCCCCTCTGCTGCGTACGATCGGCGATATAACCGACCAACACTGTCACGACAGCTGCAACCGCATACGGAGGTACAGAAAGCAGATTCGCCGTTGTCGAGGTATAGCCCATGCCAGCAAGAATACTTGGTAAGAAAAGACTGAAGGCGTAAAGAGACCCGTCGGCGCCCATGTAGATGATACTGAACATGAGTGTCTTCCAATCCTTGAGCGATTGCCAAAAGTACTTTATTTGGAAGTCTTCGTGCGCAGCCGAGGCCTGCTTGTCTGCCCGTAGACGGCGGAGGACGCGAGCTCGGTCGTCAGGAGAAAGGAATGTGGCTTCGGCAGGGAAGTCATGGACCATCCAGTAACTTGCTATTCCTACGAAAATGGTGGCGAGACCTTCGAGGATCTGTAGAGTATTGTCAGCAAACATGTTGGCACAATGAAGAGAGGGGAATATAGGTTACTTACGAAAATCCACGCCCAACCTGGTTTTCCCCCTACACCTCCCATTTGCGCAATGCCAGCTGCTAGCAATCCACCGAAACTACCAGCCAGCGCTGCAGCCGAGAAGAAGATAGCAGCTCGGATGCCGAATTCGGATCGTTTATACCAACAACTCAGATAGTAGTTTACACCTGGGAAAAGCCCTGCTTCAGCGCACCCAAGCCACCAGCGCTACAGATATTTCATCAGCCAACTCAATCGCAAAACCACACCGTTAACGAGAAGGCCCACTTACTGCAGTCATCAAACCGGCATAGTTATGCACTAAACCCATGCACGTCATACAAATTCCCCACCAAATCATAATTAGCGGCAAGAAGATACTTGGTCGTAACTTCTTCAAGAGCACATTCGTCAGTGGCTCAAACACTGAGTAACTGACGAAGAAGATTGTTAGACTGGAGTTGTACTGGCTGTTCGTCATGTTGAGGTCTTCTTGCAGGCCGTCAACTTTGGCGTTACCGATATTTGTGCGGTCCAGGAAGGAGATGAGGTAGAGGAAGGAGAGCCATGGGATTAGTCGGAGGTCGAGTTTGCGGAGAAGGGCTTTGTCCTAGTAGGTATCTTGTTAGCTCTGTTCATAATGGAGGGTTTTAGTTCAATAGGTAGATAACTTACGTGCGCGGCGGCTCTTCTTCGCTGAGACCAGCGTCGGGATCAGGTAGGTTCTCGATGGTGTGAACATGTTTTGCTACTTCGAGATGCTCTTCACCTATCGTCTTCTCTTCCTCGCTCGACGTGCCCATTGGCCGTTCTATTGCAGAGGCCATGTAGACGGATGTAGCCACACTGTAAGCTAGTAGCTTGTAAAATACCAAGGCTTGTTTAAACCTTGCCGTCAACTCTAGTTGGTAGATTTCGAGAGCGCAAAGAGGCTGAGCGCAGAAACGTTAACAATCGCGGTCCGAAGAAGCACAAGTCAGTGTCTCGACCATGGAACTGGGAAATTGCTTGCCCAAAACTACCCCTCGATCAGCGAGAGACTGTCCCTTAAGAACGTCACGGCCACCCGAACCACTGGAGAGGCGGCTGGGATATCATCATCCCGAGGCTATTGAGCCGCCTATCACCTAGTCCAGTCATGATAATCATATTCCGATGACGGCATTGGCAGTGACTGGTATGCTTTTCTCCAGCATGCAATCCCCACCACACACTTCCTAGCGTTTGCCGATCCCTTGTCTATCAACAATGGGAACTTCTCCCGCGGAGTGTCGGTATTCAGAAGTAGCAGCGAAGTGTCGTTCTCATGGGTATATGGTTATATGATTACATGTCTTTCGAAGATGCCCAACATAACTACCGTGTCGTTGGGACCATTCATTAACGTTGGGACAGAGCTGTGTTGTGACAAAGAGGCTTGTGTCGTTCGTGACCCACTGTTCATACCCCACGCTACTGGTAGTAATTCCAGAAGATACAATACAACACACAGATACCATTTTGAATCTGCCTCCTCCTCCGTATACGACGATTCAGATACAAGTTGTAGATCTCAACGGCGCAGCATCATCGATGCCGAGGATTGGGGCGTTATATGCCGAGCATTCAAGCACGAAGGGCGTTGCAACGTGTGCGGGGATCAAGATGCGGGGACGGCTAAGCTTCCACACAAGCCTGCGCTTGTGACGTTGCTTACTTAGACACTAGCAAGTGCTTATCTGCCAGTAATAACCCTTGTGGGCTTAAGCGATTTTCGAAACTGAGTTGAAATGTTTTGTTCCTTCGGGTGGGAGAAATAATCACACCTTTGGAAAGAGATTCACACAGGGCTCGACGCTCATCCAGTTGTTGCATCTTGCCAACTTCACTACTGCGGCAGTGCCGAAATCGCTAAATGTTTGAGCCTGGTGCCACCAGTGTACATACGTAGTATCCACACAACAGCTCGTGACCGAAAATGTGGATATGCTATGAAATGCTTGTCATCATGTTTTGAGGCACGAGCTCGCATTATCATCCAGCCTGCATATAGTTGCAACTTTAGGAAGCTGCTTTCCGGAAGTCTCTTGATTTGGCGCTGCGGCCTCACCATGGCCATCTTTAGCCTCCATGAACTCGTTTCCTTCTTTCCTCTTAGGTGTTAGACCAAATAAGCCTGATCTCTTTCTCACCATGGCCAAGATGACTGCGACAACTACATTGAGTCCAGTAAAGGCCAACGTGACTTGGAACTGCCTATTGTCTAATACGTACAGACTAGTTAGCATGTCATGTATACCCACATCTGCAAGTAACGGGCACTTACAACTACCACCAAAAACGATACCAACTCGATCTCTCACATCGGCCGGTAATCGCGCAATCGTCGACGTCGAACTTTGCATCCCGCGGATTTCCTCGGGACTCAAGAAATCGGATAGTTTTTTATCCAAGTGCTCGCGATGTATTGCGGAGCAGATAGCGACGGCGACGCAGCCTCCGAGTGTGCGTACCATGTTAAGTGCGCCAGTACCGACAGCAATGTCCTTTTCTTGGATCGAGGTAGCGACGAGCACAAAATATGGAGGACTTGCAAGACCCAAAGCAATACCAGCGATGATCTCGTAACCATATAGTCCTGGCCATAGGCGGGAATACGTTGGTAAACTACCAAGAAGCCCAGTCCCGACACATACAATTGCGGTTGAACAAACCAAAATAATCTCAACTGGTGCCTTCTTCACTGCTAGTCCAGATGCCATGGCGCCAATTGGGGTGACAACGGTCGCCGGAAGCAGTAGGATGCCGGCACGCTCAGCGCTTGTGAAGTTCACTCCTTGGAAGCGTTGAGGGAGCTGGACGAAAACGACGTAAAAGGCGGATCCCAGGAGGAACTGGCTTCTATTCTATCGTCAGCAGATCCTGGTTGGAGGATTCCGAACTCACAACAAAGTCAATGCCATGGGCGTATTTCGAAGAAAATGTATGGGAAAGATGGCAGCTCTTTGCTCCCGAGACGTTATCCAAAACTCATACAAGCCAAAAAGCACCATGAGAGCAATCCCAGCTACCAACGGTCCGATGACAATGCCACTACCCCACGAGTGTGACACTCCGACCTCCTGAAAGGCAAAGATGAGTGGTATATGCCAACAGACCGACAAGATGCCTCCGTAGATATCCAGCTGCTGTATCCGCTGTAGATTCGTTCTACCGTCGTCAAATGCAGGCATCGAGAAGAATAGCATTGCCATTGCGATACCGATGATGGGACCACTACCGCGAGTCAGCTTACGTAGCTTGATGGCTTGCGCTTTGCATACTTCATGAAGAAAATCCATCTCCAACTTGCCCGATCAGCGATGATTCCACCAAGTAAAGGTCCTAGCAGGTTTGCCAAAGCAAATACCGAGCTTATAACACCAGAGTAGAAGCCAATCTTCTCGGGTACAATCATCTTCATGATGCACACGAACGTCAAGCTGTAAAGACCGGATCCTCCAATACCTTGGAAGGCGCGGAAGACGATAAGCTGGGTCATTGTCTGCGCCCCACCGCAAGCCATGGAGAATATCAGGAACACCGACGCGCAAAGCAAGAGCAGGCTCTTGAGGCCCCAGACGTCGCTCAGTTTGGCTGTGATCATCAAGAACGCTATGTTGTCAGCCTTGTGAAATGGAGAAATAGAGGAGTCTCACAGTTATAGGTTAGTAGATACGCGGTAATGAGCCATGTTGCTTGCTCAAGAGCGTCGAAGTCGCTCGAGATCTTGATGAGCGCGGTCGTGACGATGGTGGTGTCCAAAGCTGACAAGAAAAGACAAAGCCATAGTCCAGCAATGATGACATGCAATCGATTCGAGCTGATATTTGGCACGATAGGTACGCTGGAGGTTGTGCTATCGCCTACAATCCGGCTACTCTTATCATCAACCATGTTTTTGTTGAGATTAGGGACAGCTGTCCGTCCTCCGTCTGACTATAAGCTACTAGCCACAGTTGCGGCGTGGTTGCATGTGCGGAGGACCGAACCCCTGCAACAGCTCATACATACGAGGCTCGCATAGACCGGAGTCAGCTGTGACAGGCCACATCTGTCTTCAGTGGGAAGATTGTGAGATGCAGAGGTTAATAGCCGCAGACTCAAAAGCTATTGTGTCGCAGCGAGCCATACTTCAAGAAGCCTGCATCGTTTTGAAAGGTAGGGTGTTGTGTCTTTAGGTCGCCTAGGTACGGTCTCTACGCGTTCAAAGCGCATTCGCTTGGGAAGGAAGCCGTTCTTCCGGCTTATTCTGTCCCTTCGCTGCAATACTTCCAACCAGTCGCCTCTGCATCGCATTTTCATCTCGCGATCTTGTGAGCAACCCGACAGTAATAGCGATTAGAAAAATGAGTGTTATAGTGGTTAGGCTTATGCAGCTGCAGGTCGGTGGGCGTTGGAAAGCCGTGCCGAGCAGAGACGAAAGGTCGAAATCGTCTGGTTATTTTCTTATCCCCTCCTTGGTTGTTCCCAGCGTTCTTCTTTAGTTGCAGCGCTTTCTTTTGATGGAAAGGAGCAAGTCATGATGGTTGGATGATGGTCTTTGTGGTTTCAAACCATGCCACGCGAAACTCGCGCGCGCCTGCAACTGTGACGTCAAACGCCATTGGGACGCGACTTCCATACCAGCCCCTACCGCGCTCTCACTTTCTCAAGTACGCTTTGCTCACATTTTCAACATCAATCACCTCTCGGTCCTGTTCACATGGGGCGAAAGATTCCAGTTTCATTTTTTTTCTACCTCCTCTTATTGTAATGACCTCGATTTCGCTTGAAGCGGCTATCCAGCAGTCCGACGACGACGCGTCCAATTCACACCTCTACAAACTTATCTCTGCACGCGACTTCAGTGGACCGACTCTTCCTTCCGTTGCAGAAAACTATCTCGAGACTTTTTGCAATACCAATTTGTCCGTCGTACGGCGGCGATGGATTGGCATCGCGCTTGCAGGCATGCTGGAAAAGCCAAAGGTGGCTGCACACTTTACAAGGTCACACCTATTACACAACTTGGGTGCCATCGTCTTGAGCGGTACGGAACAAGAGCAGACTAAGATTGTCACTGGAATTATCATACGGCAGGCATTGGAGCAAGGCATCGAATACAGTAGCTTCTGGTCATCGGAGAAGGTCAGACACGGCGCGCCAACTTTTCCGCTCAAAGCCGATGCGAGATGGATGCATAACTTTCAAATCTCTCTCGACGCTCTGAGCGATCTGGCACTCACGAAACCGACTAGTGAGCCATCAATCACGTACTTAGTCTCGCTCCTCGCCTCGGATGAATTCAGATGGCGGGAGTCAACCACCGCTTTCCCTGTTGCCCTTATCGAGGGCGAAGTGATGACCATCATCGCGCCTGACGAGTACCTCAAAGAGTGCCATTTTGTAGAGATACCAATCGAGCACATCTTGAGCACACGTTTAGAGCCATCGACACTGCACGATTCGCAGACACAACATACAGAGCACGAACCGTGGGACCTCATCATGACACTCAAATCAAACCCATGGAGCTACCGTCTGAACTCCGCCCAACGCGTCGCGACTGACATGTCGCTGATGTTCAAACATTCGGAGGACGCGTTAGAGTGGGAGAGTTGCATTAAAGCTCATAAGAAACTGCATACGCACCACCCGAATACGTCTCGTAACTTGCCTGTTGATGCGAGCTCGCCTTCTATCCGATGTTCAAACGTAAGACGGTCGCTCCGAAGTGGCTCCCAGCCGCGTCGAACGGAGCACGCCACTACCAAGAAAAGCAGCGATTCAATTTCTCTGCGATCGCGTGCACGAACTCCTCGAGCTGGTTCGCAGGCACTTCAAGAACTCCAGCCACAGCATCAATCGACAACATCGAAACGCACAACACACACCAAAGGGAAGTTACCTCGTGTATCTCAGGCCGCAAAACACAAGATTTTCAAGAAGCTCAACGCAGAAGCTGATGCGGAATCTAAGGACTTCGACATAGATATAGAAGATGCTCACACAGATGCTTCAGGTACTCCAAGTGTTACTTCATCACCGCGAAAGAAATCGCAGGGCTCAAAGGCTGCCCCAGGCAAGAAAGCAACCGAGAGCAAGTCGAGGGCACGCATATCGCACATCAAACACACGACAGATGACGACGAAGACTTCATACCAACTCAGACAAAGTCAAAGAAGAAGACCAATCCCAAACGTAAAGCAGCACCAGACACTACGGCTGAGAGCAAACCGACAAAGAGGCCTCACATACAGCCGAGTAAAGGTGTGAAGTCGAATGCAACCGGTCCAAAACAGCAGGGTCAAACAAATCCGCTTACGGAGCCACCGAAGTCATTATCGCCCGTCTTGCCATTGCAGCACACCTTGATCGGAGGGCTCCTGGGAAGTCAAAGACCCACAAACGTCTCTGATCTCTCATTCAAGAAGCCAACACTACCAGCAAGAATTGCCCAAACTCCTTCGACCCCTACGAAGCCAAACAAGAAGCTCGTAGAAGCACTATCACGGCCAAAAACCCCCATGGAAGCACGAAGGCGTTTTGATGACGATGCTTTGCAGTACATGGCATCCTCACCACCACCCGTAGCCGACGAATTCGAAGACAGCAACGAATGGCACGAGGTTCTTGTTGAGACCGCAATACTCTCTAGCAACAGCAAGCCTACCCCCGCGTCACCAAATGCGGAATCGACAGCGATTTCTGGCCACGCGGATTGCAACGACGTAGCTTCCGAGAAGAAGACTGGTGACTGGCAGAGGGCCCAAAAAGCGATCCTTTCAGCCGGAGGTCCGCTGGCAAGAAGGCTACATCGTTCATACGCCGTCTGACTGGTGAAGAATCGACGAACGAAGATGCTAGCCTGAACGCTGGCGTTTCAGACCGCATGCCTGTCGCAATCGTAAATTCTAGCACATCAAAAGCCGAAGCTTCAATAGCAGCGAATCAGCCACATCCACAGAAGATGCCTCGGGAAAAGAAGAAGCCATATCTTCCTGAGATTGATGCGAACAACTCGTGCACGCTTCCTAAAAATCCAAGTCCCCGCACATTCACAAAAGACGTCGATGTTATATCGCAACAGATTCCAGATATCAGGAACCGGGCGAAGCGGTCATCTCGTCCGGTGCCAAATACGAAGACGCAGCAAAAACTTGAACTAGTCCTTCAACAAGATAACAGCGATGTAGGCGAGTACACAGAGCATTGCGACATGCCAAATGCGTCCACAACGCTGTCTAAAGAGACGAAAATAACGCCATCACTGCTTCGTAATGAAATTGCCGCAGAAAACGATGTCACTCAACCGATTTTGGTCCCCGACCAGCAAATTGTCGACTTTACTCAGCCAACTATTCGAGCTGGTCAGCAACCCACTGACGTCCTGCGAAACTCGATTGAGGAGACTCAGCAAGCCATGAAATACCCGCAGCAGATCACTGAGAAGAATCAGCAAGTGGTTGATGACCCACCTATCGAGCAGGCACCTAACCAAGACCATACAAATCTTGAAGATGATACTCTCGTCGGCGATGGCGATGGCGATGGCGATCAGCAGGCTGACAATGAACTCATCGCTTCACCAGTAAACTTTCGCTCCTCCCCGCCACGCCCAGGCTCCTCTAGTAGTCATAGCTCAACGTCCGCTGCGCCCGAGCCATTGACTGATCCACCCCTACCACGCTCGCAAGCTGAAGAGATGGAGTGGGAAGCGAGTCTGCAGCCGCATCAACGCGATCTACATGAACTGATGATACGTACTTCAAAGCGGGTCATGCGACACATCACTGACAACGAGGCTAGTGTGACTGACATTGCGGAGACGTACGCGCAGGATGGCGAGCATGTACTCAACACTCTGCTTCAGCTACACAAAACCGACCATGCGCACGTCTTCCAAGGCATGGAGAGCACAAAGGCAAGTCTTCGGAAAAACCTCGAACGTGCTGCCAAACAAATGGCAAAGGAGAGAAGACAGGTCAACACAATTGCCTGATGTTCATGAAACTCACAACGAATGGTTGCGAAAACGGCGTAACATTCTATAAGGGGTGTATTATGCAAGAAATGTATGATATCATGAAAGTCTATTCACGAGCAGTACGAGAGTAGGACACCATGATAGCATAGTATGACGTTTTAATAGACATGTACTAGTAGTTACCAGAATCACACATTCATACCATGTCTTGCTTTGTACGTGAATCATGAGTGGCTTCCTCCAGTATAAGATGCGCCTTCATGTATAGAACTCTCGCGAGAATTTCGTTGCGAGCTCTGCTCCTTACTCTTCCCTTTCTCTACTATATGCTTCATTGAAATGCCACCCCACGGTAGTCCCGAAAGTGATTGGCTTGTATCGATGTTCTCTGGCTCTGGCGATGCGTATGAGCTTCCAGCCTGTCGTTGGTTCTCCACGTGGCGCTCAGTTTCCTCTTTCTGCTCCTTGATCTTGTCGCCTTGTATGTGTCAGCGGAATTCCGCTGATTGTTATACTTTGTGCTACTTACGGAATCTTCTTTGAGCAAGTTTGTTCTGGATTTTTCGCCTTTCGTTAGGGTCTTTGATGTCGGACCAGTCGTCTGATCTTGCTTCCGGAGACTCGGCAGCGACGGATGAGCCACCCTTGGATGAGGCGGGCTGGTTGGGACTGGATTGCTGACCCTGAGACATGACTCCAGTCTATAGCTCTTGAAGCTGCCCAGGTGGTATCGATGAGGGTTGTGCTTTGGATTATGGCCGACCTGCAGCTTTCTCTTTTTCTCGGAACAGGTACCTGGTGACGAGCCAAGAGATGGAGAGAAAGTTGCTCCTTGTTGAGTAGTAGTAATGTGGTGTAGGCCTGGAAGAATGTCGAATGAGATATGACATCAATCTAGTAGGCGGGTGCATAGCCAGTATTTCTATTGTTATGTGATATTGAGGGATCCATTGATCAGCCGCAAGACGGAGTGTTTGGAGGAGGAGCACGTCGAATGATCCAAGATACTAGCATACTCGAACCAAGCCTTTGGAAGCTGGAGGCCTTGAAGCAGCGGGGTCTGTGAGTGCAATTATGACGGTGATGTAAAGGGAGGATATGCGAAAAGGGCGCGGCTGAACTTTTGAGACGGTACTGCGAAGGATTGCCCATGATACCTAGTGAGAAGTTATACAGGGCTAACCACTCTTGACGCTTACTCTTTTGTATCAGCTCAGCCCATCCGTTATGACATAGCATTCGAGGTTCAGTGACTGTACACAAATACCTGGACCAAGACCCGCAGCGGAACGAAAGCTCAATTGTTCTTAGGCTCACGCATTAGTATGCTATAACAAATACCCTAAGTGACTACCATTGGTGCGTCCGTATACAGTAGAAATGCAATTTCCAAAGGAGGTTAGGGGTCTACTCGACGCAGTACCTGCATGCGTCGCAGCGGGGCCCGGGATGACCGCATCGCTGTAGCCTTGTCGTTGGGCTGAAGTGTCTTAAACGCTCTCTCGGGTCGAGTTGCACCAACAACGCTTAGTCCTTCCAAAGGCAGTAATAGCGTGCAAGCACATCAGCCTCGTGCTCCTGAAGTGTCCTGGTATCAGGCTACCTTCTTGACATCGCATTCCAGCTCTTGGCTAAGAACTCCTTGCGCAGTCCTATTCGCTGAGGGCTTCATTACGACAAGTGGTATAGTGATTATGCTGCACGCTTTTTTTTGGTATGACCCAGCTTGATGTACGACACAAGGACATGGTGGTCAAGGGTGAGCGAGCGCTGCAATGTCCCGAGTCATGTCTGAGTGGGGCATCATGAGAAGAATGACAGAAACACAAGAGCGAAAGCCTCATACTGTCTGCCAGCGATGTCGAAAGCGTGGGGTCGGTATAGAGATGGAGCTAGCAGTGGCGGTCCAGGGCTACTGTGAAATGGAATTGCGGTCGGCTCAACGCTCACTAAGCCTGGTCGGGCGAGCTAGACCCGCATACCTTCACCTCATTTGTCAGATCTTACCAGCCACGCGTGGCTCAAGTATGCGCTGACCGCTCTGCAATCCTGCACTGTCGATATCATGGCCCGTTGCCCTTCCTTGTCGAGGGAGCGAAGTGCAATTATAGATTCAGTTTCGCTTTGCTCGGTGTAGCTCGCGACCTTCCTGATGCTGTCCCCAAGGCCCGGCTCTGCCGCACCTGGATCCGAAACCAACCTGGACCCCAAAAACATCCATGGATGTCGCGTATATTTTCAACACGCGAAGACCCCGGACTTCAAGTCGTAGAAGCCCGCCTCTGACCTGGAAGTGTTTGCGAAACCAACAATGACATTCTTGGTGATGTTTCGCTTTACCTACCGTTATCGCGTAGTCTTGCGAAACGTACGGTATGCTCGCCAGTAGGTAACATGAGCCGCTAAGAGAAAGATCGGATGCCTTAGACCGTCTACTTCTTCGCGCTCGCACTACTAGCTTGCGATACTCTTGTTCTTGACAAATACTGCTCGAAGGATTACGGACCGATTCCACCGCCCTGCAGTCGTCCCCGCAACTTGATAAGAGTGGAGTTTTGGTCGGCCTTATTACAGGGGTCTTTGACGGCTTCTTTGCGAATACGGGACGTTGCAAACGGGTCACGTCCAGCGGCAGCGTACCGCGGATGCTCGGAGCATGTCTGGCACTATGATCAGCAATTCGAGGCTTTCCAGCCGCGATGTGGGGCCTTACGTTTCCAACTTCACAGTGGACTCGAAAGAGCGAATTTTCTACAAACTCCCCAAGACATCGCAATTACATGGCGTCCAGCTCCATCCTTCAGTCATCTGTGGCTGGTGCCAGGGATGGGGCTGGACAGCGTTTACCCACAGCTCGAACAACTTCACGTAAGACGGTATGATCATAGCTGCTCGCTTGGAATGAGGATGAATCTGTGCACTCTCGGCTGTACACAGTTCCGAGATCTGAGCTAAACCCAACACCCGTTTCCACCAGTTGACGGATGCGGAGGTGTGGGACACCACGTATGTTGATGTTGTGGGTTGCTGCACAGTATGCACAATCTTTATGAAAGTCTACGGGTACGGTAGGCGTGCAAAACATTCTATTATACCCGCTCTCAATGAGCACAGTCATCTCAATGGTGGGTCGCGTGATGAGAAATAGCCACCGGGGCCTGGGCAGCTAGCATTTGCTGTCGGATGGAGTACTCACCTTCAACTCATCTATACAGCTTGCATCAGAGTCAGCTATCTACCAGAAACAAATCCACACGTCGAACATCAGAGTAGTAGTGAGTACGTCGAAAATAACCCGTGCTTGCTAACACCGATGTTCTATCTTAACGACTGTGCTTTATATATGCGTGAGCTGGTGACTGATAATTGTGGAGGAACAGTAACTTCAAGCAACTTCAATTACCTCCTGTCTCACAGCTTGGCAGTTTTTTTGTGTTAACCGTGTCTATTCCATCAACACTAGTACAAACCACACGGACTGCAAGACATGCTCAGTACTAAACTGCATAACAGTTGCACCTGGTAGCGGCAAGAATCAACCTACAGCGACTATGATTTGCGAGAGTCTAATGGCTACGAATCTATCATCTTTCAACTCGCAGCTATCTGCTAGGCTGCCGATGACAGTGTCGTCTTTGCAGTGTGGTTAGCGACGCAAACTTTAGTTGAGGCCATATGGTCGCTGAAATACGGTACTGTCAAGTTTAGTAGAGTTATATGGGAAGAAATAAGGTGTTCCTGTAATGTGTTAGCCGCTATTGGAGAGGTAGCCAACTGGTAAGGCGGTCAGTAATACGTTCAGCATAGCGCAGTCATCTTGCCGTCATCTGGGAAATATAATCGTCTTTTTCAGTATAGGTGAGCACCCACAAGGTCTCGTGCTACCCACTATAGTCTACCTTAGGGTCAGACCATGGCCCTCGCAATTCGAGCAATAGAAACACATATCTCGCACAAAAGCGGCTTTGACACGCTATGCATACGACCTAAGGGTATCCAGGCGTCTCACTTGGTACCAACATCATTCCAGTTGTTTCACAATCATCCGGACACATGCACTTGATTTCGTGCCTCAACCACTCCTGGAATACTTGCTGGTCATACTTTTCGTGTAAACTCTCGGTGGAAATGCTTTCGCGAGCTTCTTCCATCTAGTATCGTTGAAGTCTGCCACCATATCATCGTATTGAAAGATACGTGTGATGTGGACTGGACCGTGGTAGCTGAGTTGGAAGAGTATATGGCTCTCGATACATGCGATACATACGCCGCCATCGCCGTCTTGTCCAGGAACGAGGTGGGACTGGTATTTGAATAGGATTGGCGTTGAGGTTTCCTACGATTCTGAATCGAGTTGGACATACTGTGTTATGGGCTTATCATCAGCACACACATCGCAGGTGAAAAATGGGGTTTGTTGTGGACGTGGTAATTGTGTCATTTATATCATCGTCTTTGCTACAGACCATCGAACAGAAACACTATGTGTTGCGGTTACGGCTGTCAAGGATCGTAGCATGAATGGGAGAATGGGCGATCTGGTCAACTCAATTGTAATAAGTAGCTTGACGGAAGATTGACATGCCGACGTGTTATTCCGCTACTGTTTGTAACATCAGTTTGGGAATGGCAAACTGTAAGACAATCAATTACAGTCTGCAGCGTAGCAATCTTGCTTGGTTTAGCTTAATTGATTCACTGGTGTATCAAGCAACGAAGGCCCGTTTCATAACGAAGAACGACGAAGCTACAAACCTAGCAATGAAAGACTTGGGAAGTTATTGGGTTCATTTCATGAGACAGTACGCTGGGGATGATTCTAACCATCTCGACTATCTCAGTACTTGCTAATATTCAAGGCTTGAGGTCTCCTCTGCATGCGAGCTTCAGTCTGATCATTTCGACTGCTTTGATACTCACCTTGACGTACCCCTTGCGCTATGAGCTTGGAACGTACGAAGCGAGTTGTACGAAGGAGAAGAAAATCGACGGTTCCGTAAGAAGGTATGGTCGTTAAAGGTCAACGTAGTTGTTCTTGTTCTTCGACGACGGATGAGCACGCCCAATGTGTCTGGTTGTGAACGAGATCGATCTCACCCCTTTCAAGACCAGTAATGGCAATCATGCTAGCTTTGTTGATGTCTGAGTGGCAAATATCTGATGTTGATCCCGTGAAAGAGGAAGGTAAGTAGTAAGGACGATCCGGCGAATCTCGTCGACATGTCTTGTTCGCAATGGTAAAGTGTGGCGAGATGATCGTGTGGCGTCTGTGGCGTAGTGATGATTGCTTGCTTTTTGACAGATGTGGGCCACCCCTGCCTTGTTTGAGAGCAAATGCGTGGAAAGATTTGCAGTGACAATTACACAGTATTACTGATTAGAATACCATCAACGGTGAAGTTTGGTCACGATAACCTGTTTTGCGTTGCGGGCGAGTATAAAAGCCGCACTGTGCCTGACGATCGATACCGCGCTTTTCGATGCATGGATCCTTGGTGGTAGTACCGAGCAAATAAGGCGCGGTGCACATGGCAAACAAGGTCTGGTCAGAAATGACGCAGGTTACAGTGGCTGAACAGAGGGGCACCGTTGGTAGAACCACTGGAAAGTTGAGGCGATGAGTTTGGCAGTGGCTGACTCTAGTCGCTCTGGCCGATGTAGCGCTGATTACTTCAGCCTGGAGGGCATAGATCGGCGTGCTCTGACGGCCAGTCGTCTGCATGGAGCAGCACTCGGCTGCTTTGGTGTACCGGCAAGAACGGGTAGGCTTGTAATTCTCGAGAGCGATACATGCAGGATGGGCTGCGCCACCACACCGGCTCAATGCTCGTTGTCTTGTCTAGCCTGACACAGTCTTGGTGGGATTGGCAGGCTCAGCTCAGCTGTTCGCGCAGAGTCGGAGTCGCCATCGCAGAGTTTTCCTGGCAGGCCTCGATTTGGCGATGGAAGCTGGCCATGAGACTCGACTCGAGAGAGGTGTGGCGTCGACGTGTCTCGTGTTGCGACGTGGTTGTTTGGAGGGCAACTTCTTGGATGTTTAGCAGTGGGCCGTTTGAGTGAAACGTGGTTGGCCGCCGCGATACACAGCCCCAAAAGGCTTGCGTTGTTCCGTTCAAGCCGCCGCGCAGCTCTGAGGCTGTCTCTTGTCTGCTGCCGAAATCCATCGCCAAACTGCCTTCTTGTCACCTACAAGTCGTCTGCACTTATCGCGCGCCCATCGCACGTTAGCCACTTCCCATAGAAGGGCCGTTGCAGCCAGATCCCGTGATTTTTGCTCAGCTCTTGCAAGATTCGCCGTCCCTAAACGCACGCACTCTCCTGCCTGCTTACTTAGCCTGGACTGGAACCATCAGCCACAAGACTGCCCAGGTGCTTCAACGGGTCCCTCGTCATCGGCACCTTGACTACCAGACGACCTGCACCCTACGACCCTGCGACGGCCTAGTTGCACCACGTCAAGCATCGCCATTATTCTCCCACGTCCGTCTGCACGTCGCACATCGTGCCGACTGAAGACCCCTCGTCTGCTGTCGGTCCACCATATCGCCCACAGCCACGCCCCCATCCGGCGACTGAAGCCACTGCAGCGCTGCGCTCCCCCGTCTCCAAGGTCTCTTTTTTGCGCAGCCGCCCTGCTTGCGCGTTTCTTGGTCTTCCTCTGCTCGGAAACCAGCCAGCAGATCGCCTTGGCCCGAGCCGCAATTTGCGACCGAGGGCACATGAGAGCAATCTAACCGTGATCAATTGCGAAGCTGGCGCTTTCCACAGCCCAAGTTTATCTGGAGTGTTGGTAGAGGACCGTCATCTGCGCGCTCCCCAGCGGCCGCATCAATACAAAGGTTAGACGAGCGATCCATGCACACCAACACCCTCCGCATTGTCGGAACGGGTGGCGCGCGTGCTATCCTCTGAAAGAAACAAGACATGCTAACCTGAGTATCAAGACACGCTCACGGAACTGTCTCGCCACACCACATCATGGCTGCCTCGACGCGAGCAATCACGCCGACGCCTACCGGCCCATTTACCACTCACAATGGGCCCAATACCCCAGGATCCGCCGCGCGCAACTCTCACGGCGGAGCAACCTTTGGAACCCATCTCACAAAGTCGCCTGGCGGTCTTTCACCGCGACTCTCGCCGCAGCCGCTCACCGGAGCCGCTGCCATGGCTGATGAGCGCCGCTTCCGCGAGCAGTCTGCGCGACAGATGAGCCCTAATCCCGCTGTCGCCGCGCTGCAAAGCCTGAATGGCAGCGTCCAGCCGATAAGCCACCCTTCGGACGCTCCACAACAGTCGGCATCGCCAAACAACAAGGCCGACAGGACGACGAAGCCGCTCATCACCATTCCCGAGCAGATCAACGTCACAGGCGACAACATGCAGACGAGCCCAGTCAGCCTCTCGAGTTTTGGCGATGGTGACGCGCCGAACGCGCCGGGTGCTTCTGCTGCGGAGGGTGCCTCAACCAGTAATACAGGTCGCGAGGGCGCGCCCCAGCAACAACCACCCCAGCACCATCACCAGCATCACCACCAGCTCATCGCCCCAAACCCTGGAGATAACCCGGGCAACCGCGCCTTCACATTCCCTGGGCCATTGCCTCCGGAGCCAGACCCACGCGCCCCGGCTCGCCAAATGAGTCTTCCGGGATACGGTCAAAACACGCCCAAATCGCCTTCCACAAAGCGTCACAAATGCCCATATTGCTCAACTGACTTTACTCGCCACCACAATCTCAAGAGCCATCTACTAACCCATAGCCAAGAAAAGCCTTATGAGTGCCCCACCTGTCAGGCGCGTTTCCGTCGTTTGCATGATTTGAAACGCCACACGAAACTGCATACTGGTGAGCGTCCACACACGTGCTACAAGTGTGGTCGCAGATTTGCACGTGGCGATGCGCTTGCGCGACACAATAAGGGTCAGGGTGGCTGTGCGGGCCGTCGCTCTAGCTTCGGCATGGATGACGATCTCGGGGATAAAGGTGACGAAGGCATGGATGGTGTCATCTATACTGGCGAGCCTGATGGAGAGGGTGACGAAGACGAAGATGGCAGTCGGCGCGTCAGTGAGCCGGCGCGTAAGAGACAAAACACTGGGAACTCTACCCAAGGTTCGTATTCTCACCATTCCAGCACTTATCCGCCTATTGCTGCGAACCGAAGCTCGAGTAGCCAGAACAACTTGCGCCCCTATTACCCAGGGTCTTCTGCGCAGCCGACTGACGTCTCGCCCAAAGCAGCTCCTACCAGCATCTCGTCGATTCAGAATGCAAACACCCAATCCAATGTCTTCGCCCAGGGTGGTATGACGGAAAGCCCAAGGCCATTGTCGCCAGGCCAGCAGGAGCAGCATCGTTTGGGTGCGCCCGAAAGCAGTCTCCCTGGCTCACGGTCTCCCAGCCTGTCGCATCACATGCACCAGCAGCAGAACTATGCTCGCGGGAGGGGAACCCCTCCCGTTGGCCTGGCCCCGCCCAGTACAAGCAACGGTCCCCATCTGCCCTCTCTACCCGGTCTTAGCCCTATGCCCCTAAACAGGGCTCTCAAGGCGGAAAAAGCAATGGTCCCAGTATGCTCCAACATCAGACTATGGCAGCCCCTGGAAGCAGCTCGCAGCCGGGCAGCATGTCCAGCCATGGTGGTAGTGGCAGCAGCATGCGTGAAGTCATGGGTAACCAGGTCGATGTATGGCAGTACGTCCGCGAGATAGAAGCTCGCATGGCACGAATGGAGAAGGAACACAACGACAAGATTGCCACACTGCAAAATGAGATCACAACGCTCCGGGCCCAATTGGCTCAGCAGCATGTTAATAACACGCAGGCCCATCAGCAAGGCCAATAGTACAAGATGGTTCTGGTGGTAAGGGTTCTAGTGCCTTTTCTGCTCGGTGCGGTCTTTGCAATACGATCCAGGCGTTGGAGGAAAGGATAACGGCGGCGTTATACGGAGTACAAAACCCAAGATTGAGTAACAGACGAGATTTCAGGCTTCTACATGGATCAACATACGTCAGGGATCACGACGAGCATGTTACAATGATACCCCATGCTAAGATTACTCCCAATGTTTGGCATTTTCCTTAGTTTGTTCCGTGGTTGCTATCATTCATACATGTATATTAGACTAGTTCGTGTTATATCAGTGTTCCATTGCTACAAGATTCTCTGCGCCAGTGAGTGATGACGGGCACATGTTCGGTCAGTGACGTGAGCTGCCATGCCAGCGAAGCGTGTGAAGCCACGCGCCCAGCATGTTCCTAGCAGCGCGGGTAGCACAATGGGCAAAGTTGGCGGGAAAAAATGAAGAAAGTCACTGCTGCTTCGAGTTGCGAGAGAATTGTCTTTTCGGAAAGTTTGAAAAAAAGACCGTCGTTGCCATGGTGTTGCAGAAGTGGTAATGGTGGTGTGGTGGGTAAGAGGGACCCTTGCGGCTAGGCATGAGCTAAGAATGGCCCGCCAACAATAGGGCTAAACTGCTGCAACACTGCGCGCCCAGTCCCGAGCCTTTCTCCACTTGGGTGCTACACGTCAGAGTACTACCCAAAACTCCCCCTACAACACACCCAAGACAGTGAAGCCCCTCACCGCACCCTGCCCTGATTTGTGTAGATGGATGGCGAGCTGCTCTCCTGATAGGCGCAACCGCGCGAAGTGCCCGCCTTTCACGCCCAATCGAAGCTGCCCACAGCCGCGCTGGTGATCCCACCCGCAGAAGCCTGTCCTGCCTCTCGGCCCACAGTAACACCAACGAGGAGGTCCACGCCGCCTCTTCACCATGTCAGATTCGCATCGCCGCCGGAGCAAGAAGGACCCGGACCGCGAGCGCAGTACCCCTCGCACCAAGGACAAGGACAGAGATCGCGACCGGGAGCGCCATAAGAGCAGCAGGTCTCGCAAGACCCGCTCGTCGGCTTCCAAGGAAGACGACACTGAGAACCCACCGTCGCGGCGTCAGTCGACCGAACGCGTGCGCAACTCGACGTCGACATCAACTTTGACATCGTCGCAGGTCTCCAAATCATCACACAAGATGGCAGTTGTGCCCGAGATGGGACGCCGCGGCTCGTTGGGCTCCGAGAACACTTCGCGGATTAGTTTACCCTATCCGTCGCATTCCAAGACATACGCAAAAGAGAGCATATACTCCCGGGATGGCGTAGAGAAGAGGAAATCAACCTTGACGCCGGATGCCACAGATGGCGAAACATCGCCAGGAAGGGACGATGAGCGACCAGTCGCACCGCATCCACCCAACCGAGCACCACCCCCACCACCGCCGCGGGCACCACCAAGCCCCCCGCTCACAGCAACTACAGGCGCGGATCTTAGGAAGGCGGCCAGTGCAAACAGCATGCGAAGGAGGGACCCAGACGTGATTGCAAGAGAAATGGAGGAAGGTCGCCAAAGCGTAGATAGCGGTACGCGCATGACTTCCACGGCGGGCCCGCGGGTCGCGTCACGCTCCAGCATCAGAGACGAGGACACTTTCGACGGCACCGACCTTACGTCCACCACCGGATCGCAGCCCAGCACTATTCGCGCCAAGTCGCCTCCACCAACGACGAGAACGAGAACCGTGAGCCCATCGAACGTACGGCCTCCAGGTAGGACGTCAACCCCTGGCAGAACGTCAACACCTGTCAAAATGAAGACGAGAGCACCCTCGGAATATACACTCGACTCAGAAGCAACTTCAGTGCTGCAAGACCGCAACTCTCACTATCGTCGGAGTCAATCACCGCCGCGCTCTGATGTCTCGCCATCCTCTGTAAACGATTCATCACCACGGACACCGACCCAGCACTCGGTCCTTCCCTCTGTTGTGTCTTCTGCTAAGGATGGACCACCTGTGATCGAGGTCATGGCAGACCCCATGTCGCGTACACAATCGGTAGACTCAAGCTACGCTCAGTCGCCCATGACCCCACCACCGCCTCCACCACCACCTCCAGCCATGATGGAAGCCCCTCGAGTCGACTACCTACTTCAGAATGGCGGTCTAGCCAAGGCGATCCCACGAAGTCTACTGGCCGCTATCGATGGAGTACCAGCCTCTGCTTATTCTCAATACACGACACCGAGGCTATCTGGAGCACAAGCGCACGATGTCCGATCTTTTTTCAAACCCCTACAGAACGTTCTTAACAGTTACAATACCGTCATGGACACAAGCGGATCGCTAGCGGTAGCCACCGGTTATCGTTCGGTTGCACGGCGTCTTCTTGATCGTCTCGAAAACGTTTTTGCTCGGAACATATCTTCAGAGCATTGCCAATGTATGATGTGCTTTGAGCAATCGGTCGTGGAAGATTCTGCTGGTGTCAACTGGGGAGAAATCTTGGAACTGGTCTCTGGACGCTGTGAATTGCCGACTTGGCCACCTTATGAGGAAGGTCCTGGACCTGGACTAGGCATATCGTCTGATCTGGAAGCACCATGTCAACGCATCGATGTTGATGTACCCGAACAGTATCGCGAGCACTACGAGAAGCAGTCGAAGAAGACCAAAGTTGCAGTTCAGTCGTGGCTATCAGACCAACAAGACGGTGTCCCCGAAGATGCCGATGACGAAACTTTGACCTTCATCATGCTCACTCGCCTAGAACAGCCTCAACGACCGCTCTTCTATGCACTGTTATGGGGATTGGAAAAGCTCCCGAATCCCCGTACACAAAAGCCGGACAGCGGCACACCACCGTACCTGGCAAAAGCCGGTCTGGCACTGCAGCGTTTATACCGACTCTATACTCCACCGCGCGACCAGTTAGTGGTCATGTATCTTATCCGCCATCCAAACATGCACAACATGCTTGCTACCTTGGCAGCTGTCACCAAACACGAATGGGAAATTCTGGTTTCTGGACGCTTCGACGGCTTCCTTTGGTCTGGCGTCGAGGACATGCCTGATATGAATACGACGCCTCCCAGAACCGGGTCAAGAGCAGGCCGACCCATTGATGGACCGCAACGGTTTGCATCGCCAGTACCACCCAACCGGTACGGCAACTTTAGTCCAAGTCCGTACTCACGACCGGGATCTGCCCGCCCTGGATCTGTCCGCCCGCCCGGTGGAGCCCCTGTGCAGATCGACGAAGAGACCGAAATTGCCGTGCTTGCCGAAATCGAGCGAGAGATTTATCTTGGTATGGAGGCCATGGAAGACGCATTTGAACAGCTTCACAACCAAGCCGAGGGCGTACGTCGTCGTCTTCGCGAGCGCGCGGCAGCTTTGTCAATGGTGGCACAGCAACGTAGGGGCGCTGGTATAGGTGGTATCGAAGTCAGAACGGACACGCCAGCCAACATGCGCGACCCTGATGAAGGCGTCGATGATCTGAGGAGCGAGATTGGGCCTGACGACTCAGCCAGCAATGTCAGCAACAACAGGAGAAGGAAAGCACACCGTGCACGCGAACGAAGAACACCAGCACCGGTGGAAGAGGAGAGCGAAGAGGAGGTTGCGCTCGCAGAGAGGGTACGCAGACGTTTCTAAGGCAATCAGAGGATTCTTAGGACATTGCCTTTGCGTTGGAGTTTGTTCGCGGCGTTTGGTATTGTTAATGATTTGGGGACCATGGCTGATATGATTTATGGCTTTCTAACGGCCGAGATATATGGATACCCAGTTTGTGAGTGCGGGAGACTGATAAGATACACTTTCTTCCATTCTAGTAGGGCCGCGAAGTAGTTGAATGTATACCATTTGCTAGGATTGTATCTAAAATGACGTCACCAGTTGCTGCTTCCATAACGTCCATTGGCTCTGCAGAATAGTTGCTATTCCGTTAGGGAGAAGTCAGGCTTGTCACAGCACTGATAGCGAAACTTGAAAGTATTGAGGGTGCTCCAATCATCTTGCACTGTCCGGCAGGCGATGAGACGCATAGCTGTGGTCAACCCCGCTCAACCACCTTCGAAGACGTCCAGGTGTTCGTGTGACGTGAACCATTGGCGAAGATGATGCATGCAATGCAATGCGAAACCAATGCCTGCGCCAACTCGGTGCGATCGCGATGTTCGCAATCATATGGATGCCTTGCTTTTGCAGGAGCTCATTAGCTGGACGCGACCCATCCCTGCACGTTGACGCGCCGGACATGCTTGTCCCTCTATGACAACAGAGCGCGAGTGGGACAGTAAACAGGCGAACAACCACTCCGGTGGCCCATACAACGACCCAAACTTGTCGTGTTTGGATGTTATTTGGCTCAATTGTACCAGATCCGGACATCTGCGCACTTGTTCTCCTCCGCCGCGGTCCCCCACCATTCGCTGTTGCCCTCGCAATTGGGTGTTTACGAAACAACCACTCTTTGGTAGGCGCGCACCACAGAGCACTCTGTTTTGGTCCTAGGCTACCACAGCTCGCACGCCTCTCGCCTTTACACTGACGCATTCAATTACCAGACCTCGGCCATTTTTCTGCCTCGATCCGCTCTTCGGCCACCTCGTAGCGACGACGGCTCTTCCGCTGTCCAACCGAGTCGCTCGCTTTACCCCAGGAACCGCACACGCGCATATCTTCATTAGCATCGATCCATCCGAACATACACCCCACCACGCTCTGGCTACAAGGTTGCGCACATGGCCGAACTGGGCGCGAACGAGTCGGTCGATCCGAACACGCTCTACACCAAGCAGGAATGCATAGGCGGCGGTAGCTTTGGCAAGGTCTACAAGGGCCTTGACCGACGGACCGGCCATACGGTCGCCATCAAGGTCATCGACGTGGAGAATGCCGAAGACGAGGTCGACGACATTATGGGTGAGATCATGATCCTCTCCGGCATGAGCTCGCCATACGTCACAAAGTACTACGGCTCGTATCTTACCGGCTCGGACCTGTGGATCGTCATGGAGTTTTGCTCAGGTGGAAGTTGTGCAGACCTGATGAAGCCTGGACAGATAGCAGAGGCGGAGATTGCAGTCATACTCAAAGAGCTATTGATGGGCTTGACCTATCTGCACGACGACCACAAGCTACACCGGGACATAAAGGGTACGTGTGCTCACCCAAGCTCATGCCTGGGAAAGCTGACGTGAACATAGCGGCCAACATACTAGTCAGCGCAAATGGACAGGTCAAGCTCGCTGACTTTGGCGTCTCGGGACAGCTATCAGCGACCATGACCAAGAAGAACACGTTCGTTGGAACGCCCTTCTGGATGGCACCCGAGGTCATTAAGCAGTCCGGTTACGACGGGAAAGCTGATATCTGGTCTCTGGGCATCACCGCACTCGAGTTGGCCAACGGCGAGCCTCCTTATGCTGACATCCACCCCATGAAGGTCCTCTTCCTCATCCCAAAGAATCCACCGCCAACACTACAGGGTAACTTCTCGCCAGCTTTCAAGGAGTTTGTCAGCCTATGCCTGCAAAAAGACCCCAAGGAACGTCCGAGCGCAAAGCAACTTTTACAGACAAACTTCATCCGCAAGGCTGGTAAGCCCGCTCGTCTACAAGAGCTCATCTCAAGATATCAGGACTGGAAAGTCAGATATCCAAAGGAGGCAGCCGAGTCAGAAGACGAGGCCACTCCTGTGAAGAAGAGGGAGCCAGTTAACGAAGACCTGTGGGATTTTGGAACTGTGCGGCCGACTGGAGGTGGTAGAGGGCCAGCGCTCGCCCCAATGAATGATGCTGGAGCCAATGCAAGGAACCACTCGCCACAGCGCAAACCTGTGACACAAAACAGAGGTGGATATGGTGATGAGAACGAAGACACCATTCGAGAACCCTCTTCGCCAACCAAGCGTTTGGCACCACTGCAAACTCCAGGCTCACCCGACCCCGTGAGAACTGCTGCACGAGTACCGCTGCCAGCATCACCAGAGAAGAGAACGGCCCCTTCTTTCCCACAACCTGCCGCAGAGCTTCCACGAAAGTCCCCTGTGCCTAGCTTTTTCCAGCCTCCACCCAACAGAGGACTAGTCACACCAACCAAGCCGTCAACTCCTCAACAGCCAAGACGACAGACACCGTTACAGCACACTTATGATGATTTTTTACAGCGAGAAATTGCTGCGGAAATGAACAACGTGGAGCCTACACCACAACAGCGAGTTCCAACTCCAAGTCGCGCTTCAGTTCTGCCGCAGATGATTATACCCGAAATACCGCCATTCCGTGGACAGTCTGCAAGTCCCGGTCAGAGCAGCTTGCAAAACCAACCACCAAAGCCATCACAGAGCCCTATTCGAACACAACAGCAAATCCCGACCCCGTCACAAGCTCAGAAGCCGTTGCTGCCGCTAGTTGGACAACAAGAATTGCCACCTTTGGCAGGGCAGAAGCCACTTCCCCCAACACAACAATCGTTTGCGTCTTTTAGTCCAAGTCCCTCATCACGGCCTGATTCAGGATCGTCGAACGATCCATTTGGCGGCCCAATGGCGTCGAATTGGCAGTTACCACCAAAACAGCAACAAGCCGCACAGTCACCCCCTCCACCGCCACCACATGTTACTAAGCCTTCACCCATGTCTCGTGGCTCTTTTGGTAGGCCCAAACCGACGCCCAGCCATCCTAGCTTCATTCAAACGCAAGGTTCTCCACAGGCGCCTGTCGAGATAACAGCACTCAGCGGTGTGGTTATACCAGCTCTCGACGCTGCACTATCTCGCCGTAGTTACCATCTGAGCATTAGGAACAAGCAAGAATCGGCTCGGTCGCTAGACGATGCGCAGGGCTTCATCGAGCGCAGACGGCAAAGACAAGAATGCCATGACAAGGTAGCTCGCCTAGTCGATGAGATCAAGGGGAAATTCGAGGAACTGGATCGATGGGACGAGAAGGGAGAGGTGGGTATGGGTGGGGAAGTCGCGGGATTCCTGGAAGGTTTCCTTGAGGAGGTGCTTGTCAGAGTTGAGCCAGCAGACGATTAGAAGGACTGATTGCAGCATCGATACTGGCTTTGGCGCTTTTGCATACGGGAAGGTTCCTTTGGGGGGGTTTCATGTCTTTTCTGCGATTTGGCAAGGCGTTTGTTGATAGGGTTGCATCTGGGAATTGTCAGTAGAGTTTAGATGACTTTTGTCATGTATACGACTGGATTGGATTCAATCTCATCCTGGTTCCAAGTTCTACCTTTCCATCGATCAAATACTCAATAGCACTTGACTTGGCCTAGCGTTGTATTCATGGTAGGCAAAGCTGAGTATTGGTGGTGGGAAGCTGCCACCAATCAACGTAGAGGCAGCTCCGAACCCCGAGATTAGGTAGGTAGTGTAGTTTCGTCACTCGTTCCAGGGACAACTCATTGCTACGCGTTCCCGTATCGCGCTACGCTATAGCGCTCAGCAAAGCAACCGACAAGCTTTTTCATGATGGCGTGAGTATCTCGTGCTGGTAGGTAGCAATGTGTCGCTAACTTGGACCTGTAGACGCACCATCCGGAGCAATGCGCTCGAGAAGCTTGCCCGCCTGTCCGCGCAGTCGGCGTCTGCGGATATTACGCATTCGGACTTTGCGAGGCTGTTCAAGAGATGCTCGGCTTCAAGCTCCATGAAACTGCAAGAGCTAGAGGCAATCCTCGCTCTATGCAAGTCAGCACCCTACATCGAGTCAGTTGACGTCGCCGAGAAGCTGCTCACACGCCTTTCCCCATACCTCGCCGCATCGCACACGCAAACGCTTGCGCCCTCGCCCAGCCTTCGCACTTTCGAGCCCGCGCCATACGAAATCCTCACCTACAACCTCACATGTGCCGTCCTCTCGCTCGGCCTTCGACACGATCAGCTGCGCATCCAGGCTGCCAATGCACTCAGGAGTTACCTCGCCGGCTGGGTCTCAGCAGCTGCAGAGCTCTCGGAAGAACAATTTGTCGACGATGGAGCCGATGACTATGCGGCAGATGGAGAGTTGGCGCGCGTCATGACGCACAGTCTGTCGCTGCTGGGCTTCTTGGGTGCTGCTGCTGAGCATGCCCATTTCTGGAATGCGTACGACAGACTCCAGCTCGTCCAAGATGTGCGAACAGCATTGACGGAGAACTTTCTCATTGCATTCGAAACAGTGCTGTCCATTGTGCGTAATGCGCGCTCCCACCAGCATGGACTGAGGGAGTGGAAGCGGTACACAAAGCATTACGCTGCTACTGGACGACCACTTGGTGCTATGATCCTGCACGATTCCTTTCTCAAGGTCGTGCTGGCTTCGGCTTCGTTGCTTGTTGGGAGCAGCCCACACCTTGCATCACAGACGTCTGTTCTGGATCATTTACAGACTGCGCTCCACAGCAAGAACCATCAGGTTCTTAGAGATGCAGCCGAGAACTCTCTGGCTGAGGGATTGGCGAAGATCGCAGGAGAGGAAATGGAGCGTCTGGAGAATGATATGGACTACCTACAACGTGTAGGATCTGCTTGGCAGCAGCAACAAGCATCTTCGGTTAAGGCAAAGGTACTCGTCACGTACCTCTGCTGTACCATCTACGACGGTGATACAGAGATTACGGATGCGGAGGTCTTGACCGCCTGGCTCGACAACGTACTCAACGACCCTGCACAGAGCGCGGATCATGAGTTGGCTTCTACAGTGCTGAAGTCTATGGCCATCCTCTCCAAAGTCTCGCCGCAGTTGGCGTCTACCCTGGGACGATCGCTTCCTCGAGTCATTGTTCAAGCCAACTTCGATCATCGAACAACATCCGTTGCAGCCGAGTCGCTCGCTGCGGTTCTCAGCCTTCTTCCTCAGGATGCCATCATTACGACGCTTTACAGCCTAGGCAATGTCATTAGCGGCGCTCCTAAGCCTGACCGAAACCCATCTTCATCTCCTACATTGAACGGCGCTGGGAAGTCTGCACGGACAGGTGGCGTTTACAACAACCAGAATGGCAGTACCATTTCACTCACACCGAGCGATGTTGATGACCCGCACCATGTACACACGACTGTCATCGAGACTATTGTGTCTGTCGCACGGAACTGTAAAGATCCCAAGATCACGGCACTGGCACTGTCGATGCTTGTCCAAAAGGTTGGCCGTTCTGGCAAGGTTGTGGATGCAAAGATCATAACCGATTCGGCTTTCTTGGGGGTTCACAGCCCGCCTGGCGAGTTCAGATCCTTACTCAAGGTCTACACAAAGCTTTCGCATGATGCGCTGGTCTCAGACGACGGGGCTACACTTGAAGCTGTCATGGCTGCTCGTCTCAATCTTTCCCGGGAAATTTCTGCTGATGAGCCTACCTTTGAGATCTATCTTACACACCTGCTAGATACGATCGTTAGCAAAGGAGATGCCCAAGAGACATCGCATCGCCACTTAAGAGACACTGAGCTTGCAGCTCAAGAGATTGCGCAATTGCTAAAGCCCCTCGCGCTTTTGCTTGAAAGAAACGCAGAACGAGCCGAATTTTCAGAGCTGGATGACTCCATTATCAGTCTTCAGCGTGATGCTTGGTTCAACATCGTCGTTCATGGCTTCGATCTGCTATCTGATCTCGGGAAACAACATAGGGAAGAATTGCGCACTCTTGCGCGATTCAGTAAGCCTCTCATAGCTGAGGAGCGACCATTCCTTTCCGAAAGTGACATCGAACTCAACACGGTGCTGCGTCGCGGCAAGTCGCCTGAACATACGGTCGAGCAAAAGAAGCGGCTTGGGAAATTACTTCCATCGTGCGAGCCTGATACCAAGTCGTTGAGCTATCAGGAAGCAGTCTTCTTGAGCACTGCGTATCTGGTCGAAGACCTACGCGCAAGTACAGGTGACTGCACCAAGGCGCTTGCCTACTTCCTCGATCCAAAGCTGCGAACTGGTGCAGTGGGAAACTGTATGGCTGCCATCACAACAACTGCTGTTCGAACCTATCTGGCAAAAACCTTATCAGGCCAATCACATACATTCTCAACTCCATACCTGGCGCGCCAGCTAGCCACAGTGTTTTCTGCATGCTGTCATCGCATTGCTCGCGTTCAGCAGGCAGCAGCTACCTGCGCAGATATCATCATCCGCGAAGTACCATCCACTCTCTGTCAGAAAAGCGCTCTGTTCGCTCTGTTAGAGCTTCTTTCAATGATGTGGTACAGCTGCCTTGAAGGCGAGACTGACGACTATGCCTGGAAGTCAACCTTTACATCAAAGAGATCCAATATCGTAGTGGAGCTATCAGACGACTACGCTTTCCGAAGAGCGACTCTCGATGCGTTACATAAGCGTGCAACAGTATGGGTGAAAGGAGCACTCGACATTGCCCCACTTGACGTGAAAGGGCTCCTTCAGTCGTATCTTTCCGAATTTGATGATGAGATGACTTTCGGCCATATCTCGCTAGGACGATCTTTTGCCTTGGAGATGGGATCTGTTATTCCATCAACCGACCAACGCCTTGGTGCTATCGAACGCCAAGGCATCAACATCAACACCGCATCAGACTTCATCACCCAATACACGACGAGGCAGGAGTACAAGTTTCTTGAGGGCGTTGCCGATCAAGAAGAGGAATGGCTACAGGGCGCAACCCCTTCTGCGCGAAAGTCAACTTACCTCTCACGAAGCTTGCATGAAGCGACGAATCTTCTAGTTGACTTAGAGAACCGCACCCTCAACCACAAACACGTCACTATTGCTGAGCTTCGCGACATATTGCGCAGGGCAGCCGCGCTTCTGTGCAGAGTTAAGACGGACCAGTCGCCTATCGTTCAGCACCTGGTCGGAATTCCATTCGCGGTCTTCTCAAAGCAGTCCATCAAGCTTGGTATCTCACTGTGGACAAGCGTGGCTAAAGAGAACCCGCGTATGGAATCTCGTATCCTCGTCGCCATTGCGGAAAACTGGGAAAACACGGTACGGAAACGTCGTGGTATCTTCAGTCCTGCACTGAGACACGAAGATCCTTTCTACGGGAAGCAAGAGTTTGCTGCAACAGACAAAGAAGCACTATCGAAACGCCAACAGCATATTTACAACCTGATTGCGCCTCACTTCCGCCTGCTGCAGTTCTTGTCTAGCCACTTCAGCGCTTCGCGGTTGAGCAGAGCGGATGTCGAGCGTGTTTACGTCCGATTGATACATATTACGCTCGATGCAATGAGCACTGGCTGTTCGCAGCCGCTTGCTCGCGAGTCTTACTTCCATATTGTTCTGCTTGGACTGCGTATTGCGCGTCATTGTACCACTTTGTCAGCAACAATTAGGTGGCGGTTGACCGACCGCATATTGACTGCTGCTCTAGCATGGTTCGCAAAAGCTCCACAGTAAGTATCTCAGAAACCGTACATAGCACATGCTAACATTAGTAGATGGTCTTTTGGAGGCAACCGACTGCAGATCAAGGCTGAGACGCATGTTCTCGCAGACGTGTTGGCGCAGCTTGACGTTATCGGAAAGGTCACAACTGCAATTGAGGTTAGCGCAAAATTGAAGGCGAAGCAAGACCTCCTGTCTATACTGCTCTCGAACGAGCAGACTCGCCTCATGGTGTGGCTATTCCCTCTTGATTACGGCAAAAAGCATCATTTTACCTCTGGACGCCACAACAATACGCTTCCTGATGTAAGTCATCCGTGAATGTGGACTGATATTAGCTAACATTGCTAGAATGCTGTTTCCGCTCATTTAAAGACGGCTTGGACTGAGAATCCTGTGATCGCCTGTCATCTCCTTAAGCGCTTCCAATCTCAGCGCCTTAACAACGAGACTCGCTGGCAGGTACTGAACTTCCCGCACAAGTTGTTGGATGAACCAGATGCTCTTGAGATTCTCCTGGGAAACCTTTTACCAAGTGATGTATCATTCCAGCTCAAGTACATGCTCTACTGGAAGCCTGTCAATCCTATTACAGCCGTCACGTACTTCCTTCCAGCGTACGGCAACCATCCTTTCATCATCCAGTATGCGATGAGAGCACTAGAGAGCCACTCAGTCGACGTCATGTTCTTCTATGTCTATCAGATCGTACAGACGCTTCGATACGACGTCCTAGGCTACGTGGAGCGGTATATCATTGAGACAGCCAAATTCTCGCAGCTGTTTGCTCATCAAATCATCTGGAACATGAAGGCAAACGCGTACAAGGATGAAGCTTCTGAGGTACCTGATCCCGTCAAACCCACACTCGATAAAGTGATGGGTAGTTTGGAGTCCAGTTTCTCCAAGGAAGACCATGCCTTCTACGAGCGCGAGTTTGCCTTCTTCAACGAGGTCACGGGTATTTCTGGTACTCTACGCTCTGTCTTACATGAACCCAAAGAAGTCAAGAAGCAGAAGATCGAAGAAGAACTTCGCAAGATCCAAGTGGAGGTCGGTGTCTATCTACCGTCCAACCCCGATGGTCAAGTCATTGGTATCGATCGCAAGTCTGGAAAGCCGCTACAGAGTCACGCAAAGACACCTTTCATGGCTACGTTCCGTATCAGGAAGACTAGGCCCGATGATCAAGGTCTGGAAGATCAGGAAGACGAGAACCGCGATATCACGCAGAAGCGCGACAACAGCTACGAAACATGGCTCTCTGCGATTTTCAAAGTTGGAGACGACTGTCGACAAGACGTGCTTGCGCTACAGATGATCGCCGCCTTTCGAGGCATCTTCAACACCGTGGGTCTTGACGTCTGGGTCTTCCCCTACCGCGTTACAGCGACAGCGCCAGGCTGCGGAGTCATCGATGTACTCCCCAACTCCATCTCGCGTGACATGCTCGGTCGTGAAGCTGTGAACCGACTCGACGATTACTTCGTATCACGTTACGGCAATGAAGACTCAATCCGCTACCAAGAAGCGCGATCCAACTTTGTAAAGTCAATGGCTGCCTACTCAGTCATCAGCTTCCTCCTCCAATTCAAAGATCGCCACAACGGCAACATCATGATCGACGATGCCGGCCACATCATCCACATTGACTTTGGTTTCTGCTTTGACATCGCACCTGGCGGTATAAAATTCGAACGCGCACCCTTCAAACTCACAGCCGAAATGATCGCTGTCATGTCTGGCAAGAACTCCGCAAACCCGTACCAATCGCAAGCGTACCGTTGGTTCGAGGAACTTACTGTTAAAGCTTTCCTTGCTAGTAGACAGCACTGTGAGCACCTCTGCCACGTCGTGCAGGTCATGTTGGATAGTGGGCTGCCATGCTTTAAACCCGAGAGTATGAAGAACTTCCGTGATCGGTTTGTGTTGGACAAGAGTGAGAGGGAGGCAGCGGATTATATGAGGGGGTTGATTGAGAAGAGTAGGGGGAGTTATTCGACGGGAACGTATGATCGCTTTCAACTTATTACTAATGGGATTCCTTATTAGAGTTATGATTATGGGTGTTGGAGATGGATGGGGTCTCGAGTCAGGTAGAAAATGTTACTGTTGTCATGGATGGAGATTCCATCTTGACTCTCAAAGCCGCTGCTTTTCTTGGCGCAGGCAAAAAGACTAAAAGCAACATTCAAATATCACGTCCGCATATTCCGACCCTTGGCATCTGCACACCACTGCAGTCCAAACCACTCAACTTATTCCAGTCATGCATCCAAATAAGTGAGCGTAGGTATAACTCCGCAGATGTGCCGAATAAGCAATACTGATCCACCTCTTTACATGACCTACCAAACACACTCGCATCTCCCCGGGCCTCCCCCGGATTCCACTCAGCTACATAAGGCATGCATATCGGCGTGGAGCATACATAAGGGCGCTGCGTTCTAACCCGTATAGGAAAGTAGTTGTGTTTAGTCTGGCCCCACATGGGCATCCGATTAGCGGGAGGCGTTGGCGGTGACGCGCTGAAAAAAAGGGCTTCGTCCCGTTCTTTCCAACGTAGAGCTCCACTCATTGAATCTCCTGTCTACCAAGCAACTCTTGTTCTTCTCAAGTATATATTAGAGCATCCGCATTGTGGTCATGTCCATTTACAACTAAGGCATCTATTTTTGTTTTATTCTTTGTTACTTTCCAGCTCGCTTAGCGGTGTCGAGGTTATCAGACTTGGTTGAGATATGCTGCAAGAGTCGGATATGGATATACAAAGGTCACCTCAATCGACAGAGACTGGGAAAGATGGAGTCGAGATGGTACAGAAGGGGCCGCGAGGAGCGGAAGAAGGTCTAGAAATTGAAGAAGCAGGGCTTGCGGGGAAGAGGAGTAGATTAAGAGTGATCGCTATTGTTACTGCGCTTTTGTACGTTTGACTGTTTCTTTGCCTTACTACCATTGTCGTCTTCTTGACGGACAAGATTCCCAAAAACTCATGCTGGCCCTTCCTACTGACCCAAGCCATCTAGCTTTCCCTCTTCGTTTCCGCTCTCGACGCAACAATTGTCTCCACGGCCCTTCCGACTATATCCCGCGACCTTAATAGTGCCGCCGGCTACACCTGGATTGGTGGCGCATATCTGCTTGCTAACGCCGCATCGGGTCCTATCTGGGCCAAGTTTTCTGATATTTGGGGCCGAAAACCCATCATGCTGGCCGCGCTTGCCATCTTCTTTGCTAGCTCTGCGGTTTGTGCGACGGCGAAGACAATGCAAGAATTGATTATCGGGCGCGCCTTTCAGGGTACGGCGGGCGGTGGACTCATTCTATTGGTGCATGTTTGTATTAGCGACTTGTTTAGTTTGAGGATGAGGAGTTTGTTGATGGTGAGTCACTCGTTATGTTGTGCTGTGGGAGTGAGTTTGGCTAACATTGTGTGCGTAGGGCTTCACTGAGGGCATCTGGGCATTAGCCGGTGGTATCGGACCGGTTCTAGGAGGTATCTTTGCCAGCCTGGTGACTTGGAGATGGTGTTGTAAGTGACACTTTTACTACATCGGGCTTCACTGATCTACGCTGACATCTTGATCTTACGATACATAGTCTACATCAACTTACCCATCAGCGGATTCGCCTTTTTGCTCATCCTTCTCTTCCTGGACATCAAGCATGAACACACCTCTTTCCTAGATGGCATCAAAGCCGTAGATTGGTTCGGTATCTTCACCTTCCTCGGCTTCACACTCATGATCCTGTTGGGTCTGGATTTCGGTGGCGTCCTGTTTCCATGGAACTCTGCAAAAGTTATCGCACTACTCGTAGTAGGTGGAGTTATGATCTTTGCATTCATTTACAGCGAGGCAAAAGTGGCAAAGTATCCTTTGATTCCTATGACATTATTCCGTCGAGGGACAAACGTCGCCGCTTTCCTCGTTGTATTCTTCCACGGGTTCGTCTTCATCGCAGGCGAATACTATCTACCGCTGTTTTTCCAGGCCGTCCTTGAAGCTTCACCTTTGAGATCTGGACTGCTTCTCCTCCCTTTCATTGTCACGGGTGCAATCGCAGGAGTCTTCTGCGGCCTCGTCATGCATAAGACGGGTCACTTTTGCGAGATAATTTGGGTGGGTACCTTACTCCTTACCATTGGTTTTGGCCTCTTCATCTCCTTCGACGCATACACATCAACGGGCAAAGCAGTCGGCCTTGTTATAGTCGGTGGCTTGGGATCCGGTATCTTGTTCGAGGCGCCCATGATTGCTATTCAAAGTCAGGTTGAACAGCACGATGTGGCAAGTGCTACTGCAACTCTATCATTTATTCGCAACATCGGCGTCTCGATATCTACCATCATCGGCGGCACCATCTTCCAGAACTCGATGAACAACCGCGCTTCTTTTCTTCGAGACGCCGGGCTGCCGCAGGATCTTTTGAGTCAGCTTGATGGCGATAGCGCGATGGCCAATGTCATGCTTCCTGCTACATTTGAGAACTCAGCATGGGAGGTTGCCGCGAAAGAAGCTTTTGCGTATGCGATGCGAAATATGTGGATCACGTATACAGTTTTTGCGTTCTTAAGTTTTGCAGCGAGTTTATTTATCAAGTCGGCAGTATTAGGGACAGATCATGTAGAAACTGTCACCGGATTGAAGAAGGAGAAAGTTGCGGCCAGAGTGGAGACGGATAGTTCCTAAGACACAAAGCGGTACTGGTAACATCCGCGTATGTCTTGAAAAGTCGGCTAGAAAGAGAGTGAAAGCGTATTGAACAAGACTAAGACACTGTAGACTTACTCAGTAACCATGTTGTCTTGTTACATACCGAAACACTGATCCATGTTGGTCAAGTTTGGTATTTATACAATGTAAGCGCACCACAGTCGAGAGCACAAGTCAACTCACAACGCTTTATATACAGAAAAATACCATTGTCAGTATACAAAGATGCCTAGGCAACAAGAAACGGAGGGGTTCCGAACCCTGCAATCCTATAACAGTGCTCCTTTGTTTTCCCGACTAAGACCAACAGAAAGAACAACAACGCCGACACAACTTCAACAATTCAACAAAGGAGTAAATCAACAGCTAAATTGATAATATACGATGTTTCCAGGTGTTACCAACGTCGCCTGCTCACTACTCGGAGCATCAAACAAGCCCAAATCCGCTGCTCATCTGGAGAAGGACTTGAGCAAAGCTGTGCGCGCTGAAGGGCCTCCAGATGAAAACCTCTGGTACGGCCAAGAGAACCGGAACATTACGCACCGAAACCACGGTGCGGATGTTGCTGATGGAGTTTTCTTCTGTTACAAATGCAATACCGAAAACCGCATGATTCACTACCGAGGGGATCACCCATTCAAACGCTTGGTATGCCGTGTATGTGACCGGGTTTACTCCAAAGGATGTGCGACCTCAAACATCCTGCAAGTTGGCGTCACAAAGCCATCACAGCAACCTAGCCGCGAACTGCGTATCGGCCAGTTGTGTCCCGATTGCGGGCTGACGCACCGCGCAGTGACGAGGGACGGCATGGTATCATTTGATACTACATGTGTCTGTGGCAACGTGGCGGATGAGTCTTGGATCCGCTTCTCCATAGGAAGTGCCATGGACCACCGCTGCGACCCCATTAACTTTCCAACAGAATTGAACCTCGGTCATAAGACGAAGGTTATCGAACAGCATAACCGCACCAAAAAGCAAAAGCGCGTCGAGCAGCAGATGCCTATCGAGAAGACGCGCATCGTTCCACTCTTCACGGAAAAGGCTGGCAAAGCAACACCGACAGCACCGTTATGTCGCCAAAAGGTTGTATACTGCGGCGGCAAGCAGTATAGGGTAGAAATGCATCGAGTCCGAATACATTCATATCCTGTCCAAGGTTATGATGCTTGAGCGCTGGCGTATCGATGCTGTCAGAGAGTATGTAGGTGACAGGATAAACGAATCCGCTCAGTAGCCAACTAGAAAACCTGGAACGCAGTATCACGAGAAGATGAGTAGGAGGCTGGGGAAGCGGCGGTGCACAGTTCGTGAGAGTCACAAGCCAAGCGATCTTCTTGTTCTTCTCTTTCCTAGCATGATTGTCACTTGTTGCAAATGTTCATTGATTGCCTAAACGTATTGAAATAGAAGCAGTATAAAGTTGTTCCTGCACTTAATGTTCGTCCGTATTTACAGCAGTAACGCTGACGTCATGCCGCTTGAGAACAACCTTTCGACAGAAACATCGATCTCGACTTCCAACGACTTCAGAAATCCATCAGTTATCCGTACTGATTTAGCTCAGACCCTGGCCACCATTCCCCCTCCCCACCGCTATCTTTCACCGTTCAGAGGACTTAGCACTATGCGCTGCAGTTGTGATAGCGCATCACCCCGGCCTCGAGTTTCGGACTCGCCGTTGCCTACCTAATCTGCTTTACCGCTCCTTCCCCACCGTGATTTCTCTTTAGTACTCTTACGTTCCCCAGACCAAGGCTGCGGGAAAATATGCTGTACGATGACGTGCTGGCAAGGCTGAAGAGTCGGCAAGTCCGACCCCGCATCGATATCGCAGCCCCAGTTGATAGTTTTAGGTAAGTTAACGGATCATGTTGTCTTCGCCCAGTGGATAGTGCTCAATTTGGACACAGCACAGCTACTCTATAAGATCGGATTCTCTAGGTTACAAGGACTTCGAACGCGTCTCTTCCTTGCCCCAAGATGATGGAAGACGGTGACAGTGTTTGGAGGTATATCTTGACCTCAACCTCATTAGCACGTGACCTCTCCATCTGGCAGACAGTCATATCTGATCCGGCGTTGATGATAAGATTGGATATGTCTGAGACGTCGTACGCATGGTTACCGAATCGATCTTTGTGATAGGCGCGGTTGTCGTGGCACAAGATTGGTCCACGCCGCATGCAGCCAAGTCACACGGCATGCCTTATATCCTGGCAGACCATTGCCTGAATTGTGCAACATGTCCGAGAGGTCATCGGTCGCACAAGTCTTGAGCACACCGCAACGACAGAGAAAAGTTGAGGTACGATACTTGGGATGATAGGAACTATATTTTCACCGCATCATTTGTTGGTCAATACCAAACCCTCGCTGGTACAGGAAGCTTGCTTCCGGTGAGCATGGACGTTGTAACTTAAGGTGCTTACCGCTACTTCGTCTGACATGCGACAGCACCGTAGCTTGATACCGGGTGACGATTGGGTGGCATTGCACCACAGCGATAGCCTTTCGCAATTGTACCGTAATTCTTCGACGACTTCTTGGTATTACGCAGGTGTCTCCCGCTTATGCAGCCACCACCCGCGACAATGGAACTGGGACGGCAGGATGCGCGAACTGTACCACCATCGTGCTATTTCCAAGCACACGTTGATGAAAGTAGATTGGGATTCCGCCTTTAGTATTTGTACGTCGATGCGCGAGTCCAGTTATAGTTAGTCGATAGAGCGGTGAAGTCTTCCACTCTTGCTCCCTCTAGTCCACATGTTATTGGATGAATGCAGGCTTGACAATCTGGACATACGGTCATCCCTCAAGGGTTTTGCGAAAACATCGGTCATACCGGTACACTACCGGTCGTGGGTACTAAAGATTCATTCTGATCCCCATGCATCTTCGTCGCAGACCCCATGAGCCCTGATACGGGTTAGTCGCGGGCCCAGTAGATTGGAGCGAGCCGAAGCGGACGGTCCACAGCACTGACGTCTTCAGTATGCATGGCACCTGTTTCAAATTCTTCGAGAAGGACGTCGTGTCAGTTCGGCACCGCCGTTGAAGTCTAATTACCATGAATAAATAGGTCCTAGCGCCATATTAGAGGACTACCGTTCGTCACTTACGGTAAGGTCGTACGGAAAGAAGCACGTTTCGGAGCATGCGTCTACTTCTGAACCCTGGTTCACACTCTGATTTACGGTCTCTCCGACTTTCTTCGTTCGTCGGAATGTTCGTTGTTGGTGTTCTTGCGGGAAGCTGATCTGCATGAGTGAATGTTGGAGGCACCATTGGGGAAACATCGATCGTGCAAGATGATGTGCGAGCCGCCAGCATGTCGTCGAGCCTCTCCTATGGTCGTATATATCTCCATCCTTGGTCCATCTCGTCGATCTTTTAACAGACATCCTGGATCACCTGCAACCTTCGCGAGCAATATCGTCGTTCTTCGTTGCTGTAGTAGACCCCTGTCCATCATCTTGTCGCTTTGCCTGATACTCCTGCCACCGGTCCTTCGTCTGACTCTCAGCCCTTTCACCGACACATCTCACGTCCTGCATCATCCCACCACATGCAAACAGAATGGCGTCCAGCAATGGGGACTCGGATATCCGCCCGGACCGCATCCAAGCTCGCGAGGACCAATTCCGTCGCAACATACGAGCCAGGCGGCAGTCTCCCGTCGCAAAGAAGAGAGTTGACCTGACCGAACTGGGCTGTATGGGTGCCCATCTTGATCTGTCTAAACATGAGCCTTGGCCTGATATGCTCGAGCTCACCGAAAACGAAGCGACGCACATCGGCCCTGTTTCCGCACCGATATCCTTAGATACCGACCTTCATGCACAAGCCGGTGTAGTTAACAGCGCTGCAGATGAATCTCCCGCATCTCGCGCATGTACTCCGACAGGCTGTGGCACATATCTTCCGCCACATGAGTACAAGGAGTTTCAACGCCAGAAATCGGCCAACAGTAAGTTCACTTACAGTGTGTTCAAACGAGTAGCTCTTCGCTCAATTCTATCCTGCGGCGGGCTGACAGATCTATAGATCGACGTCGAACATCTGTATCAACCACTGTTGAGCCCGAAACACAGGAAGAGCATAACCCGAACGAGCGTCCCGAACCGCACGATTCGTACTCCGTCTGTTATACACCATCACATTGTTCTCGGGCCTTGACGGAGAGGGATGATCGCAGTGTAAAGAGCGCGGCACCAAACTCTCCCGAACCTTGGTCGCAACTCGATCGAACTATCGGGAAGAACAGAGGAGGCGACTGAATTTGTACGCTGCACAGATGAGTGTATCGTCAGGGGACTGCGGTCACACTGACGTCCTTGAGATGCCAGGGCGACCATCGACAAGCTCTTTATGAAGAGAAGGAAACGTTATCTTCGTACATCGACCGGTCGTACTGTCGAATTGTTGTATCTTCTTTCAGTCATTTCGGTGGCAACGAATCGTATGATCGTCTTTCCATCCTTGCGGCCATTTTTTGCCTCGACTTCGTTTGTCCTTGAGTGCGTCGCTCAAAGATAGCTTCGATCGAACAACAACTGTATATCTTCCATCTCTTCATCTACGGTTTGATCAATCGACTTGCGTATTCAAACACATTACATTAGACGGTCATACATTTGGGAATGGAAAAGAATGTAAAGTGTAATACCGCGCTCAAGCTTCACGCTGGATCGCATCTGAGAGCTTCCGATCGAAGAAGCATGCTGCCCGACCACACAGTACTGCTGACCATCGAAAAGTAGGCCCGAATTTCGCATAAGCAAAAGAAAATGCGGTCGCCGTAGACATGGAGCCGTGTGGTAAACCACAGCGATCTTAATCTAAGAACCATCGGAGCGCCATCGAGAGTACTTACCCTCCAGCTGAGGTGTGAACGGATCTCACTCCTTCCGAGCGGGGAACGCGATGAGCTAGCAGGGAACGTACCGTTTGCGGGATTTGCTGCAGCGCACTTTCTGCAGACTTGCAGACAGAGTGTTTCAAAAGCAAGATCAAAGAGGGGGAGAATACGATCTACAGAGGAGCGCTGCGACTGCAGCGGCAGCGGCAGTGGCAGCGGCAAGACCCTTGCAAGTTTCCGCAGGGCAAAATTGTAGGGCCGTGAACGGATGAGGCACAATTGCACTGCCAGAGAAAAAAAGAACGGACATCTCCTGGCGGAGTCAGGGATCTTGAGATGCACTAGTCGATCGTTCAGGCTCTTTCTGTTGAAATGGAGGTGTGGGGAAGTACACTCGCTACTTACCCTCTCCGGATAGCCTGCGCAGAAAAAACATTCACACACAATCTGTATCAAACGTTCGCTACCCTATCAAGGTGTTTGCCGACTGTTAGGGATGCCATCCCGATAGCTCTTTGAGGTCGGAAAAGCACATCAGCTTTCATTGTCCTTGGATACCCATGGTGCTGTTGCATGGGCCGTCACGACGCTTTGTAACATGTATTGTCACTCATGTCAAGCAGAGTGTTATGCAAAGTAGAGCCATGGCGAAGCTAGGTATCATGCTGGGCGGTCTTGCAGGTAAAGATTTAAAAGAAAGCATTAATTATGTGTGCTATTATACCCGTAGCCTGTTATCATCATACATATTCGTCTCTAGAAGTAACCGTAGTAGTGATCGTGATATCGCCCGCGTCTTTGTTTGCTGCTTCATTGTTCCATGTGTTGTTGGCGTGAGTCTCCCTGAGTATCGTCTCCTCGCTCGCTGTGTCACTGCCCATGCGAACTGTTGTCTGTAGCACGCTCTCTCCAGGACCCATGTATATTTTCTCCGATTTTCTGCTTCCGTCTATACCACGACTGCTTTTGGACTTGGAATAGTCCTTGAGCGGATACGAATTCTGGCCTGACGAGTCGCCGCGTGAACCGTATCTGATGCGGACGTAAAGCGGACGAAGGACGGGGACACAGGCGCAAACGATAGTGAGAAAGACTTCGGTAGAAGACCATAGAAGCATGCTAGCAGTGTCGTATACGTAGTTTTCCATTGATGACATGGATTGTAGTTCGATGGTCCGGACGACGGAGCACGCGCCCGCGAAGATGCCTAGTGAAAGACCGGATGCTATTGTAATCTTGTCCTTACGCTTCATATTGAGTTCCATGATGATGTGCCAGGCTGATTTGGGTCAGTGCTATTTCTGGAGTTGTTTCGCGGCAGGTTTACGTACGGAGGAGAGCAAGAACAAAATCCATAGCTGCAGACCAAGCACCCATAGTCAGGCCAACCTCGGTGAAGTTGAGCCAGCAATAGCCACCTTCGATCGTTTGATCCCACAAGAATGCCGAAGGTACACATTGAGTGTACAAAAGGGTGGTTGTGATGATGCAAAGCACTGTCGTGCTCGCTATGCAGAACCAGAGGATGGCGATGTGCCATCTCTTGAGGACGATGCGCAAGAGGAAGAGCGCTACTGAACCTTTGGATGCAGCTATTCCCATAATACATATGCCTTGGCCGATGGCTTCCCACATGATGGATTTAGAGTAGTTGAGGTCGAGGCGAACGATATCTGCCGTCTGTTTGCCAACACCGTAGTTGATGCCGACTGATATACAACCGACGTAGCCAATAAATGTAGCCTTCGAATGTCAGTTACGGAAGCTTGCGATGGATCTCGAGATGATTGTTCGTGAATGGATGCTTTTATAGCGTGGAAGTAGAACGGCGTAAGTGAACGTACCAGATTGACCAACATCAACACGTCGTCCCATCCGACGTTTCTTACAACGTACTGTCTCGTGTACATTCGCAACGCGACGAGGATAGTGCCAAGGACCACCTGAGACCACATCACTCCATTGAGTATGCTCGAAAAGTCTGCTGGCTTGCCCATCTTAGCGGCAGGTATGGATGAGATTGTAGTGAAGAGGCTTCTGTCTTCACTCTCTGATCTGTTGTCCCTCCGTGGATAATATCACTGGAAGAGATGTTGCCGGATTAGAAGTCAAATACGAGTGAGCAGGATGTGCGCTGCTAGAGACGAAATGGGGTTGAAATGAGTAGTCGTATCCTTGACATCGAACGCTTTATCTTCTAGGTGAGCAACTCGAGTGGTGGCAAAGAAGATTAGTACATTGACGTATTTACAGCCTTCTTTGCGCCCACGAATTGAGGCACCCATGCTGAAGAACAAACATACTTGCATATACGTCCGAGGCTCGAGCACATCAACGCAGATCTGGGAAACTAAAAGGGGCCCAATCTTCCAAACAAAAGCCATAAGCTAGTATTGGGGACCTGCATAGGCAATCGAACGGGGCATAGTGCCAAAGCTTTGCTGCCATCTTTGTCGCTCCGAGTCTCCCGGAGAGAGGCGCTGTGCATGGGGACACACTCATGCCAAGCTCTCGAAGAAGTATGCTTGGTCACATTGTAGCACGCTTTGACGTTGGTAGGTTGTTGTTGCTTTATCGTCAATCAGTTCCCGTCCTTATTTCCTCGCTTTGCAGACTAGTTCATTCGCACAACTAGTGGATGCATCGAGCGCAAAATCATATACAAGACTGCCGGGATGATTGCCGCGTTAGCACATCCCGCGCCGTGATATCGTGAATCTTGCAGCTTGCAGAGCGCGAAGGATTGAGAAATTGCTTTTCTTTCTCGATCGAGTTGACGCAATACGTTTTGCAGTCCAACGAGCTTCCTCGTAGCACGGTCCGCTTTGTCTGATTCGTCGATGGCCAGCCCCCCACCTGACGAGTACTGCCCCAGCTAAAACGTCAACTTGGAGCAGAGGTGCGTTTCTTCACCGTTCGGCAGCGAAGCAAGAGATAACAGGACCAATTAGTACACAAGACTCTCAGTGTGCCGCTGCCGGCTATTCCTTGTCCCGTGGCTTGAGGGCCTATCTCGTAACATCCCGTCCCTGGCAAGCTGTGCTGCGCGTTAGTCCGGTCCATCACGAAACCTTGGACAGTTCGTCCTACGCAAGTGGCTTCGATATGGCCATTGCAAGAATTTGTTCTTTCTCAAACAATCCCATGACATGCATGTGAGGGAGTGGTACAGAAACGTTAGGCCTTTCCGTGACGGGCCGTTGGCCGCGCTACCAATCGTCAGGGTTGAGCACCAGCTTAGCTCGCTTCGGCTAAGCGACCTCTAGTGGCGTTTTGACATCCGACGGATCAACCTCGATCCGACAAGCAGCGCGTGCGGAAAGGAGTGAAGGAAGATGATCCTTCAAGGTTGTTTTCTAGGACTATGGTACGCACTTCAGTCCACATCTGTCATTTAGGTACCACCAAGATCTTGATAGTGTAGTGATGTACACCTCGGGAAGCTCCAATACGCTCGAACCTACAGTTTGAACAGACTTCGTTCTTCTTTCACCCCATCATCTCGGCAGCAATCTGCATCGTTAGTCTCCGTTAGCACCATCATACTCCACACTTCCCGCTGTCACTCCCTTACTAGTATATGGGTCCGCTTCCCGATGCTCTCCATGTCTGCTACGACCAATCGTTATGCATATGAACGCGATAAAGAGGTGGCGCGAAAAAGCAATTCATTTCATAGGCGTACGCAAGCGGTGCCCTGCCTTACCCTGGTAAGACTTGTTCGGCTTCAGTGCATCGCAGCTACCAAAGGGGAACGGCTCGATCTCTAGCTCCAGCTCCTCGTTCATCAGATGCAGGCTTGAACATGCGGGCAGTACCCATAAAGTGTTCGGCTTGCATGGTAGGCTGAAGACCTTGTCACTCCCAATACCATGTTTGTTACCCCTCCCACTTATATTCTTCTTTCCTTTTTTTTTATGAATCACATTGCATACGCGTAGCAAAGTGACACAATGGCATTGACGGGGTTACTCGTGAAGGCCATTGGCCTTGGAGCAATCTTTCTCATCACCCGATACGTTCTGGCCTATCTACAATCACCACTCAAAACTATACCTGGTCCCTTCCTAGCCCAATTCTCCGATATCTGGCGATTCCTGAATCACTATGGACAAACTCATATCGAGACGCAGAGGAAACTCCATGAACAGCATGGCGATGTTGTTCGTCTTGGTCCTAACACCGTTAGTGTTGCTGATGCTAGTCTAATCAAGACCATTTACAACACCCGCGGAACATACTTGAAGGTGAGCGCGTGCAGTGGGAATGTCGAGTAAAATAGCTGCTAATAATGTAACAGAGCGATTACTACGTGAGATATAAGCAGTCGTGGATACGAGTGTGTCATACTGACCCCGCTTTAGACCATCAACGATGCCCTTCAAGATGGTCGTATCATTCAGAACATCTTCAGCACGCGCAGCAACGAGTTCCATTCCAAAGGTGTCAAGCCTATTCAAAAGTTGTACAGCCTTCAAAACGCCCTCCAAATCGAAAGTATCATGGACGACGACCTCCGTACACTATGCGCCCAACTCGATGCTCGTTTCGTGGAAGGTGCCAACAAGGGCAAGACATGCGATATCGCAGACTGGATCTCATTCTTTGCTTGGGACTTCTTGGGTGATATGACATGGAGCAAGCGTATTGGTTTCATGGAACAGGGTACGGATGTTGGCGATATGCTTGGGACCGCTGAACGTGTTATGCGCTATTTCTCAGTAGTATGTGTTCAAAAGTCTACCACAACTACTACGAATATGTAAACATCTACTGATCTCACCTAGGTCGGCCAAATCCCTGCTCTCGACAAGTGGCTTGGAAAGAACCCTAAGTGGCCACGCTCGCTCTACAAGTTTGACGACTTCTCTGTGGCTGCCGGTTTCTCTGTCGAGCGCTTCATGGAGCGTATGCAGAAACCTGAACTTGGCGATGGGAAGAATGACTTTCTCAACGGCTTTCTCGAAGCGAAAAAGGAGTTTCCAGAGCTTGTTACCGACAATGAGGTTATCGGATACATGATCATCAATGTAGGTATCTCATGGCAGCGCTATGAAGAGAATGGAACTGATCCTACTCCTACAGATTCTCGGCGGTGCCGATACCCTTGCCATTGTTATAAAAGGTATCTTCTACCACATCCTCAAATCACCAGCCTCGAAAGCACGCCTCGTCGAAGAACTTCTTTCCGCACACCTTGCGTTCCCCGCATCGTACACTACAATCGAACAGCTACCCTACCTGGATGCATGCATCAAAGAAGGCCTTCGCATGCATCCCGTCGTTGGCCATATTCTCGAGCGCGTCGTGCCTTCAGCTGGCCTTGCACTACCTAACGGAACGACATTGCCACCAGGCACGATCGTTGGCATGAATCCCTGGGTTATTCATTACAAGGAGAGCATCTTTGGCGCGAAGCCATATGAGTTCCGTCCAGAGCGCTGGTTGCAAAGCGAACAAGAAGATGTTGGCGCTTACGAGGCCAGGATCAAGAAGATGAAAGATGCGGATATGGCATTCGGAGGAGGAAACAGAATCTGTATCGGCAGGCCATTGGCTCTGATTGAAGTCTACAAAGTAGTTGCGACGGTGTTCGGAAGATACAAGGTATGTTTTGGTTGCTTCCGACTTGATATGTGAGAGCTGACATTTCGACAGATTGAGCTCGAAGATCCAAGCAAAGAGTGGGATCTTCACAAGCAATGGTTCGTATGGCCGCATGATATCAAAGTTAAGCTGGACCCATTCGAGAGCGTCAGCGCGCCCTGATTCTATTCGTATGACAGTGTTGAATGGGGCGCAGGACGTACGAAAAGCGGGTGATGATCTGTAGTTCTCGCTTTCTATATATCCTTGAAATCTTCATTGCGATATCTTTTTGATACAAGCGATTTGTTCATGAAACTTGCGTAGTATCTGCTGTGCGCCACGCAATTCTCTTGCATGCGACGTATGCGCATATTGTGCGTTCGAATGTATCTGCAGTTGCTTGTAGGGTTGATTGATCACGAAGGCTGACGCCGCCCTCATGCACGAACCGTCGCTGGGTGTGAAGGTAGCTAGAATGCATTATCGCGCTTACTTAGGCATATTACGATTCGCACACGCGATGCTAACATCATGGAAATTGACATTCAATCGCGCTAACCGCTTCAGGGTTGGAGCTTCCGCCCTTCGCCTAAGGCTGGGTTCGCCGCAACTCGTCCTGCATTCGAAGGTCGCTATCATTCGCAGTTTCACGTAGTGTACGTTCTTCAGTTACTCAAGACGTTTGACTTTAGGCGAGATGGTACGATTGTCAGGGCTTCAGAAAGATGTATTGTCTCTCTATCGACAATGCTTAAGAGCTGTGAGGCAGAAGCCAACGGTAGGCCATCGCGATGCCCTCCGACTCGAAGCTCTACTCATACAACTATAGGAGACGCAGTCGCATTTCCGGGACTTTGCAAGGTGCGACGATGCGAGTTGAACAACATGTTGATACGGCGGCTGATGATGATCCCAGATCCGAGTTTCACAAGCACAAAGATGTCGGTAAAAAGGACTTCGGGACCATCGAGTATTTACTTCGAAGAGGAAGAAATCAACTGGAAACATGGTCTGAGCCAGGTATCCGAGACATTCACAGGTAACAGGAAAATGCCAGGTTGAGGATTGAGCATCGAAGCGGCGCGTCACTCAGCGACTAGCCAACGACACATCAATGCAGTCCATCAGACGAATATCACGCAATTCGGTCTAGCATTACAGGGCGGTAAAATACGTCTTGGACAGCACTTGCATCACATGTTGCTTCCGCCACGCTGGAAGCTTCGAATGCCGCCGTCACGTGACCTGGTCTGAGCCACCGCTCCGAAGTTTCTAGTGGATGCTCGCTCCTCCACGAAGTACGATCGTCCGGGAGCATGCCATGGTAATTACCCCTCTCTAAGGACTGGAAGATTCTCATCTCGTGATGTCTTCTGATCGCATACGACGACATGACGACAAACATTGTGTTCGAAAGCTCTAGAAACTCCCCGAGCCATCTCCGAGGCTTCTCGCAACATCTTGGTTTACGCAACACCAGTCTTCTCCGCACTCCACGATGATTCGAGAAATACATCTCTCGATTATATATAACCCTCGAGGCGTCTTCCTGAGTTCATCATCAGAACAACAAAGAACAACAAGTCTTCTATGCAATCACTGCGCACTACCATCCGAAGAGTTCCTCAACAACTCAACCGCATCAGCAAGCCTACGACTACAGCTACTCGACACTTTACCAACACACCAGCAACAATGTCTCTCTTCCCACGATTCACCCAGGAATTCGCTCCTATCTTCCGTCTTTTCGACGAATACGATAGGCAAGCCTTCCGCAACATCGACCGCGAATTCAACAACATTCGGTCCTTCACTCCCAAGTTTGACGTGAAGGAAACGAAAGAGGGTTACGAGCTCCACGGCGAACTCCCCGGTGTCGAACAAAAGGACATCAACATCGAGTGGACAGACAACAACACGCTGACCATCTCTGGTCGCCACGAGCACGTTCGCGAGGAGGGTCAACGCCCTCAGGGCTTCATCGAGAACGGCGAGTCTTCCCAGCAAAAGAAGCTCGGTCACCAACCCACTGTTGAGGACGACCCCAGCGAATCCGACAACAACAAGAAGGTCGCCAAGCAATCTGAAAACAAGGACGTCACCAAGCACGATGAGAACAAAGCGAAGTACTGGGTCAGCGAGCGTTCAGTCGGAGAGTTCCATCGCTCATTCGCCTTCCCTGCTCGTGTCGACCAAGACAGCGTCAAAGCTAGCCTTAAGAACGGTATCTTGAGCATCCTCGTTCCCAAGGCTCAGGCTCCTCAGCCTCGAAAGATCAGCATCGAGTAGATTAAAGCGGCTTGACCGAGCAACGACGAATCACGACTTCCCTCCTTTCGATCAGCAAGCGTGGCATAGCGATGGAGTTTCCGATGGGGTATTGTAGGATTGTTTGCTTTGTTTTGCACTTGTAGTATTCGCAGCATTCACTCTCTTAATGGGGTAGCGGTATTGGGATTGTATCTAGTTCATCGCAATGGAATGATTGTAACCTTCATCTTTGATCCATTTTGATGGTTGCTCAATTGGCCTTCCGGGTCTGTGTTGGGGTTGTGATTTGATCGGTTTTTTCAGTTTAGTACAATACTCGCGGTGCCAACCTAGCAACTACAGTCCAAGATTATGTGCTAGGTGGTAATACTGCTGCCTCGGGGACGGTATTAATCCGAGAGGAATAATCGAATCAAAACTTGGACTCTGGCTGAATCGTCGCTAGAATCGGCACGGGATCTGACTGAACTCATCACTTTTGTGCATTTTATATTGATGGTGATGACGGTCTCATGATCTTCGGTCTTGTCGTGGTCTTTCCTTACATGACAACCAACCACTGATGCTAATACAAGTAATCACATGTCAACCCCCTCACACATCCGTTCATTTTGTATTCTGCTGCATAGATAGGGAATTGTAAGTGATACACATAAGAGACATCTATTCTACTTGCTGTAAATCCGGTGTAAGCATCCCAGGCGCGTGCAAGCATTATACTGCAACAGTCGTCCCCAATTCTTAGCTATTCTTACTATTAAAATTTTTTTTAATACCCTCTGCTTCTGGAAGCGACATGGAGAACGTATCTGTGATGCGGATAGGTAGCCTAAGATTGAGTGATTCTAGCTTGTCCGAAAGATCGGTCATCACGTGCTTCATCCGTGACATGCCCATCCACCATCCACCATAACAACCATCAACAAAAAAAAAGTAGATCGATGTCTCGCAATCGTGAGAAGGATGTAATGCATCCTCCGGGAGTCGAACCCGGGCCAATTGCTTGGAAGGCAATTATCCTACCGTTGGACCAAGAATGCTTGATGAAAACAAACTAAATTTTGTAATATATATCCACATTGGTATTCTTCTCTTGTGACTGGTGTGCCAGGTCATACTCATCGTGGTCATACAACAGCATCCCAATCATATGGTGGTGGATGTTTAGCCGATCGGACGAATTCTATTTTGTAGATATGAGACCTAGCGTCGGCACAGGGGTCAAACTTCATTCCTAGCGCCAAACAGCCTTACGGTCCATGTCTTGATACACCAAGTTTGTTTAATTTGACTTCAGGTTCCATAGATATGCTGCATACCCGAGGTGGGAAGCAAGAATTGAACAATTTCTTGGAAGCTGAAATCTCCTGGTAGTAAGAAACACGGGAGTTCATTTTTTCATACTCCATGATTACGAGTTCAAGAATCAGACCGTAGGTTCTACTATGATGGAACCAATCTATATGATTCCTATCTATTGCCCCTGGCATCGCGCAGCAAACGCATGCCATATTCTAACGGCCATAAATCTTAGCGAAACAATCGCTTAGTCTCCTGTCCTCGAATTCTCAATCTTCGTCACAATCAGGTCGCTAGCTCCAACCTCCGTCAACTTGTCCATAGCAATGGCGATATCTTTCCTCAACACCATAGCCTGAACAGCCACCCAGCCGTCTTCTTCCAACGCGTTGACAGTGGGGCACGGCGTCCGGGAGTGATCTTGCGCGCGATATCGAGTTTCGACCGGTCGATGTTGTATGTGCACAGGACGTACTTTTGTGCAGCTGCGGAGGAAGTTAGCCATGCCATACCACGCGAAAAGTCCAATGCCACTTACTGATCACACCCTTTATCCGAGCTGTGATCAACTCAACCAGCTTGGGATCCGATGGGTGCTTCGACTTGATAAGGATAGCGCTCGATGAGACGACTGTAGAGATGGCCTTGAGACCTGCAGCGCGCATTGTCTCGCCCGATTCTACCAAATCGACGATGCCGTCGGCGACACCCAATGCGCACGCCGCCTCGACACTGCCGCCAACGTACTTGATGACTGTCTTGAGTTTGGCGTCGCCATTGGCTTCTCCGTTTGTGTTTCCAGCTTGTTCCGCCTCTAGTTTCCGGAAGTACTGCTCAGCCAAGTTGGTGAAGCTAGTAACAACGTTCTTGCCGATCAAATCTTCTGGTTTTGCCAGGTCGCCCTTTGCGGGGACTTGTACCTGCAAACTGCATTTTCCAAAACCAAGATCCAGAACCTCTTCTACACCACTTGTGGCAGTGGGTGGTGCAACGCACTCATGTTCTGCTACCTGGTCGCGTCCAGTTATGCCCAAATCTACGCGACCCTCTCCTACGAAGGTCGGGATATCAGCGGCGGGCAGGAATACGAGAGCGAGCGGGTGGTTCTTGACAAGCGCGATATCAAGACGGGAGTGTCGGTGGAACTGGATGTCTGAGCCGTGGAGCAGATCAAGACATGCTTGGTGGAGGCGGCCCTCTGCGATGGTTGTCAGTCTCTGAGTTCAGCCAGTAGTGCTGTAGGCGACGTACTCTTAGGCACCGCAAAGAGGAGGCGGTCATTCAAGCTGTTACCCAAGATGTCAGTCATGAAAGGAAGACTCCTGCTACCCTGTCGCGCTCTTTGCGCGATTTGCTCAATGTCATTTGCCCCATTGGTGTGACCCATTGTCATAGAAAAGGCTTATCAGAAGAAGGTTCAAGAATGGAGAAAAGAGACAATCGGAACATACGAGTTAACGAGATCCATCGTTCTGAATCAAGCACGCAATTGCCAGGGTTTGTAGTATGCAGACGCGCGCTGTGCAACCTTCAACAAGACTTTGAATGGGGAATTCTGCCACAGTTTAAGCACGAGTCTCACGTCGGCAGCTGCAATTGGATATGAGCTTGCTACCGTGGAGGTGGCTAGATTGGCGAGTGGAGCCAGACCTGATATGCAGGCTTGGATGTGTGGATATGTGTGTCGTTTTGTAGTGTACAAGATTGAGGCGCGTCTCGACGTAGTGACTCAAGGAGGGGTAAGGGCTACACGTGTGATGCGCCAATGGCTGTGGAACCCCCAAAATTAGTACCCAAAAGTGCGCGTCGATAGTGTAGAGACTATGCAACTAATAGGGTTACAATTGGTGCAGTAAATTTGGGCTCAATGTCCGACCTGCGGGTTCAATTTTTTTGCGGGATGACGTTCCATCAACAGATGTTGCCCCGCGTTGCGTCGGAGTTTGGCGAAGCGGCATCGGCCGGCATCAGTTCGCATATTCAGACGGTTCACTATCGAATTTGAGTTGTGAACTGACTGTAGTGCAAATCCAGACTTTGCATGTAACGCTGACACCGGAAGATAAACCAGTGCTTCACCGCACTAATGTTGTACACTCAATAGTGCAGAAAGTGACCTTGAACGGAATATCATGCTCGATTGTGCGAATCAGCCATCTACTGGTATCTATCTAAAATGCACCGCCTATGCGTCAAAACCATGCCGCTTCGTCTCGAAATTCAATCGCGACAAAGACAGACTGAGCGCAAAATGCCCCAGACGCATATTGACTTTTCAATCCTGATATACACCAGCCGCGACTCCAGGCTACCTCATAATCTGGTAGGATGCTACTATCTCGCACTAGACAGGAGAGTCCGAGGGGAAGGCGTGTGAATGAGAAGTGGCGTCGTGCCTCACATGAAGTCATCACTGTACATGTGTTAGTATCTGTAGGCCCCAGACAAAATTGGACATGACTTACTCTCCAAAGTCCTCATCATCGTATGCCCTGGTGTCTGCCCTGACACCGACATCCCTGCTCGCGTTGAGCGTAGTCTTGGTCTTTGCCGCCTTTGTCTTCTTTCCACCCTTCTCCGCAGCCTTCTCCTCCTTCATCTTCTCGTTGCTCAGTGTGGTCAAGCCAGATGCGATTTTCTTAATCTGCTCACTCGGCAGGTCCTTGGCGATCTGCTTGGTGAACTCTTGCAGGAAGAGCGAGTACTGTCCCTTCTTAGAATTGGCAGCAATCAGAGGTGTGAGTGTCTCCCGGAGCTTGGTGAACTGGTCTTTGGTGTTGGGGTTGAAAATGGAGAGAGAGGATAGGTCGATGGCATTGCCCGGGTTACTCTCATCGGTGATGGTAACAGCCTTGCCAGTACGGGTTTTGTTACTGACGCTCAATTCACCGAAGAGTTCCTCAGCTTGGGCGCGCGAAGCGTCAAGTTCTGCCTGGCGCATTCTTTCGCGACGCTCGGCCTCGGTCTCTTCCTCGTCCGTCTCACCATCTTCTTCCATCTGCCGTCGGCGTAGTGCTGCCTGTCTGTGCTCCTCAATCCGCTGCGCCTTGGACTTGTGGTTTGCCTTTGCCTCTGCATCCGCCTTTGCCTTTGCCTCGGCGGCCTTCTTCGCCTTCTCGCGCTCGACTTCTGAGTCCTCTGCTGCATCCCATGAATCTAGGACCTGTTGTGTCCACAGTTAGTACATTTGGTCTTGTATGGCGGGGCTTAGATCGTGCAAGCGCGGGGCATGGTGGGCTGACGCACATCGTCATCTTCTTCTTCGTCGTCGAATTTGCTACGGCGGGCGATAGGCGCTACCTGTGGAGAGGTAGGAGGAGAGCTGCCCTCTTCTTCGTCGTCTATAAACCATGTTAGCCCCAAGCCTTCCAATGTCCATCTTGAAGCGCGCGCAGTATCGAACATGACGTACCCCACTTTCCTGGTGCCATGGCTGCAATCGTTTGTAGGGAGATGCGGTTTGTGGTGGTTAGGCTGTAGTATTCAAGTACCCCGGCAGCGGCGCAAGGTTTTATAATCGGGTGATGTGGGTGAAAGAAATGACCTAAAGTTGACTGCGGCGCGAAACAATAGTTGGGCTCACCATCGCGCGTGGCTCGCTTCCGATCTACCTAAAAATTCGCTGCCCAATCACATAGGGTGCGCCACGTTCACTCTTCAACATCACCTTTCGAGTCCACTATTATTAGACTATTCGTGGTGTATCATAGTTCGGCCGTAGGCACCTTGTAGCCGGATTGTATCAGCCATCTCATATGTACAAGACATTATCTCTTTAGCCCTTTCCTTCACGCCTTTTGAGGCTTGCTGCAAATACAATGAAAACTCCTATGCCCCTAAGCAACAAGAAAATATGGAAAGGGGATGGAACTTAAGACCAGCCTAAACATTGCCACAAAACATTAATTGCAAACGCATTCATTGGGAGAGAAGACCCATATTTACCGCTCAGGAACTTCCCAGGGCCTCCAGAATTTCCACCCTTCTCTGACATCTCGAAGACCCTTCCGCTTCGAACTCGACACTCCGACCAGTCTCTCGATGCCGATAGTGCCCTCAGCCCGAAGAAACTTCTCTTGGTCAATCTCCTCTCCACCTTCCTCTTCATTCCCGTTGTGTAGTACTGCAGGCCAAAGCACACCCACGCCGTCACCGGCAAGCGTCGTTTCAAATTTCTCAAAGCCTTCGTTCTCCAGTTTGACCTCAAGAGAGTCGAGGATCTTGTATTTCAGCTTTGTACCATTGGAGATTATGGATGCGGCGCAATCAACATCCGCTTCATCAGACGTATCAGATTCGTCCGATGAGATGTCGTGGTGCATGCCATTCGCGTGACCGTTGGTAAGGGCTGGGGGTTGGGGCTTGAGAATGGTAATGGCACATCCTCCGCCTCCTGCGCCTGTGAGTTTTGTCCACCCGATACCAGTATGATCAATGATTTCGCGGATACGCTCGAGTTTGGGGTGTGAGACGCCCAATGAGACGAGCAGGCCGTGGTTGATCGTGACGAGCTCGCCGAGGTGTTTTAGTGCGTCAGGAGAGGTTGAGTCGAAATCTGGTGATGTGAGTAGTTTGTGTGCAGATTCGGTCACCAATCCAATAGCGTTGAGGATGTTCTCCGTAAGGGCGGGGTGCACGTTGCGTAGGTTGGCCACCTTGGCGACCTCGGTAGCTGTACTGCGAGATTGTCGTGTGTTGACAAGCAGTAGTGGGAGCTCAGGAAAGCTATGCAGCGGGATGACCAGAGGTGGCTTGTCGTAATCCCTCCGCTGGAACAAGACTGCTTTACCACCTGAGGAGACGGTGTTGTCGACACCTGATGGATTTCCGTGTATGCACATCTCGCCAACGAACGCCCATCGGTTTATTCGCTCAATGTTGAGCTCACACTCTTGTGGCGGCTGATCCTGATGAGGTCCGCTGAGTGCGCGGATCTGTAGGAGCATCGCCGTACTGAGACAGACGGAGATACTGGCGCTGCTGCCCAAGCCTGCACCAATGGGAATGGTAGATCGTAACGTGTAAACGCAGGGAGGCACTTTGCGCGACGCAAGAGAAAGGAAGAGGTACAAGAAAGAGCATGCGGAGGCATGATGGATCTTGCGTATTGACTCGGGGGCTTTTGGTGATACTTGATCTATCAAGGGTTGTATGGCGGCCATGAGGTCGGGATCTAGGGAGGTGACGAGGTCATAGTAGTACTTCTTCTTGCCCGATTTAGAGAAGCTGTCCCAGGGCAGGTCATCGATATTCCACGTGTGTTCCATCTGTATGTCGGGGAAGCGCAGCTTAACGGTCCGATTTGATTTGGAGAGAAACGAGACGTGGAGATAGGATCGGAGCGATATAGCAGCGGCGATGGCAGCCTGGAGGATATCAGCATCTGTCTTGCGATGGTCAACCTATCGAGCCTACCTTGCCGTGTACTACCGCATGTTCTCCGTAGACGATGACCTTGCCTGGTGCAGAAACCATGAAAGGAGGCATCATAGGTGACGACTGCTTCCTGAGCAGCACAGGAGCGCCGTTCGGCTTTGTGGAGGTGATTGAGGGCATATTAGAGGCCAATTGTGCGGGCATAGATTCTATGGGCGAGGGCTCGGGTGTCTGAGTGGAATGCGACGACGTGCGCGGGTGAAGGCTCGCTGCGTTCGGGTTAGCCATGACTTGAGCCTTCAACCTGGAAGGAGCCGCCTTACGTGGCGCGACCACAGTATTCCTGCGCATGCTGCTATTTGCTGCCATGACTGCGAAAAGAAGAAAAGTGAAAAGTAACAAGTGAACGTGAGTGAATAGATTGGGGAACTGCCAACGGCAAAGGAGGCGTCGTGCTCAACGGGCGGGCCATGTACCAGAGTTGGGCGAGGTCATTATACATGGGCTAAGTCGACGGCGGACTAGTGATCAGCTCCACCATGCAGGAACTGTCGGGGTTAATCTTACATCCCTGTTTTCTAGAACCGCCCTATGGCTGCCCGGACATTTCCAAGACATGCACTGCCTACTCTCTCTTCCTCTCTCTCTCTCTAGAATTACGTCTGTACTGCGTAACACGACGCGGCGCTCAACGTTGGCGCAGTCATGTTCTACGCTTGCTTCGGATTCTTTGACCAAGTCACGCGAACAATATCAAGACAGCCCCTTGTCGTTCCGCACTCATCCTTCACAGCCGCAGTAAGCTGAAGAAGCGGCCCGGTGGCATGACACTAGAGAATGATGGTTTAGATGCGGGGAACTTTCATATTATATTAACTGTCACCCGGTGTATTAAATATTCAGAACTCCCAAATGTCTTAAGTCACTGCTATTAGTAATACAGCACTACTAAAAAGCTATAAAATATTGCATACAACAGTTAGAAATTTCTCCTAATGCTGTGCATGCTTAGGATTATAATGCAGCTGTAGAGTTGTAGGTAGGTGCGTGGTAGTTGTGTCAAGATAGCAGTATATCTAGTGGCCCTTGTTGAGTCCCGATTATTTCATACATTGGGTGACTGTAAACTGCAAGGAGCCAGATATGACGACTTGGGCCACGCAGCCGTCGGGGTCCGACAAATCGTCGGAACCCGACATCTACTCAAGGCACAGCCACAACACGCAACGCAATCGTGGTACACGAATCAAGACTAGAGGCTATACTTGTTGTTATGTAAAGGGTATCCGTATATCCGATATCGTGATTTTCAGAGACTGTAAATATGGATTCTAGCAAGTGCCTGTCAAACAACACCCAATAACTCCTCGCTATGCATGTACAATTCGGATGGAAGGAATCTATGATGGTGTTTTAATCATAAAAATCTACGAATATGTTAGTGAGGACTGGACAAGGATTAAAGGGTGTTGACATACCTCTCTCATGGCCTGTGCATCCATAGTCGCAGCCTTCTTCTGACGGATCCATTTCTGCCTGACGGCATGCATGCCTCTTGGAGTGTATGCTAGGCCAGCGGATACCGGCGTGGATGTTTTTGACAAAGGAACCGATGAGATCGTTGTTGGCGTACTCTCATCCTCCTCACTCTCAGAGCTGGAGTCGTCTGAGCTGTCCTTTTTCGCTGCTTTCTTAGCAGCTTTCTTCAGAGCCTTCTTGGCCTTCTTCTCCTCCTTACGTGCCTTCTTCTCGGCTTTCCGGCGTTCCTTATCCGTAAGCGGTTCTGGGTCGGACGTTGAAGTGGCGGCATCGTCGGTGGAGGATTCAGCATCTGATGAGGATGCCCGCTTCGACTTCTTCGATTTGTCCTTTTTTTTGTCTTTCTTGTCTTTTTTGTCTTTCTTGTCCTTCTTCGACTTGGATTCATCGCTCTCCTTCTGTGCTTCGTCGCGCAAGTCCAGGCTCTTCTTCTTGCGCTTTACCTTGGGCTCGTCGTCGGTGCGCTCATCGCGCTTCCTTTTCTTGTCTTTCTTGTCCGATGCGCCATCGTCGCTCTCTGGCTCAGACTTGATCTCAGGCTTGATCTCCACTTCCTTCTTGATATCAGAGCTTTTCGTAATTTTGTCGCCCACCAGAAAGCCGCCGCTAACGAAGTTCATCATGCCGTACTTCCGGTACACAAACGCCCTCTTCTCAATCTCCTCTCGCCTTTCCTCTTCCTTCTTGACTTCGGCCTCATTGCCATTTAGACGTCCAAGAATACTCTCTAGACCTGCAAGACCAAAGTTTTCCGCGCGTTCACTCCCTCGCTTTGCGCCCAAGCCAAGATTATCGTCCTTGAGGAACACCCGAATATGCGATTGTGAGGCAGCGGTGTAATGGGCGGCATGAGAGGCATCTGTCGCTCCCAGAGAGTTACCGGGCTGCCATCCTTGCGAAGTCAATATGCGATGGCCGAAGCGCGACGTGTTGTTCGCCCAAGTAGTATTTTGGGGATCGTTGGCGATCTTTGATCGACTGGTGTGGCGTTAGCTATGCGGGGATTGGCCAGGGTCGAACTGGCAGACATACTTCTTCGGCGCTGCGAGACCCATGCTGAATATTGGACAGAGTGAACGATATTGCGATTGTCGAAGGGAAAGCGGGAGTCCGCAAACAGGACCAAAAATTTGTGGATGCCCGCTAGCGCGGAATCTCGGCGCTATGTGGGGAAGCCAGCTCTCCCCATCTCAAGGCTCCGAGCCAGCACTTTCCAACTGGCCAGCTTCACCATTTGAGCTGTAACAAGAAAAGCCTCGACGCAACGAGCCAATTGATCACAAGTTTTTTCATGCCACTAATCATCAACACTCACCCACAGCAGCCATGACACTACCGCGTGCATCCAAGAAATCCACCTCCGCAACCCCATCCATAGCCGCAACTCGCCAGGGCGCACAGCAGTCCCGAAGACAGATCATCGGCGAAGCAGAAGAGCTTGACGATTCTGGCGAAGCCAACAGTGCAGGCGATGACGAAGATTCAGGGCACGAAGGGACACAAGCATCACAGAACACTTCCGATGGCCCGCTGGAGCACCTGATGGCGAAGATGGTAGAGGACGTATGTTTAGATGAATTCAGCAACTACACACTATCGTCTTCATGTTCCTATCAGTGGCCCAAAGTCGCCTCGTCTTGAGGCCGTTAGATGCATCAGGCTAATTCTGAGCGCAGCAACGCAAGCGTTACGACATGTTAAAGAAAAACGTAGGTAGGACTTACAACAACCATTACGACAATATCGAAGAGTCCATCAACATTGTATACGACACACACGAACAAGAGGCGTAAGTAACGAGGCATTAGAATCATACTACCCCATAGACTAACAGTATCCCAGGTCAACAGCCCACCAAGCGCAGCTCAAACGCCTCCAAGACCTATTCGACCAAAAGACTAGCATCGAGACCGCTATGACAAGGCAGCTAGCAAGCTTGCAAAAGATATACCATGCGCACTCTCGTGATCTGGAGGCAGTCGTTGACCGCCGACTAAGAGAGATGAAGTGAGCCCGATAAATCTAAGAACAATGAGGGTGTGCAACCTTGTCGCAGAACGGCGCTCCTATACAGAATTGCGACTTTCCAAGTCTGAGCGTCGTAGGCAGAGTCACAGCAAAACAACGACGTAGTTGTTCATTAGAATAGACACTAAATATCAAAATAATGTAATCCGATTCCAGGTATCATAAGAGCAACCCATCCAACACGTTCCAAGCACTTTGCGCTTTAGTAAATCAAAATATCGTCCAGGTAGACAGAGGCTACGCGCACCGCTTAACTCTATGCAGAGTCGGTGCCCGAACGCCACAACGCCAATATCATGCATGTTACCTCCGGTATTCCGGCAAGGCTTCACTTTCCCGCCTACTATCCTGTGGCCCACCTTGCGTACTTCGACCTGGACGTACAGCGCCCACGAGATCTTCGTCGTCATCGTTCAGCATAGGTGCCGAAGGCGCCAAGTGCAAGCTTTGCATTCTATTGAGCGGCGGTGCTGAAGGACCATGTGATGGCTCACCGTCTTCGTCATGGTCTGTAGGCGGCGCACTTCTTTCCATTTCTAGTCTTCGTCGCTGCATTTCTTGCTTGTCGTCGGTGGGTTCGACATGCGATGACGAACTAGCAACATACTCTGGTGCTGATCCTTGTGCTGTGGTGGGCGGTTGTGGTGGCAGTGGCGGTAGTGGTTTCGACTGGTCGTTGTTGTCGCCATTGGTGGATGGTTCTGGGTGACTGGGATGTATGGTATGCGAGGACTCAGTTCTGATGGTCCTTGTCTCATCATCTGTGATATTCGTAATACGGCGCTGCAAGTGCGGTACGGGTGTCATGCCCGATGACAACGACGGCGAGGAAGCCGCGCGAAATGGGGGTGGAGGATGGGCGGGAGTCGAGGAAGATGAAGATGCTGCGACATAAGGGGGATTCGGATCGTCATCTTCCGGTAACAAGGGCGCCGACGCTGGTATACCGTATTGGACCGCTCCTGAAGGTGCTGACGGTCCGGCAGTATCGGGCGGTTGAGATGGTAGTAAGCGCTCTTCTGCTCTTCGCAACCGCTCTTTCTCCGATATCCCTTGTTCTTCTTCGGGAACAGCTGCAGGTACTGGGAACGATGCAGCTCCGCCTGCGCTATGTTGTTCGTATCCAGGAACCTCGTAATACGTTGGGTCGTAATTGTAGTCGTAATATTGTCCGTTCTCGTCTTGCTCGTAATAGTACTGATCATAGCCCTGTTGAGCATTTGGATCCATGTGTCCTTCATGGGCACCATTGTTGTCGACCGGCTGTTCCTGTGTCTGTTTCTTCTTGCCATTCCTATCGCTGTCCCTGGTACCGATGACAACTTCGAACAAAGCAGAAACGATGCCCTTTTCGCGGCGAATCTGATCGGTGTCGACAAAGTTGCCTCCCCAGGTTGAGAACATGCTGCCAGTAGCATCATCGCGTGTCATGGCTGAGGTACCACCAGCTGCAGAAGGCAGATTGACAAGCCCGGCATTAGATACCATTCGGTCAAGGCCTGTCAACTTGCCCTGTATATCTACAACCACTTCGACGTAGTACTTGAAGGATATCATCGCTCCTGGGACGTTTGATATTGTGGGGAATGCCTCATCAGGCACGCGTACTGTACACTTCACTTCAGCCGTTAGCGTCCTAGGATCAACAAAGAGCGGTGCGAATGACTGGCATAAATCCTTCCGGAACAAATGACTGGATCCGGCCGATGAGAGAGACAAGCCTCCTAAACCAGTTCTCGATTTCGGGTAGTAATCTTCGGACTTGGTCTTGTCGCCTTTGCTGTTGGGTACAACAGGCAGCGCAGGATGCATGTCTACCCTTGCTTGACGATACAACGTGATGATAATGCCTTTCAAGCTTCGTATGTGCTTTGTATGGTTTACAGTGACTTTGATAGGTATTTGGTCGCCTCTGAGAAAGCCTCCCTTTAGTACATCGATCGTGGCTGTGATTGTCTTTCCTTTTAGGGTCGTTCGACTTCCATTCTGTGAGCCCGATCCGTCTGTAGCCGTGTTGATCGATCGAATGCCGTACTCGGTGCCAGAAGCGTTCCCGCTACTTCTCTGACTCTCATAGCTCACGTCGCTAGGCGAGGGGCTCCGGGGACCCTCCGTCTCCTCAACAGTATTTGTTATTTCTAAAGCGGACCCTACTGGCTGAGGTTCTGAAGTGGTAGGTGTCTGTGGAGCCTCCTCAGTTGGTCGTTTCCGCGTCGACCTAGCACGCGTTCGTCTAGATATGGGTTCCAATGAGATGACACGAGGCTTTAGCGGCGGTACGGGCGCGATATCGACCGATTCGGTAAGGTAGACCTTCGTATCGCATGACGCAGTCGGCGATATGGTAGTGGGGCGGGTCAAGGTAGCATTGAGCATGTAGGAAATTGTTCCGCGCTCAAACTGTACATTATTGTCAGCATGTTCGTCAGTTGCAGCACTGCGTTGTTGCTTACGTCAATACTGCTGGGTAAGCCTTTGGACGGAAACTCGAGTTCGAAGTTGAAGTGGTATACGCCCTCGGACAGTCTCCCTCGCCGCAAAGCACAACCTCGTCCTCGAAAAGCGAAACGAATCCATTGCCAAAGTAACTCCCTGCCTTCGTTCCTCTCCCAGAACCGACTGTTGAACAGTAATTCTTGTAGGCGTCCCCCGGAGTATTTGGGTTTTTGAACACCTGGGCATAGCCATGTAGAGATACAACCAAATGAGTGATTCTCAGGGGTTTGACAATCTTGATGATGACGGTCCCGCTAATTATGTCTCCTGGAGTGTAATGCCGATGCGGGTCGTCGGACTGGATATAAAACTCGGTGTAATAGCGAGTCTTGGAGGTCAAGGGCGATTTGAGCCGAGATAGAAACGATCTGCTCGACACTGGAGAGGACGGAGTAGCGGGTGAACGTGTCTGGCTGGAAGTCATACTCCGTGTACCACGCACATCATGCGGCTATCCGCAATGTCGACAATCGTCTCGGCGAGCCCACGCGACTCTACAGATGTGTCAAACCGAGCTCGCCGCTTGAAGGGCCGAGAAAGGCTGTTGCGCAGGGGTTCGAGGTGCGGGTACCGGTGTCGGGAGGCACGCGCGACTGGACGTAGGTGAATCGCGAGAATGACTCTGCGTGATTAGCCACGGTGGCAGGTGTAACAGGGACGATGAAGGACGCGATCAGGTGTCCGACGTATGATGTTGTGGTCCTGGGGCGGTCGCTTCAGGGCTGGCGCACGCAACGGCGACGCGCAACTGTCTCAGATGGACTGGGGGCTGTGGTGGTGCAACTAGACAACGTCGATAGGAAGCAACTGGATAGCGCGCACTTTTGGTCAGCATTGCGGACGACTCTGCGTAGTAGTGGCAATATGGGGCCTTCTCGCGGTCCCACGCGGGGAACAACGATGGTGATGGTGGCAGTGCTCTCTAGCGTGAGCAAAGACAAGCCGCCGTGCACGGCGCCGCCCCATGGATGCTAACTTGACGGACACAAGGCGGACAGCAGTTGGGAAGCTTGTGGGGCGCGAAGGAATGGATGGAATGAATGATGGATCAGCAGTTACGTACAGCTTGGGTTGCGCAGAATGCTTGTTCAAGAGCCGCAATGATCTTGGCTGCCAAGTCGTCAAAGGAACACAGGGTCTGCGACACGATGGAGAGACGTAGAGTGGGGACCTTTTGTATGTGGAAAAGCTTCGTGTTCTCCACAGCATCCAAAGATTGATGTTCAGATGGAGCTTCAAGAGTGAGGACAAGCCATGTGTGGAAGGGGTAGGCCAACAACTTGGGTCCGTCGCCAGCTATACAAGAAAGTTACCCGCAGAGGGAGGCACCGTGCTCACAATGCACGATGCACGCCATACGCGGATCAACCTATGCGGATCCCCGATGCTGGGTCGCTAGGCTGTGGTTGCGTTGCACACTTCTTTTCGTCTGCCTACTCGGCCTAATGCTATGCGAGTGAGTCTTCTGGCATCGCTCCGACAGCCTACTGAAGCTTGCTCTAGGTACATTCGACCAAAATATGCGCTACGAAGCTTGCGAAAGCAGCTGATGTTGTGAGGAAAACCATCAAGTATCAGTGGATTTGTTGGACAGGGCTAGCAATCTGGCACCAGATGCTATTCATGTTTAGCCATTGGCGAGGGGACAGGCCCACCGCGGCACCAGCTGGGTCTCGATCACGCCGTCCGCGTCCTAGCGTGTGATCGTTGCTAAGCTTCTGTGCCAAGCAGGTCAGCAATGCTTATCATATGCTGTTAGTGCGAAACAACCGGTGGTCACACTTCACGTTTCGAAGAGTAGAGACTACCACCACGAAAGTGATTTCCACGGCAGAAGCCGTAAGCCACGGTCCACCCAAAGCGGAACCGTTACCAATAAGTGAACAGGACCTAGGTAGCTCAGTAGACACGTTTGCTCTGCTATGGTTCTGCTCTGACCCATGGCTGGAAAGCCACTCACAACTACTGCGATTCAAACAACGCCAAAACGGAAAGACGCGCTCGAACAAGACAGAGCGCAACTCAGAACATCGGCGAGGTACTTGCAATGGCATACCATGTATTCGCAATGGTCGTTACCTAAGTACTGTTGTAATGCAGAAAGCAGCCATACGCTCCTGCTCCAAGTATCGTATATATCGCCTTCGCCACACTGAGACCTGGTATATCTCCTCACTCCCATCCTCATCTTCGACCCTTTTCTCTTCCCGCGTACCCCTCCTTTCATTCTCCTACCGTCATCATGGTCACACTTCCGCCACAAGCCAGCAACAACTACAAGGAAACAGCGAACCGAAAACGAAAGACTCCTATATGTCAAGGCAGCGATACCCCAGTAGGAAGGAAACGGAAAGGCAGGAGAATTTGTCCCGCTAAAGCGCCGGTCAGCGACCCCAAAACCTTCTCCGCTCTGCCAGAAGAACTTCGACTCGAAATTTACAGGTGGAACGCAAATCGCATAGCTATGAATCACATTCCTGGATTCGAACATGCACTCTGGCCCTCAATCGCATACGATTGCGGCATCGCTGGAGTCAGCCGCCAAATCCAGCAAGCTGCTGACGACGCCCTAATTGCACTGGACCGAGAGAAAGAAGCACGCATCTACTTACACTGGAAAGGCATCAAGCAACTGCCTCGCCTTTTGCAGTTACTTGCTCACACGTATACCTGGGGCGAGCGCTGGCTTGAAGCCAATCCGCCATTTGTAACAGATGATAGGCAAGATTGGGTGCGAGTCAAACAGTCGACCTCCCATGATCTCAACATACTTCTCTACGAGTACCTCAGCCCCACTCGTTACAAGAGTATCTTCGACGAACTTGGAAGTTCTTCACGATCGCCCAAACTCGGCACACATGTACGAAACTGGTTCAGACACATTGCTGTGAACTGCCATACTGCGGCGCCCATTTCCCTAGACGAGACTGAACGGCATCTCTTGGTCAAATTCCTTGAGATGACAATGGACAAGATGCGGAACCCACGTACGACCGGCGATATAGAGATATGTCTCATCGTCCCACGAGCTTATTCGTTTTCTTTGGCCTCTGTGGATCAGGCCAATGCGATAGATCCTTACCACATCGCGCAATATATGTACCAGCTCTTTAAGACGTTCCGCAAAGATTTCCGCATAAAATTCCACCTTCTTACGATTCTTGAAACATCAACACGCGAGCAACTTTGGACATGGCCCATCGGAGCTTATATCCCTTATCTGGATCCAGGCTTTGAGCTTATGGAAAAGGTGGATGCTGATGATTTTCAGGTCAATTTCGGCGGCATTACACGTGAAGATATCGAGACGATGGGTTTTGCTTGACTGCCTTCAATATGACTGGTGACGAGTGTAGTGGAGTGCTCAATATGACATTCTGGTGGTCATGATTAGAGTACACTCGTTTCTACCATGTCCATCCGATTCATCATTGATCAGCCCATTGAAGGCATGCAGTATTTATGTCCCATTGTGTGCACTGACTATCCAGTCATTGTGTACCTCTACTCGGGCTCTAGTAAAACTTTAGGATAGTTGGAGACTTTGTAGTTGCGAGGACTATATGTAAGGGCAGTCATGGTGATAGTACCCGTGTAGTCTGGTCTGAGCGAGTTTCGTGTTTGTCTCTGAATTTGTGATGTCATACAACATAGTGTTTCGTACGAAAAAACACAGCTTGAAATACTGGAAGAGAATCTTCCGATGACATGGATGTACCGTATTTCGATTTTCCTTATCAGGATTGACGCTTCAGATTGAATCCGAAAGGATTGCTTGGCATTGAGCTTTTGCTACGACAATGTTCATCTTGGAGCTTGTAGGCGAAGTTCCAGTGCAAAACCTCAAAGACAAATAGATCGAGGAGACTACAAGCTAGGTGAAGAGATTCTTCGATAGATACCACGAGAAGATGAGTAACCACATGAGAAAGATAGGCGCTACAGCAGTCTGAGGTCATCGAAAAGGATATAGCAGACAGAACATCGCGAGTCCCTGAACCAACTGGCTACCGGTTCTAGAAATCTGCGTGACTGGGTGGTCGTCACGCTAGGTTTGACGGATTCTTGGTGTAGAGTTGGTGGCAAGCAGGCTGCTGACTCAGTTTGCAGATTGAGAAAGCACAGACTGACGTCGCGCGCTGAACTTTTTGCGGCAACACAAACTAGATGCTGAATACTTTTGGCATCCACTCTGTCACAACCCCTCGATCTCTTTACTTTTCTCTAGGTCTTCCAGTGAGACTTACTTTGTATGTACGAATGAAGATAATGAAACTAGTTTCACTCTCTCTTCCATCTCGCTCGCTTGCTCTTGCTCGCCTCATTCCATCGCGCCTGTCTCTAGCAACTAATACAAAACATAGCCACGCCTCAACAGTCGTCTCCCTCACTCAACACAGACACTACACCCAACCTCCAGCACAACTCTCAGTCATGTCTGCACCACCGAAGCGCAAGTGGCCTCGCGGCAGAGGCGGAGGTGGCGGCGGCGGTGATCGTGCGAACGGTGCCCCTGGGCGCGGCGGGCCTACGAATCCTCGCTCGACCATGTCGCAGCAGCCAAAACGTCCTAGAGTTGAAGATGCACAGCCGAAGCCCGAGACCGGTGTCGACGTGCGGCAGATGTACAGCACTGCGGCTGGCGATGCGGCACCGAAACCTTTCTCCGATTTGAAGAACAAGCTACACCCAGCATTGCTCAATGGCTTGGATAAGATGGGCTTTGAGTAAGCAGGATTCTTTCCGCCCTGCTCTTTGTTGACGCTATTGCTAATTACCACAGGTTTATGTCTCCAGTCCAACAAAAGGTTCTCACCCAACTACCCACACTGTCCTCCGACTGCGTTGTACAGGCAAAGACAGGTACGGGCAAGACAGTAGCCTTCCTACTACCTGCGATCCAGAACCTCCTAGCCGGTAATATGCCTCGGAAAGGCAAGGTCGCCATCCTCGTCGTCTGTCCTACGCGCGAGTTAGCTCTACAAATTGCGAAAGAGTGCAACGGTGTCACAGCGTGTCTGCCTCAAAAGATGGAGTGCCACACTGCGTTCGGCGGCACTTCCCGTGCTTCTAACCTCAAAGCCTTCATGAACGGCAACCCTACCGTTCTGGTCGCTACCCCTGGCCGTCTTGACGACATCCTGGGTGAAGAGCAAGTCCGCGAGAAGTTCTCCGATCTGAAAACGGTGATCTTGGACGAAGCGGACCAGATGCTCGATGCCGGATTCGCACCTGCGGTCAAGAAGATTCTAAGGCGCATCCCACCAAAGAACGATGGCTGGCAGGGAATGTGCTTCTCCGCAACACTACCCAAAGAAGTTCTCGATATTGCTAAGATTGTCCTGTTCCCTGGTTACACACATCTCTCGACTGTCGATCCGAACGAGGTGCCGACCCATGAGCGCGTACCACAGTTCTTCTTCTCTGTTCCCACTGTTGGTCAAACTTTCCCTGCGTTGTCAGCCTTGATTGAAGAGGAATACAACAAGAACCCCACCGACTTCAAGGCCATCGTCTTCGGTACCACCGCGAACGGTGTCGGACTACTCTACGACCTATACCGAAATGCGCTGCCACAATTCAAGCTATTTGAGCTGCACAGTCGCATGTCTCAGCCTGCTCGCACGCGTACGACCCAGGACTTCAAGGATGCCCAAAGCGGTATCTTGTTCGCATCCGATGTCGTCGGTCGCGGTATGGATTTCCCTAATGTTGGTCTGGTCGTCCAGCTGGGTCTTCCTTCAAGCACTGACCAGTACGTTCATCGAGTCGGTCGAACAGCTCGTGCCGGCAAGGATGGGCGTGCTGTTCTAGTTCTCTTTGAGCAAGAAGCCTTCTTCCCCAGGATCAACAAGACGTTGCCCATCAACCCCTACCCTGTTGACCTAGTGTCACGTCTACCCTCGCACCAGGCGAACATTGACCGAGCCTTCGTCAACGTTGATGAAGTAGCCAAGTCAAAGGCATATCAGGCATTCCTTGGTTACAACAAGACCTTCGTCAAGAAACTGCAGATCAGCACAGCTGATTTGGTTCGTTTGGCAAATGATTACGCATATACGATGGGCTGCCCGGAGCCGCCTATGTTGGAGAAGTCGACCGTTGGCAAGATGGGTCTCAAGGGAGTACCAGGTCTGAGGATTGGGTCTCGAAGATGATCTATTTCATTATTATTTTGGTTTTCCAAAGCAATGGTGGCGCAGCTGACGAATGATAACATGCTTTCTTTGGAGTTCACACATAGACCACTTGGAATTAGAGATTGCGGTTGAGTTTGCCTAGCACTGTTGTTGGAAACAAAGGATAGACCATCCATTTTGGTGCACTTGTACCTAGATACCCAATTTCTTCTGTTCAATCAATTCTTGAATGCCATCTCTAAAATCATGTGTTCCTTTCACTCGCTAAAAGATTTTGTGACCTCCTCTTCGTAGCTTCTCGTTGTGCATATCTCTTGCTGTACCACATAATATTAGTAGGTGCCTCGAATGGTTTAGTTCTCATTTATCGTATCTGAGAGTTGTTTGTAATACTCCGTGTTAAGAAAAGAACAGAACGGGTACAGAATATCAAGATCAAGATAAGAACAGTTCGTAATACGTGCGGCCTGAAGTCAAGTACATTCTGGTTGACACTCACAACTATCTCTTATGACTTTGTGCCATCTTTGTTACTGCTATCTGAACACCATTCACATGACAAAACCTTGCACATCACGGTTCAGGTTTTATCACATTCCCACGGGAGCCACATCACAGTGATGTATTATCAATTCATCACTGCAACTAACGTGTCCTAAGTACTTTTTGATGGCACAACTCAAATGACAATGGCTACCACTAGCATGACCTTCGCCCAGTACCACGGCTTCCACACCTGCAGTCATCTTTGTCCCAGCATGAGCAGGCTTCATCCTCGTGCCTGCTCTTAGGTCTTCCCATCTCATGTTCATGCCTTGCATCAAACGCCGTTCAATCTCAAAATCCTCTTACCCATATGGCGCCGTCAAATGTAGTAAGAGTACATGCCCTACCTCGTGCCCGATACTCTACTCCGGTACATCCAGGATCTTTCTGACAGCGATCTCTTTGGGTATCCTGCCCTTACCCAACACTGCAGGCAGTCCCATGCAGAACAGCAACGGTATTTGCGGCCGGAGCAATGAGCTTCCATCCATATACTACTAAGGGTCAAGAGAATATCCCGATAGAGCATACGTTTGAGTTTGGTGAAAGGCCGCGTGGGCGGTTCAGTGTTTGGCATGTTCATGTCACGCTTTGAACTTTGACTGGCGGACAGATCGTTTGAAGATACGTCAGCTGTGCGGTTAGGTGAAAAGATCGGAATGAAAGGACGCAGGGCCATACGGCGACGGGCAAGGCTGTACAAGATAGACTTTCAGTAATCGCACATGTCACTTTCCCACGTTCTAGACTTTAGCTGTGTCTGACTTCAATCTTGATGGTTTAGACTTTGGCTTCATGGTTTCATAATCAAGGATTATCAGAATGCAATTTTCTTGATTGGTCGTAGAACTGTATTTCCGTAAAGTACCGGCCACAACTTGGGCTCCGATCAGACAGGTAACGTCGGGCGGGTGACCTACGGACGAAGTGAAGCAGGCTGCGAAAACGACCAGTGGGCGGGCCTCTGCCTTCGAAATACACTTCCCGGTCGGGTCATACAGGCCTGTTTGCTGGCACAGGCGCGCAGAGAACAGACACTGTTGAGGTCGAAGTTGCGGCTACCCGCTGATCACCATGATGAGCCGTCCGCCCCACGTTGCTAATCACGGAGGAGGCTCCGCATCGTGATCTGTAAAGACTCGCTTAGGAGGTTATTAATGGAACCACATACGTTTATCGACGGCTGTCTAGCCCGGATATGAGCGTTGCGCCTTTCAACAGGAGCCGAGCCGCAAGGAAAAGGATCATTCGTAATGGACAAGAGAAAGATGGAGAGCTAAGCATGTGTAAATCGGCACTCCGGATGCGGTACATGCGTGGTGACTGTTGAGTGGGGTACAATACTGGGGTAAGCTGACATGGAAGCATGGTAGCGAAGGCTCCCTCGCATGAAGACGGCATACTCGGAGCGCATTACGACGAGTTACCCGTTTTTCACGTAGTGTCCCAAGATGAGATTTTGCGCATGTTGTCGACCAGATGGCATTTTTCATCTCATTTGCGACTTTGCGATCGCGATGCAGGAGGAGTTCCGTGCGCTGGAGTTGAGATCGAAATGAGGTGTCTGTGGTAGTTTGTAGAGACCCTTCTGGACCACGAGGGCAGCAATGCAGCGTCGACAGCGTACCCCTAGGGTGTCGGCCTGTGGCTTGAGTGGTTGAGCTGAGCTGCACCTAAGAGCCAGGGTGTCGTTTGTCGAGTTTCATGCGCCCCTAGTGTTCGGATCAGACTGTGCCACCGTCTAGCACTCGATAGGCTGTGCAGCACGCCCCGGGACATCTTCCCTAGGCATACGATAGCTGTTAACCACCGGCTTGTAGAGTACTCGGCGTCGACGAATCTGTTGTTTCACCGGCGCGTTGTACAGGCGCCTACATGCTGGTGACTTTCCCAGTCGTTTGTCGCAACAGGCGTCAGATTTCAGATGGGCACGGCGGGCAAAAGCAACGGGTTTCAGATGGGCGTCAATGGCAGCAGCCTTACCGTGCACGCCCACTGCAAACAGCTGGCTAGTGTAATTGCCGGCACGAGGTTGTCCCTGGGCCAGATGGGACATGACGTGCGATCGATCAGAGGGAACGCGTGCTCGGACCGCCTCATTGGCCACGCTTCCTTGCTCCTTCCTTGCAGGTGCGTTTGCGGTGGCAGCCAAGGAAGGTGCGCTGCAGCTGCCTCCAAGCCTGCCTACTTGCTCTCTTGTCCTGCCCGCTTTCTCTCCGCCGTCGAGCAGCAGGCTAAGACTCTCCTCTTCCTGTCTTGTTGTTTCATCGCCCACTTCGCGTCTTCGAATCTCTCCTGCCCCAACCCTCAATTTATTTGCTATCAGAAGAAAACGCACACCGCCCTCCCGCTGCAGATCCGGCATTACTGTCGTCAGAGGTTACTTTTTAGCGCCCTTAAGCGAATTGCTCCGCTGCCTCATCGCATCAGCACAGGTTAGATAGCAGCCTACACCCCCTCAAACGAGCTCCTTTCTCACAAAGTCACGTAGAATTGCATCGCGTATGATAGGCAGTATACTCCCTCCGACAATTGATAGCCCACACCTTACTGTCGATATAACTATACACTTGGCCATCGTCAGCGCAATCTTAGTCGACACCGCACCCGCCGACCGTGCTTAGTCGCCTCGAAGGACCCATTTTGGATTTCTAGACGCGACTTCACGCGTCAAAGCGTCTGGAGAGACTATACAAGGCTGTTGGTGCCCTTGTAGCTGAGTCTCGCCATGGCTGCAGCGCGTCGACAACCCTCCATGCAGATTTTTCAGGACCCTGTGCAACCTCACGACCACCATCAAGTCAACGCCTTTGACCCACGCTACCTCGACGCCTTCACGTCCATTACCGACGTGTCCAACAACTCAAACACGCTTCTCACCCCTCCCGCGCCCTTCACCGCCAAAGGATCCCCCCGCAAAAGCCGCCAAGTCTCCAGCTCTCCTCCACCCAGCGCCCTTGTTGAGAAGGGCCTCAACACCGTAAAGATACCGCCGCCGCAAGAGCAGTGGTTTCGCACCGACGCGCCCACCAAGAAGGTCCAGACCGCGTCTTCGCAGGGCTCACATTCAATGGTCGGCGATATCCAGTACTGGTCCGGCTATCCGTCTCATATGGACAAGGAGAACGCGTATTACTCTGGCCCCGTCATGTCTGTCATGTCAGCGGCAGAGCCGCCTATGAAGCAGGGAAACAAGCGACCACTGATGGACGCTGCCCCACTACGCGACCGCACCAATATGAACATCAGCAAGAAGCAGAAGTTCGTCAAGGACATCAAGATTGAAGAAGTAGACGGTCCACTACCCAACCCAGACCAGATGCCCACCATCGAAGACGACGGAAACAAGCCTTCGTACAGCTACGCGATGCTCATTGGCATGGCCATCCTAAGAGCACCGAGCCGCCGATTAACCCTCGCCCAGATCTACAAGTGGATCTCCGACACATTCGCCTTCTATCGCAACTCACAAGAGACAGGATGGCAAAATAGCATCCGCCACAACCTCAGCCTGAGCAAATCGTTCTCTAAGCAAGAGCGCCCCAAGGACGACCCTGGAAAGGGCCATTACTGGGTCATCAATGCTGGGTTCGAGAAGCAGTATCACAAGGTCAAGCCTGTCCGTCGACCGGCTCATTCAGAATCTCTTGCTTCGGCATATACTAGTGATCTCCCGCGTCCGTCCACATCCATGTCAGCTAGCTTCCCACCCATGAGCTCGACAAAAGGATTTGACTCGAGCAAATTTCCGGAAGAGGCCGAGCTGCCTTCTTCCGAGGCTACCATCCCCTGCTCCGACCCGGCTGCTCATGATGGACATGATCCTATTAGCATGCCGCCGCCCCGTCAACTGCCGTCTTCACCTCCACCAACTGACATCCACTCCTCACCGCCTCCACCTGTCTCGCGATCCCGTTCGGTTCGTGAGGACACACCGCCACGTGCCCCACACTTCCCACCCAACAGCCGCTCGGGCGGACGCAGGCACAAGTTCAACGGCCTTGGTGACAGCGGCTACTACTCATCCATTGAATCATCCGCGACCAAGGGTAATCCAATGGGACCTCTACTCACTTCAGAGGCGGATCTCGATCGCCCTAATCTCAAGCGAGGACGCGCTGAAGAAGAAATTGCTCGCATACGTGGCTCTTCTTACGACTCTCCCACCAAGACCAGGTCTCACGCGAAGCAGCCTGTCATCTCGTCGCCGGTTCGTCAGGGTAGTAAGGTCCTCGACCCTCTTACCCCTGCTATCGTCTTCAAGCGTCCTGCCCTCCCACCCGCTTCCGCATCACCCAATACCAACCTACGTAACCACCGTAACAAGATGCGAGAACTAGTAGGCGGCTCACCGGACAAGAGCCTGGCTATGTGGGTCGACACTTCCTTCCTCGACAACAAGGCTTGGAGCCCGGCTGTATCAATCCCCAACGAAGAGAATGTCAACCTTGTGGGCCATGGCTTCGAGAGTACCTTTGATATCTTTGGAGATTTTGGCTACAACGAGAGTCCGCTAAAGCGATCTGCTAAGCGTCCCCGTCTCGAGCGTGCTGTCACCACAAGTGGTGTCCTCGCCGACATTACTGGTGCTAAGGGGAACATGGCCAACTCCCCTACGCCCAACTGGAGAATGTCGTCCTCCTTCCTCAACATCCCAGACCTATCACCTGCCAAGAAATTGTCGCCCATCAAGGCTCCCATATTGAAGTCTACCACATCTACCCCTCTCTCCAACTTCGCTCTTCCCCAGCCAAGCAAAGAGAACACACATTCGGGTCTTACGCCTCCTCAGTCCTTCCATGTCCCTGCGAAGCCGCAACAGCAACAGCAGCAGGACGATGAAGATATTTTCCATCTGTTGCACAGTGACGAGTCTGAGCCAGGTATTGACTTGCTTCAGGGTTTTGAGAAGATAGGAGCGCGGACGTTGGCTGTCGCACCTAACGGCTCGCCACAGAAGAAGGCTGCGAGACCGGGCTTGGCCCGCAGTTCGACCACTCGCTTCTAAGCAAACCACCAATATTCCGTTGTCACTGGCTTTTGGCTTCCATCTCAACTTTTGCGCTACCTCTGGATCTCATCACCTGGATCTGGACGCTTCTTTCTTCGCCATTCTCGATACCCCTCATCTTGCGACTACATCTTTTAGCTCTTACCCCCCTGGTCTTCCATATCATGGTCCTCTAGATCATCACTTCGACACCTCCTACTTTGCATTATCCATTGGATAACTCCGCCTCACGATGTAACGACCAACGATACCCACGATAACAACGGCTGGCCCTCCTACTCTTAACGTCTAATTTGGCATATATTCTCATTAGGCGAGGCGTTGCAAGGCCACATGGGACGTACATATTGCGCCTATCACTGTGTCTGCCATAGTGTTTGGGTTTCTTGTTTCTTTGCAAGCGATGCAAGCGTAATGATATACTAAGGTGGACGCTGGACTTGAAAGGAGAGTCATTTTTACATGGCATAATCACGACGTGGACGAGAACCAGAACATATCTAAACGTAGCGGATATTATAGTCTTTCTTGCTCAGCGAATTGAACATGTTTCTTGATCCTTAACATTATGTCTATCGTGTTTCCACTCCAGTTCATGAGTTGCTTGGCTGCGCAATTACAAAAACTTCGCGTTTTCTTCAACGTACTATACCCCGAGCATAGTTGTAGTTAGTCTGCCTGGCTGAATAGAGACTCCAATAGCAGAACCTATACTGCAAACAATGGCACACATCCGCATCCCAAAATAACCAATAGCACCAGTCGTGGAATTAAATCTCCGCACCATTTCTTTTCTCTCAACCCCTCTTATCCTTAACCGCCTCTCAACGAAAGCCCATTCGTCCCAACAGTATCGTTCTACCCGCAAAAGAACCCACCTTTCCTCACCTTAGAGCAAGATAGCCTGCCTTCGGCCTATCGGTCCTCCGTGTACCTACCCAAGGTTCGGGACACTAATCACGATCGGCCTTGCTGCAGGTGCACCTGCATATGCAACTTACCTCTCTAGCATGTCGTTTACCCCACAAACGGACTACGCAGCTAAAGTCTAGGGCATATTTTTTCGGCACTTTCGGTAGGTCGATGTTATAGCGTCCCATGGGATTGTACACATTCGCTTGAGTGATCGACTAGAGATAAACAGTACTAAGCCTACGCCAGCGGGGCGGACGTGCGTACGTGCATGGTCAGCATGGGCTATGTACATGCCACATACATACCCGTAGTGCATACCACATACATACCCGTAGTGTCCCACAGCAGAACGTCTGAATTGAGCAGAAGAAGTAACGTGTTGTAGCAACGTGGTCTACGCTTCAGTGTCGCACTGTTCGTATACGCAAGTGCTCTCATCTGAACCTTGGGTTGTCCATCTATCTACTTTGAGGGGAGCCGGAAGTACGCATGGGGCACTTGTTGTAATTGTACAGTTCGTGCTTCATCATGCATGCTTCCTTTCCATGCATCAAAAGAGGATAGAAGTAGAGGCCGAAGATGCATGTGTCCATGGACATATACACCAGTGCAAAAAAACATACAACAGCGGGGATTCGCCAGTGGTCACCCACCTGACTACTAATCCGCCGGTATCTTGCTTAACTAGGGCTGAGCGAACGGGAAGCCGTGATCTCAAGATCCTATGGTCGTATGTGGCAGTCATCAGAATTTCAGATCTTGAATCCTCAGAGAGGACCCATGTGGCCGCGATGCGCAGGGACTTTGGGTGTAGACACCTCCTAACATAGTACACGATGGATGGCATGGATACTTCAGCTGCAGTAGTACGTAAATAGCTCCATAAAACGTTCATATCTACATCTCCTCATGTCCGGTAATCACCATTGATAGTGACGTATTCATGACTGAAATCACATGTCCAAAAGACAGCTTCCTCTCCTTCCTTTTCGCTCAGCCTAACTTTAATCTCCAAATCTTCTGCCTCTAGGATCTTGGCTGCCCTGTTCTCATCGACCAGCTCCGGCTCACCCTTGACAAGCAGCTTTAACTCCTCACTACCGTCCGTGGGTACAAAGCTTACGCTTGTCTCTTCGGGAACAACGGAGTCGACACCTTCTGCGTAGCCCGTCGCGCACAGGATACGGCCCCAGTTTGCGTCCTTTCCGTACAAGGCTGTCTTGACGAGCGGTGAGCGTGCGATAGTGGAAGCTACGCGGTGTGCATCCTTGTAGGACGCGGCATTTGTCACCTTGATAGTAACAAACTTGGTTGCACCTTCTCCGTCTCTGACGACTAGCTTCGCCAGGTCAATCGAAAAATCTGTGAGGACTTTTTGGAAAGCGGCAAAGTCTGGAGAATCAGCGGAGTTGATGGGCTGTCCACCCGCGGCACCGTTGGCTAGAATAGCTACTGTGTCGTTGGTAGACGTGTCGCCGTCGATGGATATGCTGTTAAAAGATTTTCCGATGGCGGAGACGAGCGCTTGACGGAGTGGGTAAGGGGCGACGGGCGCGTCTGTGCATATTATGCCTAGAAGAGTGGCCATGTTGGGATGGATCATGCCTGCGCCTTTAGTCATACCCGCAATGTGATATTCTTGTTGGGTGCTTGGTAGGGTAAATGTCTTTGAGACGAGCTTGGGGAACGTGTCAGTCGTACAAATTGCGCGTGCGGTGCCTAGCCAGTGTTCGTGCGTATCTCCGAGATTGTAGTATGCAGTCGGTATCTTTGATGTGATTTTGTCAATGGGCAGACGTTGGCCAATGACACCGGTACTCATGACAATGCTTCGGCTTCCTTTCAGGTCATCTTGACCGTTCTTGTCTTGTATGAAGCACTTGTCGGTCTCTTTGCCCATGGATATAGCATCCTCGATACCTCCTCGTCCCGTCACGGCATTGGCGCATCCAGAGTTTACCACCACAGCCCTAATTCCCTCGCCCTTCCTCTTTTTCAGCATATCCCTGCTAACTGTAACTGGAGCTGCCTGAAATTTGTTTGTCGTGAAGACGGCTGCTCCTGCGCATGGTGTATCGGATGCGATGAGGGCAAGATCGTCGAAGCGGGTATTGGAAGCCTTGACACCAACATGGGCACTTCCAGCCTTGAACCCGAGCGGGTATGTGCCCGAAGTCGGTACATACTTCTTCTTCGCAGGTGGGATCACGCCGTCACCTGGCGCAGCATATGTTCGTATTTGCGAGGTGAAGATGCGGTTTGTACGGGTAAGAAAGCGTGGGTTGGTGCGTGTGAGGGACATATTGAGTAACATAGAGCGAGCAATCGGTCGCACTGGATGGAGCCGTCAGATATGTCGTTTGTAAAGTCGCTGTTTGCGACAATCGCGATGATGCAGAAACTCTCGTGAAGACAATGCTCAACGGAGCTCAATAGTAGAATCCAACATACCTGAGGATATTCTTGTGCCCTTTGTCTCTTCTGACTCACTCAATTGACGTCCTGCGCCCTATGAGTCTTGCGATGGAAGCTGCCCAAAAAGTTCAAGGATGCTACCTCCCGCCGTTATCGCTCCCCGCCGATCCCCACGCGAGCCAAGTCGAGTCAGGACCCTTGCGCGTCTAGAGCAACAACGCGCCCAGCGTCGAGCCCAACAAATAACAGACGAGGATCGCGTACCGCGTCATCACAACACGCTCCTTTTGCGCCAGGTAGGGTGCGACGATGAAAAAGATGGCTGCTGTAGGCAGGCTGGCGGGAATTGACATGCGCAGGCCGCGAGCAAGCTGGGCCAACAGGACGTAGCAGTGCCCATCCAAAGCTACGGGCAAAAGGCTGTCGCCGCTGTAAAGGACGAGAAACTGGAAGACCGTAAGCAACAGAGTGGAGACTAGCAATGCGTATTCGATGCCGTCGCGACGGCGTTGGTCGATCTTGTTGATGTAGGCGTCGAGTGTGCGTTCGACAACAGGGAGTAGTGGCGTTTTCTCAGAAGTATAGGACATCATGATTGCTAATTTTTGGATTGACGAGTATACAGTAGTCTGGTTTACGAGGCCCTCTACATGTTATATCCTATCTTCGCGCTTGGGCGGTACATTCAATGTTAGATACCAATGTTGGTTGTCTTGGAATGCACCATGTGAAACAGGCGGACCCAGTTGTTTGACATGGCATCTTGGCCTCATACTCGGTCTCGGTCTTGTTTCGTCAGCCTTACTCCCTTGAAATTACGGATGACGAATAATGAGAACCCAGCGTAACCAAAACATTATAGGCTGTAATAATTAACATTGGCAAGGCATCCGGGAAGCGCCTGCTAAGGAGCTAATATGCGAGCAGTTCCTTGTGTGTATCAAGCTGCGTAGAGCAAGTAGCGTAAACCTACATCTTTGACAAAGTTTTCGCATGTTTGATCTTATCAAAATAGCCTGGTAACATGACATGTTGTTGTACTTTGGCCAAGAAGCGGCTGTTTCGCCAACATTGCGTCACCGTGAATGTGTTCTTCCACCTGCCATCTGCCATTCGACATGTTCTCTTTGTGAAACGAGATATGTCTGCTTCGGTTGCTCCTGGTGTCTCGAAATAGTATGCCCAAGCAGATTTGCCTGTCGCTGATACCACAAGTTCGCCAAGTGCAGTGTGAAGGATAGAGTCGCATTGTTCGTTGACAGCGTCTGACTATGACTGCTGTCCTTTTGTTGGTCTCCCACCAGCTGCAGCAAGTCGTATCTCTTTGATAAGCAGAACCGAACACAACCTGATGAGCAGCGGGAGCCAGATCCACTGCTTCGGAAGTCCACTATTACTGTGTCCTCGTAGAGGTTAGTATTCTGTGCCGTGTGACAAACCACTTTGATCGTATCGGATATATAGAATACTCTTCGTGACTAAATCATTTTCCACACAGTGGAAAGTATGCTTGCTTCATAACATTTCGCACTCTACACCTCGTGGTGACATCTAGGATATGTTGTCTCTGTAAGGTAAAGGACAGAAAAGAGGAACACAGAGAGAGAACAAGAGACTAGAGAGCAGGAGGACGATGCGTCAATGGCTGGACGAACATCTCCCTACAGCGCAAGTGTGTACACATAATTCACAAGGTACGTCATAGCTTCGAAAAGATCAGTTGCCAGAAGTCCCACATGCTTCTCATATTCCACAGATGCACACAATATGTCAGCTCTTTATCTCCTCGCATGCAAGCGCGGTGAGAAACGTGGTTGAAAAAGCTCGTGCACTGTTTCTGCGTTTCAGCCACCGAAAATCACCACGAGCAAATGTCTTACCTTGGTAAACCCTTCGGATGAGAAAGCCGCAAACAAAGACCACGAGGAGAACATGGGCGTTCGGAAGGCCATGCTCAGCCCCAGCCTTATGGGTCGGGACGGGTGGAAGGACGAACAAGGAGACACTACAAATAGCGCACCTGCGCCACGCTAGCCGTCCTGAGACACCAAACATCGGTGTTGAAGTTTAGGCCTTCCGACTTCTTAGAGCATATGTCAATTTGACATCAATCAGCATGCTAGTCGTGTTGATCTGGTCTTTTGCGGTGTCTAAGTAGATGAGCAGGTCAGTGGTACTTAGATATGATGACATTTGTTCGATTGGGTTCTCGTGTTCGCATGTGCGTAGGGAAGTCGGTACTTTACGATAATCTATGCGCGCAAAAGAAAGGTATGTCATGTTCATGCGAATGCAGGTGTTATCATAAGGAGAAAATAATACCTTCGATATCGTGTGTTGTAGTACGTAGGTATGAGCCCCCTCTTCTGTACTCAGCAGTATAGAAAAGAAGATACAGCAGCTATTGGCTTCACCATGCATCAATCGCTTCCGAAAGCAGTGTTGTAGGACTGTGTTCGGGATGATTTGCGTTTCATCATTCGACCATCGGGGACCGAGCGGATTGCGTAAATCGATAATAATCGAGTGGTCAGTGTAGTGGCTGTCTTCGAAAGCACGGCTAGGCGGTGCTCGACCGTGCTTCATTGTATTCTACAAAGGCGGCTTTATCTGCTTGGTTTCATGTCCGCGTTCTATATGCGATGCAGGAGACACCTCGTCGACATCCTTAATTCTACCGCCAAAGATACGGGACATAGCATGGCCATATCTTTTACAGTCGTTCATTACTATTTTTAAAATAATTTCATTACTTCATCTTAGCGAAGATACGTCGCCTTCGAACATGAATTCTTTCTTTAATATACCCCATGTGCGGGCTCGCGCAGATACACCAACACCAATAATCTCAACCCTCGACGCCAGCACTCCGAACACACCATCGACTCGACCTTCAATACAATCACAGTCGTTAGCGAGAAAGATAGTCATGGATACATCAACACCGTCATCCCCATCAGCACAACCCACACCAAAAGCAGAAGGAATGCCTTCCGGGACGAAAGTTGGCCTCGCAATGATACCCGTTATAATCGCCCTGTGCGCAATCTGCCTCTTCTCGGTTTTCTGGTGGCGCAAGGGAAAGGCGCGGAGAGCAAGTCAAGACCTGGAAACGCCACCTCCGGTCCCAGAGAAAGACTACGTCACACGCTTACCGTCGCTAAACAGTGACCGGAGAGGAAGCAGGGTATTCAACATGGCCGCATTTAGCACTCACGTCTATGATGGTCGGTACAGAGAAGCGCAGGTTCTCGGTCAAAGCAGAGAGTTCATTCGATCGATAGATCCAGATCAAGATGATGACCGCGAGATGCTGAGGACACCGCCACGCAGCATAAAGTCAGAAAAGGTTCACTCCGGTCGAGATTCGCCAATTGATGGGTCAAGCCCATTCCGACTAAAGCGTGATGACACAGTCAGAAGAAGCTTGGGATCTGAAATATCGGAACTGTGGCCATCACCACCGCCAACAGCCTGGGTCAGGCGGCAAGGCATTCTCGATTCGCTGCCGTCATCGAGATTTGGCCGGGATATGAGTCGGAGATCACAATGCAGCGCTGACTACAAGCGAAGGAGCGATGCAAGCTCTGTATTTTGAGCTACTGGAGAGGCGTTTTGGTTAATAAGTGGTAGAGGGGCGGAAATTAAAATTACGGTAGGTCTTTCCTTATGACTGGACGACTTCCGTAATGGTTCACTATACCCCATAGATTGCAGGCGTCCAGGTTGGGAACACCTTCATTCACTCACTTTTCTCTGTAAACATGTTAACAATTGAATTATTATGTTCTGGTCAATAGACACACCCTATGCTTTTGTTTTGGCCACCATGTTCTCAAATGAGCCCCGGCACATGATCTCTTTGGTCTGTCTGGTTCAGCATCTTGAGGCGTTATGCCTGCTGACAAGGCCTTGCTCAACCGTGCGCGCGTATGTGCGCATCTTTTAAGTCCACCCTGGCAGTATCCGTAACATATCGAAGGCGTGTTCGCCTTGAGTTAAAGTAAGAGTCTATATTCGCACATCATTCTCCTTGTCATGGTGCTCAGTCACTGGAAGCGCATCCTCTGCAGCCGCAGTTTACGCATTGGATTTCCTGGTTCTCCGTGAGCTGATCCCTGGGGACACGGCAGATACAGGTCGATCGGAAGTTTGTCTCTTTGGTCTGAATGCAGCGTGTGCAGCACAGCTGTTTCTGAGTTAGCTTCATCTGGGTTGGCAAGCTGCCTGATTGGAGTTGACTTGCCTTCTCGTAGCCTTGCTTCTTCCACTTGGCAATCAACATAGCGTCTGCATATCCGTTCTTGAGCAGGTAGTCGTATAGCTGCTTGCTGATAGCCTCTTTCTCGTAGTATAGGTCGTATATGTAGCGCGAGCGCTGGTGGGTGATCTGGAAGATGGGCCACGTCATTTCGTACTTCTTCTTGCCCTCGTGGGATGCGTTCTCGGCATCCTTCATCTTGTTCTGAAACTCCAGGAGTGTGTCTTCAATGTCATCGAAGCCCTCTGGCGGGGCCTTGCGTGAGGCGCGTGCGGTGCGGACTGGAGGCATGTCCGGGCTGGTGGTGAAAGGTCGACGGTCACAGGTTTTGCGCAAACGTGAACAAGAGCAGCTTCTATGGCTGTATAAGCGGTCGAGCCTGAAATATACTGCAATGACGTTGCCGGTGTTGGTGGTTTCAAAGAAGAAGCGATCGATAACTTCGCGACTGCGCCGGGAGTAAAATCCGCGCTAACGTCAGGTCTTGGCACTCCACTCCACCCGTGAGCCGCATCGTCACTGCAACTCAAGCTACGAGACGACTGGAAGCTCTGCAACACCGCTAAAATGGTCATCAACCCCACCTACCTCGCTCAGCGCACGCGCTCATGTTAGTCGAATACGCTTACGGAACATTGGGGGAACACAAAGGCTAACGCGGCCACAGCGGTCAACTGGACTGATGCGAAGAAGAGGGTCATTCACAGCTACCGGGACTGGCTGCGGTCGGTACGTTAACTCGCAGTCTTGAGAGGCTTATTAGCTGGAATCTGGGGCTTAGGATCTGGGCATGTATAAGAAAGAGCTGGAATGAGAGAAACGCGTGGCATGCAGAGAAGCGGGCATCAGCATCGCAAAGCCAGGAACCTGGGCTGACAATGATTACGCAGGCTCCCGAAATCCAGACCATGTACTCGCTGAACTTGCCTGTATCCACGCTTCGGACGAAAATGCGGCAGGAGTTCGAGCGGCATCGATACGTGAATCAACTAAAGACGGTAGATGTACTGCTGTTCAACAGTCATCAGGAGTTCCAAGTACACCATGAACCAATACGTTTGATAGTCGAAGAGGATATGCTAACAAGTGTACAGGAAACGCTCAACTTCTGGAAGCAACTGTCGCACGTTCTCAAGTACTTCCGTGCCGAGGAGGAACCCAAGGCCCGGCTACAAAGCAACTTCATCAACGGCTTCCTGGAGGTACGTTTATCTCCTGAGTACATCATCCGGAGTTTCCAGATACTAATGCGTGCGTAGGGTCGCAACTGATTTGGCCATTACTACCAGAGTCCGAGGACAAGCAAGAACAAAATTCGGTGTATATAGCTGAAGTCAATACCAATTTCCTTTCCTTTCGCCGATGAACTATGCTACCCTTTAACGCCAACAATGCAATACTATCATAACACTCGCGTCGCAGTATTACTCCTCCATCTTGTTGACAAAGTCATCTCGTGCAATGGTGAATTTCTGCTCGACGACATCGCACATGTTCATAAGATCCTCAAGACCCTTCTCGAGCACAGTATATACACTGACACCGTCTGGTTACTTGTTAGCTGCGTGGTCAGGAGAGGCTCGTATCTATGGCCTACCGTATGTCTGAATACGCAAGTTCATCTTAGCTTCTGAGGGATGCGGGATAGAGTAACCACAGAATTCGACGTCGGGGCTAGAAGAACATTAACTATTTGCCTGCTTGTACAAGAAGATCCTAAGCTTACTTCTTATGGATTATGTATCTTAGCGCGTTGCCCAGGGTGTGGTCCTCGCCATCGAATTGGAACGATGCAGCCGTCTCCGTCGCACCAGATAGCTACAACAAATTAGACAAATATAGTTACATACTCTACTCGATCTAACGTACAACTCTGATTCTGTCACGGTCGACTGCTGGATCAATCTCCTCGTTGTTCTCAGATGTAGGGTCCAAAATTGGAACTTGAGTTGGTTCTTGCGTGGTGCCCGGCATCTTATGCTACTTCTTGCTATTCGTGGCTAGTTGGTAATAGATGAGAGATGACGCGCTGTGTAAGTGAGAGATAGCGCGCTGAGTTGGTGTTTTCCTAATGTTGATCTTGTATTGGGGGCGTGACTTTGCGATATCAAAATTTTGGGGCAGACTTTGGTTCGGCGATTCGTTGGTTGGCCAGACTTTTTCCAACCCTATATCGCTTGGCGACATGACGTGGGGCGTGGGGAAGCCCCTCTGAATCCGCCTCAACTTTTTGTGCCTTTCCTCCTCCATTGACAACCCCAAATCCCCCGAAACATATACTTCGAACAATACCGCCACAATGCCGCGAACCTGCTGCCTCAACCGCGACACGAACGAGACGAAGATCCAGGTCTCGATAAACCTCGATGGCGGCGACCTCTCACCTTACGAGCATAGCGACTTCTGGGCCGCCTACGACAAGCAGAATCTCAATGGCGAGGGTGAGAAGGTTGACAAGGACCATGCTACCCAGAAATCGGCGTCCCAGGAGATCTCTGTCGACACGGGCATCGGCTTCCTAGACCACATGATTCACGCCATGGCCAAGCACGCTGGCTGGAGTCTGCGCATCCGGTGCAAGGGCGACCTGCACATTGACGACCACCACACGAGCGAGGATGCATTCTTGGCGTTAGGCACAGCCTTCAAGAATGCGTTGCAGGGAAGCACGGGTCTTGCCCGTTTTGGACACGCATACGCACCGCTCGATGAAGCGCTATCACGGGCCGTCATCGACCTGTCGAACAGGCCATACAGTATCATTGAGCTGGGTCTCAAGAGGGAGAAGATCGGTGACTTGAGCTGCGAGATGATTCCCCATTGCCTACAAAGCTTTGCGCAGGCGTCTGGCACCACCCTCCACGTTGACTGCATACGCGGCGACAACGATCACCACAGGGCAGAGAGCGCCTTCAAGGCTCTTGCGGTTGCTATCAGGCATGCGACAACCGTGGTGAAGCAGTGGGAGGGTGAAGTTAGGAGCACAAAGGGCGTGCTTTACTAAACACCAGTATAACTAGATTATACCAATTCAACATCCAGAATTACACGGAGCATCGTTGTGTTGCACCGGAAGCTCATGTCCAATCTTTTCAAAACATCCACAAACAGTCCGATCACTTGTCTTCCGTACACTGGGTACTTGGCTGTCACTGCCAGGCCTGATTGGTCCTTGTGACCTTTTTGGACCCCGGATCGTTCACGACAACGAGCACTAAAATCATACATTACGCCTACAAAGAATCAATCTCTTAGCAATTTAGATGGTTAGAACTCTTGAATTGGTTTTAGACACCGTTACTGGCGAAGATCCATGACGGTAGGTAGGTAAGAACCTGTTTTTATTATGGTCAAGAGATAAATACACATGTACAGCCCAGGGCCGAGCCTACACGCCTTGAAGCTCTGCTGCGGATCGATCATGCATGAGAGGAATTCCACGGTTCGGCTTGGTTCGGTGCCAGTTCATATGGGTAAGGGGCGGAGCAGGAATGTTTCAGTCGCAATGACAGGTTTGCTGAGCAAGTTGTACATTGGTCTGTAACACTAAAGATAACTACGACGCCTGTGTTACCGGCGATGTCGTCACACATTTCTCTAGCTACGTTAATGTCCAGTGTCTATAGGAAGCGCGGGACACACCCATAGGGGTTCAACGTCGGTGACGTTCAAGAAGGAGAAGGACGCGATGCGATGCGATACGACATGCCGCGAACCAGACTTTGCCTAGCGGACTAAGCAACCGGCTCTAGAATGTGTTGTCTAACACAAGCGACTATACAGTCAAACCTCATAACAAAGAGAGATAGCAAATATATGAGGAGTGCTCCTTACCTAATAAGAACATCATAGCAATCATCTGGAAGTACATAAAATTCTTCAACATTCAATAGAATGAGATCATGTTCGAAAAACGGACAAGGTACTTTCATTGTGTTCAAGGATATCTTTGATGGCTCCATGACGCCTGCAATGCAACAACACTTGTGTAAATCCAGGCTAATATACAGAATAATAATGCTCAAAACCTGAACCATATATGTAAGACGGATGCAGGTAGGGTCTAGGGGGAGGAAACATACCTTATCTCATAATTACCCGCTCTCGTCATGTAGCGCACCCACTTCACACTGCTGTAGTTGCTCTTCTCAAAAACCTTCAGATATCGCACAAGCAATCCGGAGCTCGTGAACATCAGCAAGGAGAAGCTCAGATTGAGCGGTGGCCGTGACCAGGCCTTCTGGTTGGTCATGCTCGTTAAGCTGGCCTCGGCACTGAGGACGAATTCGCTTTGCCCGGTAAACCTTGGGATCTTCCAGACAATGTTGTTGTGCTCCGGTTCGTACTTGGCTTTGCCTTGTGATGTCCGCTCGGTGATACGCGCAGTGTTGAGGGGTGTTGGTATTCGCACGACGACGTTTGTAGCGAAAAGCTTGGAGCCGTAGTTGGCGCGTATGGCAATGCTGTATTCGACCTTCGTTTTGCCAACCTCATTGACAATGGCATGCACCTTGAAAGGCAGATTGACGTTCTCAGTCGCCCGGTAGCGCATTAGCTCGAACTCGCCATCCGGCGGAACGAAGGATATTATCCTGTCCGCATCAAACTTGCCCAGCTTCACGCATTGATGAAATTGACAGTCTTCCAGCGTAACGCTTCCCGCTGCTGCCCTGGTAGCCTTCGCGCCTGCCTTGTTTCCCGATGGTTGTTGGAGATGATCTTCGCCTAACGTTAGGCGGTCGTTGAGGCCGAATTTGCACTCTGGTGTGCCTGAGAGATATGCGCGCATTATGATCTGCCCGTTGACGTCGGCTCGCAGTACTGTTCCTGTCGCGGACATGAGCAGGTTGACGTCCTCGATTACGTCGACGAAGGCTTCGTTCTTGCGGTACTTGATGTCGGCACGCCGCCAGGAAAGAGCGCCGGTGGCCTGCATTGTGATCTTCGACGAGTCCTCCTATGGTTCTGTCAGCTGTGCTCTGGCCGTGTTGGACATGACCTACCATAGCCCTTTCCGACTTGACACCTTCAGTTGTGATGTACATCTTCAACGTGTCTGTCTCGGTGTTCTGTGGGTATCCAAAATCCAGAATCTCATCTAGCAGCTCATAAACCAGTACGAAGTTGTTCTTCACGGCCTCCTCGTCAAACTTGCCGAAGTATGCCTTGCCTAGTCCCACCAGACGGTACAGAAACTCAAAGACCAGCGCTGCATTGGCATTGCTCTTCGTCACGGCGACTAGATATATGTTTTCGTGTTTGACATGGCTGAAGGTGGTCGAGCCAAGGGTGAGAATGGGCGAGCGTACTTGGGCGTTGGAGATGACCTGAATTCGGAACACATCGGCAAGTCGCGGGCGGCAATCGTTGCGGAAGGCGCGAAAGATGAGGTTCTCACCTTTCTGGTTGAAGATAAGGATTCCGGAGAGCATGGCGGCGACGTGGAGGGGACAGCGGACGTCGGCAGGGAATTGGCTGCTTCGGCGTGTTGATGCTTGGAGCTCCACTCGCGACGCCGCGGGATTGAGCTCGGACCATATTCGCTTGTAGTAATTAGGGGTCTTAGGGACAATCTTCATCTAGTTCCAAATAGAGCGGCGATGCTGGAGCTCTTGTCATTTCAATGGTCCAATCTTGTCGAGTTGAATGTTCCTGTTCAATCGTCACACCTACAGCCGTCTCTTTTTATCAGACACATCAGAATACCACTGGTTTCGCCCGTTGTTTTTTGACCGAAAAGACGACTTCGAAATTGAGAAAGACTGGAGTGGGGAAGTTGACAAAGAAGAGACGGGGTTGCTTGCTTAGTCGCGGTCATCTGGTGAAACATAATAGAAGGCACAGGCACGTAGAAAGACTAAGTTGTTTAGATCAACTTTGGTTCACACTGATATTGATTTAATCTGATGGAGTGCCTCAGGCTGCGAGTAGCAATCCAATGAACATCATCTTCGTAAATCATGTGAAGCAAAGGCCATCACATAGTTGTTAGTTGCCTATGTTGTCTGACCATGGTTTCAGCATTACAGGCTCCTGAGGATCCAGCTTTGCCATCAAAGAAGTGTATCGCTCCGCTGTAAGGCTTCTTTTGATCTCCTCCATCCTTACACCGATCTCATGGCGCTTTTGATACAGGGTTGCGTACTCATTTTCTAGCATGGTGAATTGACTAACAGCAGGTGTCCCGTGGGAACCCTCCGGTGTAGCCTTGATTTGTACGCTCTTCTTGACACTAATGAGTGGTGAGCAAAACGTATCTACGTATCCAAGAACTACCACTTACTGTGGCCTTGACCCTTGTCGTGGTTCAACAATATTCGGTACTAGACCTGCCGACTCTGACACACTCTCCGACTGACTCAACCCCGGCTGCCCATATCCCCCGTCAAATTGATTTGTTGGAACCGGTCGCGGATGAAAGTGAGCTCCGGACTTTTGCGTATATGGGTCTATGGTAGTCGATGGGTAGTAACCGTAGTAAGATGACTGCGTCGGTAAGAATGGCGAAGAGCCGTAGTTGCTACAATTAGAAGGAGCTGTTTCGTAACCAGGAAATTGTGTTCTATGTATGGTCTGGGGACCTCCCGAGTGTGATGGCCGAGGGGGAAATGGGTAGCGGTCGTCTACTGTAGGATGATATTGTGGTTTCGCACTTTGCAGATTTTGGACAGGGTCAGAATGGTTTCGATCCTTTCGCCTAAATTGCCGCCCGTTGCCAGAATCGCCTGCCATGGTCTCGTTCTGTTGCCCAGCGAAGGGTAGGTGTGTGCCGCGAACTTGAGATAGTAAACTCTTGTTGATAGCAGCAGAGGGCGTCGCAGTGATGAAGCTAGCACGATTCCGCTTCTATGAAGCTTTCACTGCTTTAGCTTGCTTTACTCCCATGAGATCATTGCAGGCAGCACGCAAATGCTTCTGCCACACTTCAGTGAACTTGAAACCGGGGCCCTCATGGTACAGACCCACCTCGAAGCCGAGCTGAAAGTAAAACTTGGTGACAGCGATACTTCGTTCTGCACTAACCTCTCCGCTGAAGGGGAAAGTGAGGTCAGATACTTTCCCGAAATACTTGACATCCATAGGCGGCCAGTGACCTGCTTTGATCTCGCCGTTAAAGATCTCCATCTTGAATTGCGTGTTCTTTCCAAAGTTCTTACTTTTGGAAAGGTACACGCATGCTGGGTCCCGTCGTTTCTCTCCGTTAATGTCCCACTTCACTTCTCCGACATATAGCTTGAACGCGTGCGCGTCGCGATAACCATCGTCGGTGAAAATTCGATGGCGGTCATTCTGTTCGATGAGGGACATTTATGTAAGAGTGGGAAGCGCTTCTATCTGTTCATCCAGAAGGTCGAAATTCTCTTGTAGCTTGATGAGAGCGTTCTTGAGCTGGAAGAGATCACATAGTAATGTTTTGGAAACTGTTTCATCGCTGCTCTCGTAATCATCACTCGAGTCGCTCGCATTGCCGAAGTTTGTCATCTTACTTATATCAAGATCTGCAGACTCATGTCACAGCTTGCGAGAACGTCGTTAGGTATAGCTTATAATTCCCCTATGATTTACGCTCAGCCATGTGTACCAATTGGTATCAGGCGACAATCATACAAGCGAGAGGAGTTTAGTCATCAAGTCTTAGCGTTGTCATAAAATCTATAGCCTTATAGTAGGGATAAAACACGCATTATCAACGCAGAAAGACGCTCTTTACATGGAACTAAGAGCCTCTAACAATCCAGAAACCTCTTCTACAACTTCCTCAACGCTCTTTCCAGCATCAACAGGCAGCACATCCGTCTCTGATACATCCGCGATCTCCCAGATAGCAAGCTGGCTCTCCACCATATCTTCCTTCATGTAATGGCCACCCCTTTCTTGCATTCTCCGCGTCAGCTTTTCCTGCTCAACTTGCAAATCCACAAAGACAACTCGTACTTTATCGTTCATTAGAGTCCGAAACTGATCACGGTACGACTTCTTCAAGGCTGAGCAGGAAAGGAACACACGCCCATGACCTTCATTGGCGACAGTATCGAGTGCGCGCTGCCTGAGGCGGGCGAGCCAAGGGGCACGGGCGAGGTCATCGAGGGGTGTGCCGGCAGCCATTGATGCAACAGCGTCTTCACTATGTAGTTCATCACCTTCGATAAAAGGTGCTTTGAAGTGGGCACCGAGGTGTTGTGCAACAGTGCTCTTACCGCTGCCACATGGTCCGGCAACTACGACGACCTGCTTCATGGGTTTCGTTGCAACTTTGGGGTAACGTAGTTGCCAAGAGGTAGCTTGGAATTGTTTAACAAACGTCTTCACGAATGACGTATCTAGCACAGGTGCGGCATCGAGCGAAGGTGAGAGAGATCTGGCGACGCTGGTCTCGTATGTACGCGAAGGGCCGAAAGTATCCTTGTCGTACTTTGATGCGAAGAAATCAGCTAGTTTGATCGGTGGGTTGGTCACAGCATCCTGATTTGACTCGCGAAGCCTGCGCACCCATTCCTTTGGCTCAATCTCATCGAACTGGAGGCCAGCTTCTCGAAGGGCGGGGAGTAGATCATCGGTCCAGGAAAAGCTCTTTGCGTTGGTAACATTCGCCACCACGGAGCCAGCGTCACTGAGCGAGATCTCTGTCACGGCTTTCGCGACAATATCAACAGGTGTCCAACTCGGTGATTCTTGCAGTCGAGGTAGCGCGCCGACAGTAAGTGCAGACTGCATCATAAGAGGTATGGCTTCAGTCGCATTCCACACGCCATGCACAGTGTCCGCGACAATCTGACCAACGCGCAGAACCCGTGCTCGAATACCAGTCTCCTTTGCCGCAGTCAAGCACAAATGCTCCGCGACGCATTTGCTTTGAGCATATCCCATGTCTTGGGCCCAGTCAAGCGCTGCTAGCTGCTCAGGTGTGTGCATATTGGGGCACCTTGCGACAGTGCTGACGGAAGAACAGAAGTCGAAAGAGGCAGGCTTGATCGACGATGTAGCAAGGCAGAGGTCGATCAGATGTCGCACGCTAGCAATGCAGTCCTTCTCGAACGACATTAGACTCTTGTTGAAGTTGACGCTCCACGCGCAATGAATGACATTAGCAAGACCTGAGGTCACCTGGGCATATGTCGTGTCGTCCAAGCCGAGGCGGGGCTCAGATAAGTCGGAAGGTATGGCATGGATCTTTCTGCGCGCGGTGAGCGATAGGGTATGGTATAGTTTTCGCTGTATGAGGGATTCTCGGACACGGCGAGCTGCAATCGCGTAGTCTCTGGCTCGTACAAGGCAGTAAACACTGTCGATGTCCGGACGTTCGATTAACTGTACAAGAACATGAGCACCAAGCGAGCCGGTCGCGCCAGTAAGTGCAGTTTGTCGTCTATCAACTGGCTCGAACATGCTGTATTGCGCGATAAGATCTTGCATCTGCGCGACCACTGATACAACCTCCTCCTCTTGCCCAGTCTGGAGTCTGTAGAGATATGTCGCAAGGGTTGCGATTGATGGATGCTCAAATACTACGTTCTGACCAAGTTTGTTGTCACCGAAATCGACGGTCTTGAGGATATCCATCCGAATTTGGATCGACTGTAGTGAATCCAGCCCCAGCGAGAAGAGGTCTGTGGTACGTTCGATGTTGCTTGCCTGCAGCAGAGATTTGGCCAGGATCGTACGTAAAAGGTTCTCCATCTCCGAAACAGTGAATGTTTTGAGATCCCCACGAGATGATGCAGCGATATCATAGGCGTCATTTATCTCAGTAGCGAACTGTTTGTAAAATGCTTGTCGGATTACACTGCCTTTATCGGTGCGTGGGAATTGACAGCCATATGGCAAGATTTGGATCATATCCCTGGAGATCCTTGCGTACGCTTCGGCTGTCTGATTTGCAGCTTCAATGACGGGCCATATTTCGTCAACAACTCTTGATGATTGCATACCCTCAACTGCTGGGACCACAAGAATTCCAAGGTATGGTCGGCCAGAGCCAAAGACGACCGTCTCAGTCACAGCTCGATGTGACCGGATGGTCCCTTCCATCATGACTGGATTGAACTTTTCGCCGTTCACCAAGACGATCGTATCATCGAGACGCGCAATATATTTCCAGGCTTTTTCGATCGTAGGGTGTGGTTCGAACAAGTCTTTCGTGGCGTAACTGCCGTCAGGTAGATTCGAGGCAACCTTCGCTGGCCAACCTGGCAAAACCGTACATTCATAGAGATTGGGTCCGCGGGGTACCCATCGAAGATACGGGGATAGTTTCGGTGATTCGCGAACATAATTCCATACCTTATCATCGGCAGGTCGAAACGATGTCATGAGTTGGCCGACTTCAGTACTGCTTGTTGTAAGCTTGTGTATGACATAAAAACACAGGAAAAACTCACGCGCCATAGTGACCCACAAGATTAACCCCGTTGTTCACTAGCAAGTCGCCCAAAGTGTCTGGACAAGCACTTCCACCATACATGACAATCTTGAGTTTCTTCAATAGCTCTATTCCCTCATCCGTTTCAGAGAGAAGCTTGAGAGCGTATGGTACGCCGTAGAAGATCTCAAACCTGTGCTGCCTCAATATTGCAGCCAGATAAGGCTGGGTCAAGGGCAGATCGGCATTGTAGATGTGAATGGATTTGCAGCTGTATATCGCACGGAAAAAGTTGCATATACCATGATTGTGGTATAGGGGAAGAGTGATGAAGGCTTTCATTTCCATGCTGATAGCGTAGTTGGCGATTGCGCTCTTCTGTGTTTGATATATGGGTTTCGGCAGTCCTGTGGAACCTTTCTTCGTGTCAACTCAAGCACCCAGAAACGGGTAGATAGTACATACCACTAGAATGTATTATGTAGATATTATTTGAAGTCTCAACTTTGTGATCAAGCTGGTAGTCAAGTCGGGTATCCGCATGGACTTCTATAGGGAAGTTATAGGTATTCGACCGGGCAATCTCGCCGATTTGCAACGCTGGAATGCTTGCCTGAGCGTCGACTGCAGACTGTGCATATCTTGAATCTGCCAGCAAGTAGGTAGCTCCGGTTGTTATAACGAGTGAGTGGATGGCTGCTTGAGATATACGCGTCGAAAGGAATAGTACCGTGTGGCCGAGCTTGGTAAGCGCGAGCATTGTTACGATGTAGTCCAAGTTACTTGGCCCAAGTACCGCGACCGTGGTTGGCTTCTCTGCAGAGCTAGATCGTGTGGGGATGAAAGATTGGTAGTGCCGGGCTACTCGGTAGGCGAAGACATCCAGTTGTTGCATTGTATAGTCTACAAAGTCAACTCCAGAGCTCGGATACGATACAATGGTAGCATGGGGATCGCGACGTGCGCGATGTCGAACGAGCGCGTCGACAGTTTGTATTGAAGACTCGTCAGGCTGGAGCAAGTCATGTCGCATATGTTTGGATGTGGACGGTGGTGTCGATGATCGAATGGGCGCAGCGATAGCGATCTGAGCTGGCGCCATGGCTATGGTGGCTTGTGACAGTGAGTAGTTCGAGAATAGATGAAGAAGTGGCTGTGGTTTCAGAAGTAGACATAATGAGGGTCATTGTATTAGTATTTGTTAGTTCGTCTAACGCGGATGCTTTCCCCAGCTTCAACCTCGAACGTCGGGATGATGTGGAGACTTGCATTGCATATCACGGATCGGATTCACTTTTGATTCGCGCGGAAAACTTCTTTAACTTTCGGAAGCATTGGCGATTCGCCGACAGCGAGCCGATGAAGGAATTGGGCTTGGTACAAAACTACTTTCCCCGCAGCTAACTTTCTCTAGGAAATCGAAAGACTGGGGTGGCTTTGTTTCTCCGCAAGTGAACCGCTATCAACATGGTGTGCAGTAACCAGGATCTCGTGTATAAAGCTTCTAGGATCCGACGTTGATCAGGGTTATCTCACTCTAATCTTCGCATCGATCTCGTGTTCTTCATTTCGCTTTCCTGACACATCTTCGCCATCCATAGTCGCAATGTCTCCGTCAATGGACAAGAGCGAGATCCAATACATCGATGAGAAGGCGGAATCGATCGAGTCGCCGAAGCCATATCAGATCGTTAAAATCGACAACTTCCAAGTGCTAGGTCTGGCACCTGAAGATGCCGATTTCTATATCAACTACTCGGAAGAGCAACGGAAGAGAGTTATCCATAAGGTAAGCGATGGCCATTATTTATGCCACTTAGCTTCTGCTAACCTTCCATAGGTCGACATACGCTTGGTACCAATGCTTGCAGTCCTTTATCTGATCTCCCACATTGATCGAGCAAACATCGGAGTGAGTACCGCACATTCCCGCGAGTTGCAAAAGGCAACTTGTTGAGGGCTTGAGCTTATGCTGATCCCGGACAGAACGCGAAAATTGAGGGCATGGTCACTGACCTCGGTCTCGACGGGGTGCAATGGAACATCGTCTTGTCAGTGTTCTTCGTGCCATACATCCTTCTCGAGGTTCCATCCAACATTCTCCTGAAGAAATTCAAACGTCCATCCTACTACCTCGGCATACTCACCGTCTGTTGGGGTATTGTCATGACCATGATGGGCGTGGTGAAAAACTTCGCTGGGTTATTAGCAGCCCGCATTCTTCTTGGCGTGTTCGAGTAAGTCTTGTGCATCAGCGATACGTTCTTCTCTGACAAGATACAGAGCTGGATTCTTTCCAGGCGCAATCTATCTTTGCTCTTACTGGTACATGCCAAAGGACCTTGCGACGAGGATTTCGTACTTCTATTGCGCATCAGCACTATCTGGCGCGTTCAGTGGCCTGCTCGCCGCAGCCATCGCCAAAATGGATGGCGTCGGAGGCTACGAAGGATGGCGCTGGATTTTTTTGTTGGAGGGCATCGTCACCGTCGCGCTCGGTGTCTCGTGCTTCTTCCTTCTGATCGACTCTCCAGCATTGAGCGGACGATGGCTAAAGCCTGACGAGATTCGCTTCCTCGAGCTCCAACGATTCATCAAGGACGGCGGAAGGTTCGGGGAGGAAAAGAAAGAGGGCTTCAAATGGAGCGACTTGAAGGCCGTATTATGCAATTGGCGCTTGTACATGCAAGCATACATTCTGCTCTGCATATCGGCATGCTCATACGGTATGTATCCCTTGTAGAGTACAAGAACACTCGCTGACTGGCATACAGGAACGAAGTTCACCTTGCCCACCATTACAAAAAGTATGGGATTCAACAATACCAACGCTCAACTCATGACCGTACCACCATACGTGGCCGGTGCTTTGAGCTCCATCTTCTTCGCTAAGCTCTCAGATCGGTTTTACTGGCGTTTGCCGTTCGTCGCAATTCCTCTCTCCTTCATCTTCATTGGATATGCCGTGGTTATCTCGTTCGATGGCGACTTGGGTGGCAATATTGGTCCGGCGTTTTTCGCCATCATTCTGACCTGTATGGGTATCTACCCCATCCAGCCAGCTGGAAGCAGTTGGGCTGCCAACAATCTCGCCCCTTCTTCCCGTCGTGCCATTGGCGTTGCCTTCAACATCTGCGTTGGTAACATCGGTGGTGTCATCGGCAGCTACATGTACCTGGAGAGCGAGAAGCCCAAGTACTATACTGGGTTCGGACTGTCCCTCGCGTTCGGCGCAACTGGTTTCATTGTCGCATTCCTACTGGAGTTGTCGTACAAGTGGGGCAACACGAAGAAGGCGAGGCTCAGCGAGGATGAAATCCGGGCAAAGTACACGGACCAGGAGCTACTGGCCATGGGTGACAAGTCGCCATTGTTCCGATACACTTTGTAGAGCAAGCGCAACGTCTTGGGACGATATGAACTAACAATCGCGGACAATTGAATGCGGTATATAGATTTGGAATCCGTTATTACGTTAGCGAGAAGTTCAAGCTCGATGACCTTGGATGCTCCAGCTTTCACTCGATACCAAAATGTACTCTGAAGGTGTGCACACCATCTTTACTCTACTGGCATGACATTCTCAAACACAGCGAGTATCTCCAGAGTAGATTTTGATCCCGAGTAAGTATAAGTTCCAACACGATGTCGCCTCCAGACCGTCAAGAGATATTGTTCATCCAAGCGATCTCCAGATCATCCACTTCAGGGAAAGGGCCAAAAGCGGAGGCATCAAGGTCAAGCCAGTCGGTCGTTTGCCAGTCGTCCAGGAAGTTTTGCAGCCCTGGTGTAGTCACGTCCATTGGGCTACTACCAAAAATCGGCTGCAAGGCCTGCAAAGCGGAATCAGAACGAGATTCTCGTATCGCGTCGTCACCTAACGCCACGGAAGCTCCAGCATCCGCGGTAGCCGATGATGCATGTACCTGCTCTTGACGTGACCTTGCTGCTTTTCTCTTTGCTTCAGTGCGAAGTTCCTGTAAGATGATGCTGTATCGTCGCGAGGGCGAGTTCGTCGCTGTTGCCTGGGCGAGGTGTTGCAGACAGCTCTCAGCTTGATCTAAAATCCCGTGGGGGTCTTCAGCCGAGGCTGTACCGTGGGTGCTCTGTTGGATAGCCCACACATACACCACAACTAAAGCGCAGAAACACACATAGTGAGTCCACCAAAACGCGTGAAACAAACGACCCTCCCGAGCCATACGATCGACTGCTTCCAATACTGATCGTGCAGCTGCAAGACACTCTGCGAGGCAGTCTTTTGCGAGGATATGCATCTCAGCATTACTACGCCTAGCGTTCTTCAGGAGAAACGGACGATGGGCTAGAATCACAGCATGGCAGTAGGACAACTTGAGTGCAGTCGCCTGTCTTCGAAATGTCGGAATTAGACTGCTAGGGTTGACGGCACCCAGGAAGGGTGGAAGCGACGCCTTCCACTGGCGTAGCTCTGCCCCTAGGCGATGAGAGGCCGCAAGCCGAATCTGATCTGGCACCTGATGATGGAGTCAGTTATCTCATTGTCCTGGAAATAGTGGCTCTCTGACATACTGGCTTTATCGAGTAGACTTCTCGCGATATCTTTTCGGCAATTTGTGCCAGCCGCGCATGATATACTAGCGACTCTATATGGCAATCATCTGTGTTCTTAGCATTTGGGCCAGCACTGGTCATATCTTCATCGTTCACAGCGGCAGGGAAATCTTGGTCGATATCTTCATCGTGGTAGTGCCTGGGCCGGCCGAAGATAACGCCAAGATACTTGTCTAGAGTGTAGGCTACCCAAAACGTGCGTTTCCTGCACTGTTCATCGATGTAATCCCGTTTGGTGGCGGTTGCTTGACGTTTCCGATCGTCTCTTCGATGTAGGCCTAAAGCCGAGATAATCTGCAAAGCATGGCCAAATGTATACCATGCCTGATTAAAGCGACATGACATGAGAAGATATAAAACCTGTATAAGCCTGCACTGAGCAGACTCGAGCTTTGGGATACCAGTTTCGGCTTGGGTCAGACGCGAAGCCTCTATGAATAGCATATCGCTCTGTGACTGCGTGTCGGCTTGGGTCACTGGTGATGAACCGATGTCTCCGCCCGCTTTCTCTTCATGGAATGATGCGATAGCCAATACAGACAACACTGCTGCAGTCTTGGGGCGACCAAGATCTGCATTGAGAGGTTTGTAAGTGGGATGTGTTGTTCTCTAGGTAGAGTTGTACATACCATGGAAGAGTGCTCGATGCTGCTTTGCATTCTCAGACACAATTTCCAGCCAAGATTCGACTGTAGGTCTATGCAATAGCCGATACGTTGCAATACACACGTCAAAATACAGATGAAGAAGCTGGCGACTTCGATCTAGCAATGGCATCTGTATTTCTCCGGTCTCTAGGAAGGGCTTGTCGCCTGCACTCATAAGTAGCTGGCGGTCTTCCGCAGAACCTAGCTGTCCACTTACAACCTGGCTGCTTTCCTTGTTGGAGATGCGCCGCCAAGCACGATTCAAGAATGAGAGACCAGAGGTTGAGTCTGAGTACTGGCCAGCTACCTCGAGCCCAGGAGAAGCCCGTGACGGAGGATCCATCTCATCGCCGACGACAGTCATACTTGGTGCGACGCTGAGTATAGCATGAGGATAGGCTGGTGCCGACGTAGGCTGCTGAGCACTGCCAGCTGCTGGGTATACTGGGCGCGGGGAGACTACCTTGCCTCGCGTGTAGGGGGCTTCATACTGGCAGGTCAAGCCCCGGCGATTACAGGTCTCGCACGGCTGGTCGCCGGAGCATTTTGACTTCCTCGCCTTGCATACATCGCATGCTCTCGTGACTTTGACCAACCGTTGCCTTGTATTGTTGCTGGCTGGCGCAACGTCAAGGCCCCGCTTCCGGGGTGCCGTGTTGCTGGATGCTGCTTCGGTAGACATTGTGGAGTAGGAGAAAGTAGGGCAAATCCGTAATTTCCGTCGAGCACCCTGGAACAACAATACAAGGCAATGGTTGGTCAATAACCTCGGCTGCACTTTTGTGGGTCCCTTCGATCGCTTTTCCGATCCGACATATGGACTACCACCGCGCCTTCCGCATCAGATATGGAGAATTCAAGATGGGTGTATATATCGTCCGTATGGCTGTACGCTGTCTTCAGATGTCGCACATCTTCTTAGCATTGTATTGTACAAACCTAAATCTGCCCCGAATCTGCGCATTTTGAGTCTATTGTCGTCGCATCGCATTGCGTAACGCCACAGCAAGCATGCCTATCCCCACACACTTTACCCTCAACACAGGCGCGCAGATACCAGCTGTGGGCTTCGGCACATGGCAAGCGAAGCCAGGAGAGGTCGAGCGCGCTGTGGAGACGGCACTCAAGGCAGGCTACCGCCACATTGATTGTGCTGCCATCTATCGCAATGAAGCTGAAGTAGGCGACGGCATAAGGAGGAGTGGTGTCCCTCGCTCCGAAATATTCCTTACCGGCAAGCTATGGAACACCAAACATGCACCGGAAGACGTTGAAGCAGCTCTCGATAAGTCGCTTCAGGATTTAGGCGTCGAATATCTCGATCTGTTCCTGATGCATTGGCCCGTGTACGTCATACTTCTTTGCTATTGCATGCACAACATACTAACATGGACGAAGTGCCTTCAATGGTGCTACGGGCAAGTGGTTCCCACTGCGTGAGAACGGTGTGTTTGACCTCGTTGACATCGATCCTGCGACAACATATAAAGCCATGGAGAAGCTGCTTGACACTGGCAAGGTTCGCGCCATTGGCGTATCCAACTTCACCGTCAACCGCCTCAACGATCTTCTCTCCAAGACTGATGTCGTACCGGCGGTAAACCAGGTTGAAGCGCATCCATACCTTCAACAGCCTCCCCTCTTCGATTTTTGCAAGAGCAAAGGTATTCTCATTGAAGCCTACTCACCCCTTGGAAACAACCAAACCGGCGAGCCGCGAACTGTTGACGACGAGCTTGTAAGTGTCTTGGGCCGCAGACTAGGCATGGATGGCGGCCAGCTGCTTGCGAGTTGGGGCATTCAGCGGGGTACTGTGGTGCTGCCCAAGAGCGTCACACCAAACAGGATCAAAGCAACATGCAGGTCAAGGAACTGCCCAAGGATGCTTTCGATGAGTTGAGCGGGCTGGAGAGGCACAAGCGGTTCAACGTGCAGTCCCGATGGGGGTTCGATATCTTCGAAGAATTAGGCCAGGAGCAGGTGCGGAAGATCGCGGAAGAATGCGCCGAGGAGAACAAAACGAAATTTACGGTATAGATGAATAATCTAGATCTTAGCATAGCACTCTATTTAGAAGGGAACCGAAACACTTGTGTATAAGCTTTTCCTATTTACCTACTAGGGCAAGACGTCGTAAATACATTACATGTGTACACGGTAATAGCGTTGCCTGGCACCTACCTTTTACAAATACAGCTACAAAAATACATCTCTGAATGTCGTGGCTTATTGGTCCGCGGATTCGCGAAGCTTGATACGCATGACGGTCTTGTCGATAGGTCTTGAACGTATTGTTAGCAAAGCACAGCTTGTCATGAGTGGCGATTGCTTACCTTGAGGTAATGGACATTGTCTGCTAATGAGTAAGTCGCTTGTGTGATTTCGCGAACGGGGTGATAGCTTACGTTGATCAACTCGGACTTTGTTCTGTATCTGCCCTTCTGGTCCATGATAGGCTGACCCGCTTCGTCCGTCTCGACTTCTCCGAGTCCGACCTTAACGAAGTCATACCTTCGCATGATGCATGCTAGAATGACGCGGGCCTCCATGTTGGCAAGTTCCTGACCAATACAATTGCGTGGTCCTCTTTCAAAGGCCCTCCATGCGCTAATGGGTATCTTGCTCTCGCCAGTAGTTGATCCGTCGTCTTCAGTCGGAGTGCTGCTGGTATCGGAGTCGCCAACCCAGCGCTCGGGAACGAAGTCGTTCGCTGTCTCTCCGTACACCTTGGGATCTCGCTGAATGATATGATGGCACAAGTATATGACACATTTGTCGACACATACGTCATCTCCATCTGAAGTGTGTAGCTTGAAACCGTTGTGTGACATTCGTGCCGAACCTGCTGGAGGCCAAAGTCGCAAAGCCTCTTTGATGCATGCAGATGTATACTTGAGCGCTTTCATAGTCTCATCCGGTCGCTTGAGGAATACATCGCGTGGCTCGGAGTCAGCAAAGACAGCATCATGCTCCGCGCGGATTTTCGCAAGGCAATCCGGGTGTATTGAGAGGGCGTAAAGCAATCTCTGTAGGAGGATAGCGGTGGTATCGTGTCCTGCAAAAAGGAATGATTTGACCTGGTCTGCAGTACTCTGCAATATGTAGGGGGTCAGCTCATCAATACCCTCTAGTGCCAGGGCCAGCACCGATCGGTCTTTGTTTTTCTTTGTATCGGAATGCTGAGCTGCTTTGATATCTGCGAACTTCTCGACAATGCACTTCTTGACAGCCGAGTCCAGCCGTCGGCTGTAAATGTACTTCTTGACGCGCAATGGCAGGTTCAACCAGGAGGCCATTAGACCGTTGTCACCAGTGTATACAGCCTTGAGTGTGCGGAAGTTACGGACGATATCATGGGCTTGTTCGCCATCGTCTTGGGCCCTACAATCAATGTTGGTCACAACGTCGCCAATAATATCGAAGGTTACATCAGTGCAGTAACTTTCCATCTCGGCTGCGATGCCAGAGGCTGCCAATGCGTCCAGTCTTTCAATAAGCGTATACGTTTTGTCAACGATGACAGGAAGTAGCGTAAGCAAATGCTGCGGGGCGAAACCTGGGTTGAAGGTCTTGCGAAGTCCTCTCCAGGATTCGCCATTCTCGCTAATCAAGGAATACCTCCCAACGAGCTCCCCGAACCCTTGCTGGACCGTTGGAGATTTGGTGACGCTGTACTGCTGCGTTTTGCTAGCTCTTGAAACTTGCTCTGCCATCTCATGGGATGCAATGAGAACGAGTGGGTATTGCACAGGTCTTGTGTCGAAAAACATGAACTCTGGGCTACCTTGGGCTTTCCATATATTTTCAAACACATAGTCTGCCTGCTGTCAGTGGTGGCTAGTGGCTAGGATGTGAGTCTTACCCGGGTGGACGGTAATGCTGAAGCCAGCCCTTTTGTATTCAGCCGCGATATAACCAAGGTGCCCAAAGAGGAAGTTTGATGACAGCTTGCTGGGAATATGTGCATATCGCTTGAAGCGCCATTGGCTTATTTGGAGGTACAAAAGCCATGCGACAGCTGGAATAAGCGCTAGCACGGCGTACGAAGGATTCGACATGACCTGCTACAGCGGGAGGGTAGAGTACACAGTCACTAACAACCAGATGGTCGTACAGAAAGTAATAATCCAATGGTAGGAGGCTGGTACGTACGACAATATGCCTGTGGTCGTGCGGCTTACGGTGAGCAGCTGCGGGCGCTCGTGCTCGGGCCATCGGCCTTAAGACTGATGAGAAATCGATGATGTAGGGCCCGACATACGGACGAAATCACCAGCGGAATCGCCGTTCCGGAAGCTACGCGTCATATATGAAGTAACTGGTAGCGCCGTTATTCGTGGTACACACGAACACTCAATCGCACTATGACCGTCTTTGAAGCCGTACCTCCACCATCACAAGCGCGTCTCGATGCCTCGTTGACCGACGCGCCCCTGGACACGGAGGAGCTTGTGTCGCAACAGTCCACAACAACACAAGAGAAGGACAAAACAGTGTTGTACCTGGCATATGGTTCAAACCTATGCAACGAAACCTTCCGAGGCGTGCGTGGTATTCGCCCGCTTTCACAAGTCAATGTTCTTGTTCCCTCGCTGAGGTTGACCTTTGATCTCCCCGGCATTCCCTACAAAGAGCCTTGTTTCGCCAACACAGCGCTGCGGGTGCCGGACGCGCAAGACTACCACAAGGACCGATGGCATAAGGGCTTGGTGGGCGTTGTGTACGAGGTGACGCTCTCTGATTATGCGCACATCATCGCCACGGAGGGTGGAGGCAGTGCCTACAACGATATCCTAGTCGAATGCTACGTGCTACCACCCTCGAACACTGTTCCCTCTACACCCGATTCGAAGCCGTTCAAAGCGCACACACTCTTTGCGCCCATCATAGACCGCGAAACCAAAGAACGAACCACCGCTCGTGTAACGCGACCCGATCCCAGCTATGCGCAGCCTTCGGCACGATACCTCAAGCTCATAACCGATGGCGCCGCTGAATGTCGTCTTCCCGGCGAGTACCAAGAATATCTAAACAATATACGAACATATACCATTACAACCAAGAAGCAGGAAATGGGAAAGGCTATCTTTCTGGCTATCTGGATGCCTTTCATCATGTTCATATTTGCCATGGGGAGGAAGCTGCAAGACAAAAAGGGTCGGTCGCCGTGGTGGCTAGCGAAGCTCAGTGCTATGATCTTTGCAGGCATGTGGACCAGTTACGACGGCGTTTTCAAGGGAACCTTTGGTGACGGAGAGAGGACAATAGGTGATTGTATGTTGCCGACAATCGATGCCAGGAGCAGGAGGATCTCCACCACTCGAGAAGATGCGGAAAAGGAAGGCTTGTTAGAAGAGTATGGGAGGACTATGTATGAGCCGCGGTCAACAGGGCAAAAAGCCTGAACACCAATAAATCTTATCGCCTATATTGGCATTTGTATACGGTCAACGATAAACCTGAGCGACGAGTATTCTCCTGGGGTAAATTTAGTGCGCTTGCAAAATGTGTTCGCCTTGCAAGCCCAATCTGGGATCCACCCTTTAGTTGGAGCATCTCCATTATCCCAGCAAGACCGGCGAACACCGACACTCACCGTCAGACTCCGATAGAAACTAGCCCTAAACAACCCATTCTTTACAAAATCCAGAAGTTACATCAAATCTCTTTATCTAACAATCCAAACTCACAAGATTTCCTATCCCTCCACACATCAAACATCATGTGCAAATCTCCCACCCACACGTTCCTCGCGGACCTCCCAAAATGTGAACATCACCTCCATCTAGAAGGCTGCCTCAGTCCAAGCCTTCTCTTCACTCTGGCCTCTAAAAACAACATCGCCTTACCATCACCGTCTGAGGATGTCGCTTACACATCACCCGCAACACTCACGGAACGCTACTCACATTTCACCAACCTGGATGACTTCTTGGCGTATTATTACCGCGGCATCGCAGTCGTAGTGCACGAAGAAGACTTTGAAATGCTTGGTTGGGAGTACTTTACGACAGCAGCCAAGGACGGAGTTCGCCATGCAGAGGTCTTCTTCGATCCACAAAGTCATACAGAAAGAGGTATTGACTTTGATGTTGTGGTACGTGGCTTCAACGCCGCGAGAGTACGTGCAGAGAAAGAGCTGGGGATAACGAGTTGTCTGATTATGTGTTTTTTAAGGCATTTGCCTGCTAGCTCAGCGGCGGACGCCATGGCGTTGGCTGTCAAGGGCGGGCACTTTGATGTTAAGAGCGACGGTCAGGAGCGCGCTATTGCTGGACTTGGGCTCGACTCATCGGAGGTGGGATTTCGCCCAGAGCTCTTTGTGGATATGTATCGTGAGGGCGAAAAGAAAGGTCTACGGAGGACAGCCCATGCGGGTGAAGAGGGTGACCCAACATATATCAGCGGAGCACTCGATGCGTTATATGCCGAGCGCATCGATCACGGCATTCGACTCACAGAAGATGCTGAACTTCTCCGTCGGGTGGTAGAAGAGGAGGTACTATTGACTGTTTGTCCACTGAGCAACGTCTGCCTTCAAGCTGTGAAGAGCGTTAGTCAGGTGCCAATCAAGACATTCCTCGAGGCAGGTGTAAAGTTCAGTATCAACAGCGACGACCCAGCGTACTTTGGTGGTTACGTCCTGAACAATTACTGCGCAGTGCAAGAGGCTTTTAACTTGAGCATGGAAGAATGGAGGACAATCGTTAGCAATTCGATTCACGGCAGTTGGACAGGTGAAGAACGGAAGTCTGAGTTGCTGGGCCTGCTTGATGCTTGCATGAGCAAACATGTTTAGATTTATCCGCAGCTATATAATCGTTTGTTGGACACAGGCTGGAATAGCGGTTGCTGGCAGACCAATAGACCCTGGCGAGTAGCCACTTGCAACCAACATTCCAGGAGCATCAAGAACGGTTTGTCCTAACCGCGCCGCTTTTCCTCGGCCATTCCTTTTGCTACAAATATGCTCATTGTTTCTGAGTTGTACTCAACACGTAAAGAGATCTACCTTGCAACGTCGAGTGTTACAAGCCTATAACATGTCTGTTCCTGGAGGTATACACTATCTCATGTTCTATAGATTTCTTAGTAAAACCACCGTGTATGCCTTCAGGATACCTTTTTGTGGCAGGTACAACTTCCGCTCAATGTCACGTTGTCTGCATTGAGTCAGCACCAATTCAGAGATAGCTGTAGTATATCGCCATACACGTTCGTAGATAGTTCACATAAACAGATCTTCCTGAAGTGCCCTCTGGATTCTGTTCATTGCTCGTGGGTATCATGTCCTTCCATACGCATTCTTAAGGATCTAGTCCGAGTCGTCGCTCACATCCATCTCCATCTCTGCGTCCGAATTCTCCTCCTCTTCCTCCTCTTCACGTCCTCTCTTCTGTCCCTTGGCTGCGTCTTGCGCATTGACCGGTACTGCTTTGTCGGGTGCGGCACCAAAGCCTGCGGGTTGTGTAGACGCTTGTTCGGGTTCGTCTTCACGCTCGGGCTCGGGCATCTTGTAGGTGCCGTCCAGCTTCGCTACCGTGTCGGACTTGGTCTTTGCGTATGCAATATGCTGCCTCATGTCAGCATCGTTCCATAACAGCTTCCGAGCTGTGAATTAGACGTACCATGTCTTTTCCAAAGAAAGTGAAGCCCTGCAGAGCGCGCATAGCTTGCGTTGAGGAGTCGACATCGCGGAATACAACGTGCGCCTGGCCTCGCATCTTCATTGTCTTGAGCGCGACGATATCGAGGATGATGCCATATGTAGCGAATAGCATGTACAGGTTCCGCTTGAGGTCTTCTTTCTGTAGCTTGTCGGGGAGGTTGCGCACGTATAAACTGTTTGATATCATCAGTACATGCTCTTGAGCATTGGGGAGAACAACTCACGTCCTGTTCGGGATACCCTCTTTGGAAACGGCGACGGTGCCTGGCGGTCCTCGCGCGGAAGTAGCCATTGTCTGTGTGATATGCGACTGCGTAAGCGTCGGTGGTGAAGTGAGCTCCCCGCAGAAAAGCGCGGCCAAGCCAAAATGTTTGGGGACGTGCATGGTCGCCGCCGCGGTCCCTAGAACGCGACCGCTCACTCACCGGCACACCACGCTCCCACTTACTTCGCCGTCTAAAAGAGGAGGACTGCGGTATGGAGATTGAGTCGCATAACTCAAGAGAGCTGTGGAGTAACCACTAACGCCGGCACTCCGCTATCTCCCTCGACTATCCTGCATTGCACTACTCGAAGCCTGCCATTGCACCCCAACTTCACCATGGCATCACCAGCTGTCTTGAGCCCACGACCGAATCCGCCTGGAGCGCCATTTCAGGATGCGACCAAGGCCAGAACACTCGCGCTCCCAAGCCACACCACGAAGCCTACAAAGTCACCCGTGGTGCCACCGACGGCCCCATTAGCAGGAGACAGCGGCATGGACCTCGCAGAGCAGATGAATGATCGGATCCGCAACCAGTTCGTCATGGGCAAGAAACTAGGAGAAGGTACATATGCGGTAGTCTTTCAGGCCCACTACGTCAACAACCCCAAGAAGCTCGTCGCAATCAAGAAGATCAAGCTCAACGCCGAGTACCCCAACGGAATCGCCCCCGACGCCCTTCGCGAAATGCAGTTCCTCTTTGAAATAAATCACCCCAACGTCATCAAACTACACGACGTATTTTCAAGCAAAGATCAAAACCTGTCCTTCGTACTCGAACATTTGCCTCTGGGAGACTTGGAGCAGCTATGGAAGAATAAGGAGATCACATATACAAAGGCAGACATTAAATCTTGGATGAACATGCTGTGTCAGGGAATCTGGTTCTGCCACGAGAACTTTGTTCTGCATCGCGATATCAAGGGTAGCAACGCCTTGATCGCCGCTGACGGAACCGTCAAGCTTGCTGATTTCGGTCTTGCGCGGAGTTTCGCCGATCCGGGAACGAAGATGACTACCATGGTCATTACACGCATGTACCGTCCATTGGAGTTGCTATATGGTTGTTCACATTATGGTGGCACGGCCGATATGTGGAGTATCGGTGTCTTGATGGCGGAACTGTGCATTCGCAACTGGTTTCTCTATTCCGACACGGATATTCAACAAGTCGCCGTTATCTGCGAGAAGTTTGGAACGCCGACCGAAGAGACATGGCCGGGTGTTTCTTCACTCCCGTACTATGTCGCGCCCGACAAACAAACCGGCCCACAAGGCTCTACAGCTTTCAGGCAGATACGTCCTCGTGTTTGGTGGAAACAACAGTTCTCCACATTGGGAGATGACGGATGCGATTTCATCAGAGGCCTATTGACCTTGGACCCAATGAAGAGGTACACTGCCCGGAAAGCGCTAGAGGATAAATGGTGGACCAACGCACCCCGGCCCACGAAGAAAGAAAACTTACCTAAAGAAGGCGGTGGGGCAAAGGCTATGGGCGAGGATCTGAAGCGGAGAGGAGGAGAAACACCTACCAATGGTCGCGCGGACAAGGTAGCAAGAAAGCTTGACTTTGGCTCCATGGGGTAGATCCCATCCCGACATCACCCGACCGCGGTTCGGTCTAGTGGGTACTTTCGATCTGACATGGGCGTTTGGAGCACCTGCATACGGGTAAGGCTTGCCGTTTCGTCTAGGCTAGCGATGCTGCATTTCTTGGAGTCTGGGGTGGTCAGATAGCTTTTTTGTTCGGTGTATCAACCACCGAAGTTCAATACACTACTCGACCCAATCTTAGTGTAATCGCAGATATCCCTGCACATGACTGATTCCAGGCTACGACATGGCTTGATTCTCTTTACTTCTACCACGCTATTACGTACCCTGATGTATACATCGTCTCCTGTCAGTTTAGCACCTAAACGCAGGTTAGAGCGAATACCTCCCGGCTACATCACTAATGTAAGAACTAATGTTACCTGTCTTGACAAACATCCAACAGTACTTATTAATTATTACGAGTACAACTGTTTTCTATGAGCTTTATCTCACAAATATAGCGTAGCCCGGAGGTATACGCTGTGATCTACCTACTTGTACACGTTTTTAAAATGTACTATATACCTTCCGGGTGAAATTTGTGTGGTAGTAGAACTTGGAAACAACGAGTTTGTTTGTGAAGCCAATAGCGCACTAATACGTAGGATATAGAGCATATTTGAAGTTGAAAATGGCATTCCGACGCCGTGATTCATTCGTTACTATCTAGTCATTTCCATTCTTGGATTCCATAAATCTCATTAAGCAACGCCAAATCCACAGGTAATATGCTTACTTGACGAGCTTGCAGACCAGGTCGCCAGAGTCGACCGAGTCACCCTCACGCACTGACAGGCCACTGACCTTACCAGAGTGTGGTGCGGAGATGACCATCTCCATCTTCATGGCGCTGAGAATAGCAACGGGATCACCCTTCTTGACCTCGCTACCATCGTGGACACGAACCTCAACCAAGACACCGGACATGGGCGATCCGACTTGGCTGCTGTCTGTGGGGTCGGCCTTGGGTCGTGAGACGTTCTCGATAGCCGCGTGTTGGTCCTCCACGGTGACGGTACGGGTCTCACCGTTCATCTCGTAGAAGACTTCACGGAGACCAGTTTGCTCGGAAAGAGGACCGATGGCAAGGAGCTTGAGGATAAGGACCTTACCCTTCTCCAGCTCGACGTGGAACTCCTCGCCGATCTCAGGGCGGGACAAGAAGTAACGAGTGGGCAGAACGGAAAGATCTCCGTACTTGGTGGTCCACTTCTTGTAGTCCTCGAAGACCTTGGGGTACATGATGTACGATGCTACATCACACTCGGTAGCATCACCCCACTTAGCCTTGAGCTCTGCCTTGATCTTCGGGATGTCAACGGGCTCAAGGTAGAGACCAGGGCGCTTGTCCATCTTCCTTCGCTCACGGAGAGCCTGGGAGCGAAGAGGCTCAGGGAAACCGCCATATGGCTGACCCATGAGTCCCTCGAAGAACTCCAAGACGGAGGATGGGAAGTCGAGTTGGTCGGCCTTGGCTAGGACATCGTCGTAAGAAAGCTTGTTGGAGACCATGAACTGGGCCAGGTCACCGACAACCTTGGAGGTGGGAGTGACCTTGACAATGTCGCCGAGCAAGTCGTTGGCCTGCTCGTACGCCTTCTTGGTCTGAGCCCATTGCTCACCGAGACCTTGTTGCGATGCCTGGAAGATGAGGTTGGTAAGTTGACCTCCAGGAATCTCATGCTCGTATACTTCGGGGTCAGGTCCGGTAAGACCAGCCTCGAAGGGCGAGTAGAGAAGACGAAGCTGGGCCCAGTATGCGTCCAAGTTACGGATCATGTGCGCGTCCAGACCAGCGTCGAAGTCGGTACCCTCCAGAGATGAAAGGATGGCACCCAAACTAGGCTGGGATGTCATACCAGACATGCTGTCGATGGCGGCATCGACAGCATCCGCACCCGCCTCAGCGCAGGCAACCATAGATGCAACACCGGTTCCAGCAGAGTCGTGGGTGTGCACGTGGATGGGCAGGTCAGGGTACTTCTCGCGGATGGTGCCGATCAAGAGACGGGCAGCACGGGGCTTGAGTACACCAGCCATGTCCTTGATACCCAGAATATGGGCGCCCATCTTGACGATCTTGTCGACAACGTCCAAGTAGTATTCCAGGTTGTACTTCTTCTTGGGGTTAAGCATGTCACCACTGTAGCACACGGTTCCCTCAGCAACACCACCGGCCTTGAGGACGGCCTTGACACCAACCTCGAGTTGCTCGACGTCGTTCAACGCATCAAAGACACGGAAAATGTCGACACCGTTCTTCTTGGCTTGCTCACAGAAGTGGAAGATAGCGTTGTCAGGCAGCGAGGAGTATGCAACACCGTTAGCTCCACGAAGAAGCATCTGGAACGGAATGTTGGGCACGAGCTTGCGCATCTTCCTAAGACGCTCCCAGGGGTCTTCGTAGAGGAAACGCATGGCGACATCGAAGGTAGCACCACCCCAGCACTCAAGCGCCCACGCGTTGGAGAAAGCGTGGCTGGTCTCCTTGGCGATGTTGAGCAAGTCAACAGTTCGGACACGAGTCGCGAGGAGTGACTGATGGGCATCACGCCATGTAGTGTCCATGATCAGGCATCCCTTGTTGGCGCGAACAGCCTTTGCGAATCCCTCGGGACCATCCTTGAGAATGACGTTCCTCCATCCCTCGGTGCAAGGTGCGGAGGTGTCAACCTTCTTGCCGTTGTTGTCGTGGATGGCTGGGATGGGAATGACGCCCTTGAACTTGGGCTCGCCGATCTGGCCCTTGATCTGGCTGCCGTTGACAGCGAGGTCACCAAGATATGCGAGAAGCTTCTGGGCACGGTTCTGGGAGCCAATCAAGTCGAAAAGAGCGGGAGTGTCGTCGATGAAGGTTGTCCAGCATTGTCCGTCAACGAAGGTGGGGTGTGTAAGGAGCTTGATCAAGAAGGGGATGTTGGTCTTGACGCCACGGATACGGAACTCTACCAGAGCACGTAGCATCTTTCGGCGGACGATCTCGTATGTGGAACCACGGCAAGAGCACTTGACCAACATGCTGCAGAGAAAGTCAGTATTTGTCACAAATGTGATCTCTAGAGGAGTACTAACCTGTCGTAGTGAGCTGTAAACGAGGCCGATTAGCAAAGTTTCCCAATTAAAAATGTAGCTTGACACTCACGAGTAATGATTGCGCCAGCAAAACCGTTACCACCATCGAGACGGACTCCGTTACCACCAGCAGAGCGGTAGACCTCGATCTTTCCAGTATCGGGTGCGAAGCCCTGAGCTGGGTCTTCTGTAGTGATTCGGCATTGGAAAGCAAAGCCTCGTGTGGAGATGTGGTCTTGAGTCAGACCAAGCTGCTCAAGGGATGCACCAGCTGCGATCTGAATCTGCGCCGCAACAATGTCGATACCGGTAACCTCCTCGGTGATGGTGTGCTCGACTTGAATACGGGGGTTGATCTGTAAAATAATGTCAGCATATGGATTTGATGTGCATATCGGAAGGTTTCTACTTATCTATAAAGTAGTATCTAAGTGCATCGAGTTAGCTGATGAATACAATAATTGGAGTGTAGACGTACCTGTTCTGTTGGTCGACCAAGAACTCAGCAGTACCGGCGTTCCTGTACTTGACGCTCTGTGCGAGCCTGACAGCGTCGGCAAGGATAGCATCACGAGTCTCGACTGGGAGATCCTTTGCTGGGGCAATCTCAACGACCTTCTGGTGACGACGCTGGACACTGCAGTCACGCTCGTAGAGATGGACGACATTGCCCTGGTTGTCACCAAGAAGCTGGACTTCAATGTGCTTGGGCTTGTCGAGGAAGCGCTCGACGAAGACGGTTCCGTTACCGAAAGCCGACTTGGCTTCTGAAGTTGCGCGCTCGAACGAGTCCTTGAGGGTCCCCTGTTCGCGTACTACACGCATACCACGGCCACCACCACCGAAAGCGGCCTTGATGATGATGGGAAAGCCGTACTCATCAGTAAAGGCCTTGACATCCTCGAACTTCTCGACTGGTCCAGGGGTTCCTGGTACAACCGGGACGTTGCACTTGACGGCGAGTTTTCGGGCCGAGACCTTGTCCCCGAGAGCGTCGATGGTGTCGGGAGAGGGGCCTACGAACTAAAATCAAAAGTAAGCATGGGTCGCATATTGCATGGGGTAAAACAAAAGCCATGCTCGCAGCGATGATCGGCACCGGGCTGCTTGGTGATCGGCCCCGCCAATTCCTCACTTTGTGCGGGAGCGATAGGCTCAACAGCAGCCGATAGCAGCTGCGGCCCCTCCACGTAATTTCGTCATAGCGTAAACAAAGCGGTAAAACTCACAATGAGCCCAGCCTTCTCAACATTCCGCGCGAACTCTGCATTCTCCGATAAGAAACCGTAACCCGGGTGAATCATGTTCACGTTGTGTTCAACCGCGATCTTGATGATTTCGTCACCCGCGAGGTAAGCACCGACAGGTGTGTACTGGCCGCGGGCGCCAATTTCGTAGGCCTCGTCAGCCTTTTGCCTGTGCATACTAAGGCGGTCCTCATGACTGTAGACAGCCACTGTGTGCAGTGACAGCTCGTGGGCTGTTCGGAAGATACGGATGGGGATCTCTCCTCGGTTGGCAACTGGTAGATTTGTTAGAGCGCCGAAGACGCGATGAATGAGCCATTGAACTCCGACAACTTACCGAGGAGCTTCTTCAGTTGCATAATAGAGCTGCTCGCACGCAGGTGGTGGTGGACTGAGTTCCTGTGAGGGTGGTGCTCGCCATGGTCCTCATCGAAGTCGTTCTCGTCGATGGCCGACGAGGCATTCTGGTCAACTGCAAGAGTCGTCATGTCGAATGACGGCTGTGTGTGTTGGGTAAGGGAGAGTGTAGAGAGGGAAGGAGGATGAGAGGGGGAGGTCTGAAATCTGTAGAAGAGGGCAGATACAGCGCCAATTTATTATGGTACCGACTATCGGATATCCAGGGTCTGCTACTTGCTACGACTCACTCGCTCAAAGCTGCAGAGCGCGAGT